AAGAATGAAACTAAATTATAATATTTCCACTAACTAGAGTGCCAGACAAAATACAGTACAGCCAGCTAAATTTGAATTTCAGATAAATGACGAATAATTTTTGCTATGTCCTTGCATTATTTGGGATATAAAGTCACACACCACAGAATAGCAATGTTTCAGTCAAACCCAGACTGTGTAGGTGACAGCGGTCCCCTAAGATTATAATGATGCTGAAAAATCCTTATCCCCTAGTGACGTCATAGCTGTCATAATGTCATAGTGCAATGCATTACGTGTTTGTGGTGATGCTGGTGCACACAAACCTACTGCACTGCCAGTCATAAAAGTAGAGCACATGTAATTATGTATAATATATAACACTTGATAGTGATAATAAACAACTGTTACTGGTTTGTGTATTTACTATACTGTATTTTTATTGCTATTTTAGAGTAAACTCCTTCTACTTATTAAAAAAAAGTTAACTATAGAACAGCCTCAGGCAGGTCCTTCAGGAGGGATTCCAGAAGAAGGCATTGTTATCACAGGAGGTGACAGCTCCATGCCTGTTACTGCCCCTGAAGACCTTCCAGTGGGACAAGATGTGGAGGTGGAAGACAGTGATATTGATGATCCTGACCCTCTGTGGGCCTAGGCTAATGTGTGTGTTTGTGTCTTAGTTTTTGACAAAAAAGTTTAAAAAGTAAAAAATAAATTAAAAAATTTTAAAATGGAAAAAGGCTTATAGAATAAGGATATAAAGAAAGAAAATATTTTTATACCACTGTACGCTATATGTTCTAAGCCAGGGGTCCTCAAACTTTTTAAACAGGGGGCCAGTTCTCTGTCCCTCAGACTGTTGGAGGGCTGGACTATAGTTTAAGAAAAATTATGAACAAATTCCTGTGCACGCTGCACATATCTTATTTTGAAGTAAAAAAGCAAACGGGCAAAAACACCCACCCGCATGTGGCCTGCAGGTTGTAGTTTGAGGATTCCTGTTCTAAGCTAAGTGTTATTGCCAAAGAGTCAGACAGTTTTAAGACATTAAAAAGTTTATAAATGAAAACTGTTATAGTAAGCTAAGGCTAATATATTATTGAAGAAAGAAAACAATTCAATAAATTTAGTGTAGCCTAACTGTGCAGTGTTTATAAAGTCTACAGCAGTGCACAGTAGTGTCCTAGGCCTTTGCATTCACTCACCACTCACTGACTCACCCAGAGCAACTTCCAGTCCTGCAAGCTCCACTCATGGTAAGTGCCCTATAAAGGTATCTTTTATACCATCTTTTTACTGTACCTTTATACAGATATCTAGATACCCATATCTAGATATATTTAGATATACAAATACATACCATTGGATTACAGTTATCTTCAGTATTCCGTAGAGTAACATGCTGTGCGGGTTTGTAGCCGAGGAGCAATAGGCTATAGCTCGTAGCCTAGGTATGTGGGAGGCTGTACCATCTCAGTTTGTGTAAGTGCATTGTGTGACGTTTACAAGTACGTTGTATGACGTTCACACAATGACAAAACCGTCAACAATGCATTTCGCAGAATGTATCCCAGTCCTTAAGCAAAGAATGACTATACTTATGCTCAAAAATTACTTGTTTACCTGAAATTCAAATTTAACTGGGAGGCCTGCATTTTTATTTGCTAACTCTGGCAACCCTATCGCCAAGGCAAATTTCACTGGAAGAAACCTGAAGCTCTCCATACAGTTTTTAACCAAGCACATAGACTTTTATTCGAACATTTGGTAATCAACCTTACCTCAGCCAGAGAGTATACATGCTGTCTCCATCTTCTCTCTTCATGTCAGCTCTCAGCCCACTCCAACCTGCCTCACCAAGTCCCATAACCCTGTGGAAGCAGTTTTTGTTGTGGTCACCAATGGGCTCCATGTTGCCAGAAGCAATGGACACTTTCCGTACTCAACTTCTCAGCAGCATCCTGCAGTGTTGCCCCCTCTCTCTTTTGGATTTTTTTTTTTTTTTTTTTTTTTTTTTTTTTTTTTTTTTTTTTTGATATTCTGAGGGTCATGACTTTCAGAAACAGATAATTCCCTTCTTAAGATTTTAAAAGTTTTTTTTTTTTTTTGAGACAGAGTCTCGCTTTGTTGCCCAGGCTAGAGTGAGTGCCGTGGCGTCCTAGCTAATTAATTTCTTTCTATTTATAGTAGAGACGGGGTCTCGCTCTTGCTCAGGCTGGTTTTGAACTCCTGACCTTGAGCAATCCGCCCGCCTCGGCCTCCCAAGAGCTAGGATTACAGGCGTGAGCCACAGCGCCCGGCCTCCCTCTCTCTTTTGAAAGAGTTTGGCGCTGGCTTCTGTGACCCCTTCTCTGTCCTGGTTTTCTACTACTTGGCTACTAATTATAATCTCCTCTACCTGATACTTCCGCTCTAGCTCCAAATTGGGAATTCCTCATGGCTTCATATCAGCTTCCCCCTTTCCCTCCTCTACGCCAACACTGTCCAACAGAACTTTCTGTGAAGATGGAAATGTCCTCTCCATGTGCTATCCAATGCAATAGCCACTGGTTATATGTGGCTACTGAGCACTTGAATGTGGCTAGTGTGACTGCAGAAATGACTTTTAAATTTTATTTCATTTTAATTAATTTATAATGCCACATGTGGCCAGTGGCTGCCATATTGGACAGTGCACCTGTCGACTATCTTACTAGACAAGCTATTCATGACTATAAAAAAACAGCTTTATGCTTCTGATTTCCTGATATTTACTTACAGCTCAGACCTCTCCACAGAGCTCCAGGGTTATAACCATCTGATAATTCGGATGACTCACAAGTATTAAGTGGCCATAACTGTTCTTTTCTCAGCTGCCAGTACTTCAGAGAATGGTACCACCAGTCACGCAGTTTGTTGAAGCCAGACACTGAGAGTAGTTTTTGATTTTTTCCTTCTTCCTGACTATGCCACTTGTAAATCACAAGCAAGTTCCACTGGTTCTGCATCCTAATTAAATTTTGAATCTGTCGACTTCCTTCCACCTCCACCTCCACCTCCACCATTTAGTCCAAACCATCATCACTCCTTGCCTGGATTGCTTGCAGTCATCTTCCAGCATCCTGGACCCAGCTTTAATCTTTATCTACATGGCATCAGAATGAGTCCTCCAAAAACATGAATTGGATCATGTCACTGTCTTAAAATTCTTTGGTGGTTTGCTGTTGCTCTTGGAATGAAAGTTAGATTCCTCACCTTGGACTTCAAGGCACTGGGCCCTGTTTCCACTTCAACCCATTTCCCACCTTTCCCCTATTTACACTGTGTGTACACTATGACAAGCCCACCCTTTGTCAACTTGGTACCCTGACGATCTCCTTAAACCATACTTAATTTCCAAATAAAGACAATAACAAGGCCATAGTTCCACCTAACATGATGCAACTATCCTGCCTACAACTGAAAATGCACTAATCCCTTCCCCAGAATGCAGCTTTCAGGATTTCACATTTGGGATTTTTAACAACATTTCAACATTTGGTATTTTAACAACATTTTGGGATTGTGATTTTTGAGACCTTTGACATTAGGTATTTTAGACTTTAGGGATTTTGATCTATCCACATTTCAATATTTGGGATTATGGTGTTTGGGATTGTGTTTTTTAGGATTATGGTCTATATTGCCTGAAATCACAGGGTTTGAAGTATTATTTATCTTTCTCTATTATATACATTAAATCTATAACTATTACAATATGCATGGGCTGTCTAGACTCACCCTGTACTTCACCTAGTACCACGCCTTGGGAAACCCTTGTTTCTGTGCCACTAACCCATGTCACGTCGGCTCATTTTGGTCCCTGGCCTTTCCCACCTGGTCTTCCCCGGGTTCCTCAGGTCCCGTGTTGAGACACAAACACTTACAAGTAATAAAACTCACTACTCTGTGCCAAGAACAACTCTCTGAATGGAATTGGAAATGGAATTTCGCTGATACAAGATTATAATCACAGCTAATATAATGTGTTGGTTAGGAGCATGGGCTCTGGAGCTGACCTGGACTCGAATCCCAGGTCTCTCGCTGCTGTGTAAGTCCTTTCCCTCTCTCAGGTAGCTTTGAGGCTTCAATGAATTAATATATTTTCAAGGCTTAGAACCGCATCTGGCACATGGTAAGTGCTAAATTAATGTTAGATATTATTATAGGTTGTGAGTTTGGGCAATGGAAGTCTCAAAGAAAAAGTAGTCCATGAGTGTACTAGACAGCCTTCTCTTTGAAGAAAAGTTGGCTAGAAAACCATAGGTGTGTACTAATTTAATCCTGTGGTAAGTACCGTGTGCATCTATTATGTCAGGGTGCTACAATTTTAGGAATCAGGTCCATAATATAGAACACTCAATGATTTAAAATGGCACCTGACTTATTGCAATTTAATTATGCAAATTGGTCATTTTATGCAAATTTGAGGATGATACTTCTTTCCCCCCAATGCTCAAATATTTATTGTTCATGTAGTTTATCTTTATTTGAAAACTGAATATTTCACTAAGTGTCAGGAGTAGTGCAGGCGTGTGTGTGCACCCTCCAAATGTTTTGAAGAGGCTTTCTGTTATGAACAAGTACAATAGATATTTCTAAAATAAACCATAAAACTGCCAAACTGTTTAATCAGTTTTAGTGTTTTGTAAGAGCTATTCCTCAGGTCATAATATGAACAATATTTTTTCCTATTTCTTTTTCGAAATAACTCAAGCATCAGCCACATTACTTTAAAATGTTATTACATGTAATTGAACAATATTATCTTTACCTTTATCAAGAATAACAAAGGAACAGCAAAGCTATATTTCAACAAAACATTTCAACTCTAATTTTGAAACCTAATCAGACAAAATATATTTAGTACAATGATAATACATTAAAGACACATGATTATGCTGTCTTTGTTACATAAACCACCATGTTAAGAAAAGGCATTTAGCTAATGCTGAAAACTAAATTATTTTAAAAACAATTGAACTTTACCATTGCCAGAGATTTTTTGAAAAGCTGCAGGTATACATTTCGTAAATAAAATGATCAAGATTATTTCCTGAAATATTTTAACATATTCTAAATGCTAAACAAAAATTTCATGAAATGACTCAGGAGATACGCTTGTAACGATTCCTTCCTAAAGCTGCTTTGACAGCCTCTAAGGGCCAAATAAGGATGTGTGGAATTCCCTAATATGGGCCTAATGGGAAAAGGCTCAAAATGAGAACCAGGATCCTTGACTTCTACTCCAGCTAATAAGCTAAGTGAACCAAAGTCAGTATTTCTTTAACCTTTTCCAGTTTGCTTATTTATTCTCTTGGGAGAGTCATACTTTCCCAACCTACTTCTATGCACTACAGTGGGTTTTGAAATGCTGTGCGAAATTTCCCTACATTATCTAAACATTTCTCACTAATTATAATATTTCCTTAGCTACTCAGCATTTTTACCATTGTCTTTATTTCTTTGCAAACAAAATCAATCTCCCAACTCAACAGGAGATAGTTGCCATTTTACATTTCGCTGCCTGCATGCCTGCCAGTATTATGTTGTCCCCTGTGTTGTCTTTCAAAAGTCCTCACTGTCATAGCTAAAGATCGGAGCCACTCTATCTGAGTAACTGATTGCAGGGGCCATCCCAGACAGACACACATCCCAGGTCTCTGTTCCATCCGTCCTAGAGGAAGCGGACTCTTGAGGAAAAGCCAAAGTGGGTATGAAGGCCCGGCAGTCTCCTGGAATTTTCAAAGGAAGTGGCCCCAAGGGAGAGGCTGCCCTGGTGACTGTAGCTAGAGGGCTCAAGGCTTCTGGACAGACAGACATCTGGGTGTCCCCAGGAGCACAGTTACAGCCTGAAAGCCTCTTGACCTCTCGTACGTTGTCACCGTGCTTCAGAGCAGGGGGCTGGTAGGCCTGGTAGGACACTTGGGTGGTGGTGGTAATCACTGTCTGTAGGGCAGGGGCACCTGGTGGGGCAGTCGTGAGGTACCTGCAGGGGAGCTCTGGATTGTAATAAGGGAGATTGGCCACAGCCTGGAACTGTCCATGCTCAGTCCTCTCCCCAAGACCAGGTATTCCAAGAGCTGGTTTCCAGCCATGTTGTTTATTGGTGAAATCAAAACTTTTCTCATAGGTGCTGTATGAATTGACATTATATTGCAGTGCATTCAGATGAACCCAGTCTGTGTCAGTAGGGATACCAGTGGCTTCTTTGTAAAGGGTGGAATATGGGCTCGAATTTGTATAACCAGGGCCTGCCAATTCATAGCTGCAAGATGGCCTAGGCAAATAGATTCTTGGGTTTGGATATTTCTGAAAGGGTAGCATTTTGTCTCCTTGAAAAGTGGCTAGGTCACAGGTAGCTTTGTAAGCATCAGAGTTTGGGAAGGAAGGGCAAGCCTGTCCTGGAACCGGGAAGCCAGTGTCAATAATTATGTCAAACTGTTCTGGGTTTTCCAGGGGAAGTATGTGGCTGAAATGTCCACTGCTGTCTTCATCTTCTTCTGCCTAAAAAATGATACAAATACAGACACACGATATGTAAATTGCACACAAACCTTCGCCTCTAACAACAGCCAACCAAGTAAGTGAAGACAAGCTTGCAGTTAGAGAGCTCTGTGTTGTGGACATTGCTCAGGTACATGAATCAGACTCCTGACCCAGGAGTTGCTGAGCTTGGGCTTGCCCAGGAGTGAATACCACACTGCCGAGTGAGGAAAGTCCACGATAGCCAGGCAGGATGGTTCTGAGTGGCAGACAGTCCTGTTCTCAGCCATACTGTGTTCATAATAGTGGAGACTTAGAAGCCACACACACCTGGGTTCGAATCCTGACTCTGCACCTCACTAATTGAACAAGTTGCTTTACCTATCTGAGCCTCGGATTCCTCATTTTAAAAATGGGGCTTAATATTCTATTAATCATAACCTTTGACTGTTGCAACCTTGTCATAGGGTTTCTGTAACTATTAAATGTGTGAAACTCTTAGATCAGTGCCTGGCACATAGAAAGTGCTTGAAAAATGCCAGGTTCTGTTCTCCTCACGGTAACACTCTACCTGTTTAGCATGCTTTGGTAGAAAAGCCAAACTGGATCCAGCTGCCCAAAGAAATTTTATCTGTTCCCATGTAGACAATGTAAAGGACCCTCTCAAGGATGCACTCGCTCACTGTTGATGTACACATATTTATTACTGTTGGACAATCACCCTTGTATCAGGATGTCAGCACATGTCCTGGCTGTATAATCCTGGCTGTAGAAATTGTTGTAAGAAGAGGAAGGGATAAGAAACCCTGTTCAAATGTTGTTTGAATGATCTTTTGTTGGAGTTATATAATTTTTCACATAAAATCAAACCTTTGTAATTAATATGTGACAATCATACTTCACATAACTATGTGTGTATCTTTCGGTGGAAAGATAAACAGACCACAGTGCAATGTCAGCTCCCCATTACCTCAGGTTCTCGAATTCTCTTTTTCTGGGATTGGTAAAAAGAGGCCATTTGTCTCTTGATGGCACTTCTTCTAGCTTCTGTCTCTGATTTGCTCTCTGGTCTTGGGTGATCATGAACTCCCTTGGCCTGCGTTAAGGAGGTGAATCATAAATTTGTTTCTCTAAAGGAAGCTGGTAATGTTGGCCAAAAATTCCTCATGCCTTTCCCAAGATCCCGAGTATTTGGTTTTGTTTTGTTCTTTCAAAATGATAGAGATAAAAGAATTCTTGAACAAATAAAACAGCATCAACAATAGATATCTTACAAGATTAGCTGTAAACCCTTCACCCTACTAAGTGAACTACAGCTTGGTTCACTATCTCTGGACCTGAAAGAGGGCACAGTAGATGAGCAAACTTCTAGACTACCGGTAGGTCCCTGGAGAGCTCCAGCACCTGTTCCTGGCCACTGGAGCTGTACTGTGGTCCAGAGTTCCCAAGGCACATGACAGGCACATGCCAGGTGGTTTGGTCTTCATGGTCTGATGAAAGCATCCAATCACAAATTGTGTTCTCACCCAACCTACCTGAAAAAATATCGCGTTGCCATCAAGCCGCCAAAAGTTGGTTACAGGGTATCCACTGTGCCCCCGACAAGGAATCAACTCCAATGCAGAATGACAGTTGGGGCATGATTTCTCTGCAAAGCCCAGAGGGAGAAACATTAATAACAACCAGACCCTAAACCCTTCTGAAGGAAGAAAGAGAAAATTAGTTGGGAATAAAGAACTTATAACTCCAATGTCACCCTCTCCCTGACACTGTGCTCTCACTCTGCTGTTTCAGCCTGGCCTTGTCGCAGATGGCCGGCCGCAGTTGCAGGCGGGAGCCATCGGGCATGGCGCAGGCCTGTGCACACACCACCACGCCCAGGCACGACTTCTTTAGGATGTGGCCGTTGTGGTTGTTGGTGTTGCGCATGGCCCAGCCGCTCAGGTGGCGCTGCGCCTTCTTCTCCTCACTGCTGTAGATGAAGCGCACATAGCCATCCGGCCACTCTTGGAAGTGGTCAAAGAAGGCTGGCTCCTAGGAAGGAGAGCAGAGGGAAGGGTGGTCAGCTTTTTCAAGCCCAAAACACATACAGCATGCTTTCCATTTTCTCCAAGCACATTAGAATAAAAACAAGTTATTTTTAAATCTAGCAATGTTACCAAACTCCAAAACTATGCCATCCCAAAAATCTACTCATGCTGTCTATATATGCCTTTTGACAACTGACTAATGATTAATGTTTATACAGTGCTTATCTTCTAAATGCTGTACATGTATTAATTCATCTCACCTCTACAACACATACAGGCAATTATGCCCATTTTACAGAACAGGACATGGAGGTCAGAGATCTTAATTGACTTGCCCAAGGTCACACGGCAGGCAAGACCTGGCACCTTGGCAGTCTAATTCCAGAGCCTGTGCTTCTCACCGCTAGGTTATACCACTTCTTGGTGTGTTTAAATGTTGAAAATATTTTCAAATAAAATATCAAAATGCCAGGAAAAAAAGTGATAGGAATGTTCTGTCACCAAAATGCAATTTAATTTGCGAATATCTTTACTTTCAGCCAGTGCACTTTCCTCTAAAGCTCTTGGCTCTCATATAAGCAGTGACACCCAGAATAATGTCAGAGAGGCAAGAACAGCTTCCCTCGCTACTTCCAACTGAGCTCTCCAAGTTTAAAAGGGCACTGTGATGAAACACCCAACCACAACAGTACACTGTCAGCTCTGGGCTGTTGGTGAGCCTGCCTGGCACTGGATTGCAACATGGGATTGTCATTCTCCTCAACAAAGAGCCACATGGCTGAAATAATAAGTTACATCTAAAACACTGAGCATTGCCTTAATATTCATATTCAGTGGTCTTTGCCAACTTTATATGTTATACTGCAATAAATGTGTCTTTTTATATGTAAGTTTAATAGAAAATTGCCCTTTACTGAACACTTACTATCTACCAGGTACTCTTTAGAGCAGTGGTCTGTCATGTAGGGACCAGTGGGCCAAATCTGGCCTGCTGTCTGTTTTTGTGTGGTCTCAAGATAAAAATAGTTCTTACATTTTTAAATGGTAGGGGAAAAAAATCTAAAGAAGAATTATATTTTGTGACATATGAAACTTATATGGAATTAAAATTTCAGTGTCCATAAAGAAAATCTGGTTGGAACTCAGCCATGTGCATTCCTCTATGTGTTTTCTAGGGTTGCTATCATACTACGATGAATTGAGCATTTGTGATAGAGACAGAAGGGCCTGAAAAACCACATTATGCAATATCTGTAATCCTCACAACCACCTTGCAAGATGGGCATCCTTACTTTTATTTAATAGATTAAAATAAAAGAGAAGTTAGGTAGATTTCCTTCTGCATTAGCCTAACTGGGATATAAACAGAATATCTCCAGCAGCCAAGTTTCAGTAGTTTTACTGGTGTGATAAAAGCCCAGAAGAATTTTATCACAATAATAAGCCATTTGTACCTTCTCCCCACTCCTGCCGCCCAGGAAAGTTAGATCAAACATTTGCAAAGTCAAAGTATTCTCAGTTGGACAATTCAGACTTGTATACATCATTAATATTGGTAATAAGGTAATGCGTAAATGGGTGATTTCCCCCCCAAAATTGCAGGGATATTATTGATCAATATCATTATTATTACTATTAGGCACTACTTATCTTTTCTCTTAAATATTACAATTGACGTAAATTAATACATTGACTTAAAGTAAGTCACAAATGAAATATATAATGATGTGCTATCAACACTAAGCTTATATCAAATGCAAATATCTTTGTTTTAAAAGTGAACATTTCAACTTTAGGATCTTAGTAAAACTGACAATTTTCCAGAAGAGAGTATTTCTTTAGCACTCCCTTGTATGGGTGTGGACTAGGCCCCCATGCTTCACAACAGCTACTGAGATAGTGCCCCTAGAGGTGAATGAAGTCACAAAGACTGTATTTTAAAATCAAAACAAGAACAGAGGATGTCCAGGATTGGGTTTCATTTGTTCTAATATGGTGTACACACACACACACACTGAACCCAACAGTAGACCTGAGAGTTTGAGATAGTTATCTCCTTCTAGCACCTGATGACAAGTGAAGAGCCTGAGTCTAAGGCAAATTCAAGGACTCTCTCAAGGTCATTTAGCTCAGTCAGCCAGAGCAGGGTTATGCTAAGTTTCTCCCCTTCTCTGTGTCCCAGTGTGCCCGTCCCCTTTGAGGTGTTTCACACATACTCCCTGCTTGTAACTCCCCCAAAATTAATAGTTACACGGAAAGTCTAGAAAATGCTTGACAGATGAGCCATGACTTGGATGTGACTCTTTTCTAAAATGCAAGGTTAGATTTTTTCCTGTGAAGATTTACACAGACGGAGGTCAACAAGGATGAGATACACTTGCCGAACCGTGGTCCACTTTCACAAAAATGATATTGTGTGGCTCTTAAGTAGGCAGACATTAAAACAAACATAAAGTATATCTACTACAAATGTATATATTCAAAAAAGTGCTGCACAATCTTGCTAATGAACTGCTATTTATTTGAACACCTATCTGGCACATAACAGATACTGAATAAATGCCACATCTCATCCCTGTGCCACGACATTGCCAGAAGTCCACACTGTAAATGCTTGGGAATCAACTGCCATTCTCCCCCCTACCTACACCTAGGACTTTAACGTCACTCCTCAGTTTTGGCCCAAACTAGTTATGATCAAGTATAAATGCCCAGTTCATTCCCTGGACTTGGCTCCAAACCATTTTGCTCCATTAAAATAAAGCAAAAGACAACAAATTCACCCTAGAAGAATGACACTTTTCCTGTCATTATAGGAAAAATAAGCTTTGGGCACTGATGGCCTCATTAGCATTGCTCTGGAGCAGTCAAAGATATCTGAATACATTGTTCAAATCGGGCTATTTGTTTTAGATTCTGATCATTAGATTCAATTGATAGCGCTATCTCTCAGTTTCGCTGCATGAGAAGCAGTGGGTTTTACATCTGCTGAGATTTTTCTTCTTTCTCATGGGTTTTCAGTAATGGATAAGTAGAGGGGCACCTGATTTCTGCTTTGACTAAAGGCAGTTGAAGGGATGAGGCGTCCTGCTCTCCTTGTCCGAATTGCGCGAGCGTGGAGCCTGACGGACATTTCCGCTGCTTTCCACGGGTTTTCAGACGAGCGCAAGGAAATTGCCGAGAGAAGATACATTTCTAAGCCCACCTCTGCCTTTTGTAGAGTCCAGAGAAGGTGTCTTTACGTATCCGCATTTGAGGGCCCTCAGAAACTCAGACGCGCGTGTGGTCTGTCCGCAGAGTCTGCAATGACTTGAATGCCATCCCCCTTCTCCGGATGGGCAGCGCCACACGCACCGCACGCGCTCGCTCCACTCACCTGCGGCATCTGCGGATCGTTGATGTCCCAGTTGAGCTGCATCCCGTAGGAGCACACACGGTCGGCTTGCTGCACCGCGTCCGCCAGCATCTGTTCGACGCTCTTGCTCTCCTCCCAGATCCTGAAAGATAGAAGAAGAAGAAGAAGAAAAAAACCCGAGAGGTGCGCCAGGTGAGTTTTAAAAATAAAGAAAAAAATAGGGTTTGTGAAGAGAGAGAGAGGAGAGGAGAGGGGAGGCAAGGAGAGGACAGGAGAGACCTTGAAGCTGGGGTCGGTTGTTTTGGGACCCGGGCAGAGCCCTGTCCCCGGCTGAGGTGCTGAAAGGCCTCCACCCGGACCGCGGCATGGGCGTCTGGCAGCTGCCAGCTAGTTTATAAAGATACACCTGCCACGGCTCCGCCTTTCGTCGCCTCCCTCGCTAGCGCCCACGCCCACGCCCTGGGGACCAGTCGCCTTCTCCCGCCAGAGCCAGGCATGCAGGTGGAGGTTAAGCAGAGCTCTTGAAGCAAAGGAGACTGAAGCCAAGATGTTTACGGGGTGGGGCCTGGAATGCCTCACTTAAGGTGAAAACGATCCCCCCCATTACATGTGACCTCCGTGGTTTCAGAGAGGGCTTATTAGATCGCAGCTTTTGAAGCAGCGGCTTTCCAGCAACGTCCCCTGAGAGCCACACTCGATTCCAGGACAGCGTGGGAACTGTACGTGGGGCCCTCTGCTGTTCACTGGGCGCCCCAGTCTGCACAGTCGCGCCCACTGGCCAGGGCCGCCCCCTGGGGGTCCGCTCCTGGCTCTGGCTGCAGCAGTTGCACGTGTCCGGGGGTCTGCGGTCGGCTGTCCGGGAGGTCCCGCGGGCGCCGGTCCCCGCATGCTCGCGGGCCTAGGCGCACCCGCTCTCCTCCGGGCTGCGGAGGGACCCCGCCCGTGGCCAGGGTCCCAGAGGGTGAACGCGGAGCAGGTGCGGGGAATGAGCCGGGCGTAGGTGGGATCCTGGGGTAGAAGAGGGAGGAGGAAGTGCAGACGGACCCACACCGCTCTAGGCAGCCTCCCGTAGCTTCCTGAGCTCTCAGTCACCACCCGCCCGAACATAACTGTTTAAAAAATCCTTATTGATCATTGCGGAACTATCACACTTTCGTATTTACCCCCTTAGGGTCTTGGGAGGCTTTGGGGGACCAGGGAACCCCGGCAACCAGGCGCTGGACCACGTGGGCTCCCCAGGGGGTGGGACAAGCCTACTTCACTGGTGCGCCCCCTCACCCAAGGTTACTCGGGCTCCTGGAGACACCCAACAAAAGAAATCAATTGCAGTGATTTAAGCCGCTTCTTTGACCATCCCCCCGGGCCGAATGAAGGCTGGTGGGCCAGGGAGATGGGCTTCCGGAATCTATTCTCTGCGCCCTAGTTTCGCAGCAGACACGCCTCCATTCTCAGCCCTGGCCAGAGAAGAGGAAGCGACTCCTCCAGGCAGATCACTGTCACAGCAGGTGGAGTATCTGAACTCAAGCCCCTCCAAACCCGGACGCCGGCGACCCTGGACCTTGGCACTGCGGAGCGCGAGCGCAGTGCTCGGACCGGTGCCCCGCGCGAGCCGGCCCGGAGAGTGCCAGGCCAGCGCCTCTTGCAGGATTAGTCCCTTCCTTTGGCAAAAGGTGGAGAAAACAGGTACGTTTTAAGCCCACAGCCTGTGGGAAACAACGTCAGGAAGCGAAGGATGCTCCACGCTCGCTCCCCAGTCCAAGGCTCGCTCGGGACAGCGCTGCAGCCGCGAAGCCCGTGTCACCGCAGCCCGCCGGTGGCTGCGGACCCGAGAACTCGGGGAGAGGCAGGCTTGGGCAGTTGCGCGCATTTTCTTCCTCCTCTAGCTTTAAGTTGGGTTCCTTCTCCCAGGCAAAGGCGTCCTAGCAAAAGAAAGTGGTTCCTTCATTCCCAGCTTCTCTCCCCCGACGACGTACTGTTCTGAAAAGTCCTGTTGATTAGGGTTTCTGATTAAAATCACTCTCAGATGGTCGCCGCTCAGATCTAAGTGGGAACGAAGAGATGTGCCGGCCGGCCCTTCACCCATTAGTTTCAAGTCACAGATTTTCATGGGATTAACTGACTGCCAAAGGTCCCGGCAACTCCTGTAATTTCTTTTTGTGCGGTTTTGTCTTCCAAAATTCAATGAAAATCGATTGACCATTTATTTTTAAACAAATCGATATTTCATTCAAAGGGATTAAGATAATGAATCTTTTCAAATGTTCTGAAAATAACTTCATAATAGTCATTTAAAGTTACCTCTGAGAATGCACAGAAACTAATTTCTGGTCTTACTGCAAAAATAGAATAGTTTTTGTCTCTACGTTTTTGGAGTGTCCCTAGAGAGACCTGAGCCTTCAAAAATATAAACAAATATAACTTTTTAATGTTAAAGGCAAGTCAATTAATTCCTAAATGAATTCTGGCATCCAAAGAAATGCCATAGAGGCTCGACCATATTTAGTTTGAGAAGAATTAGAATATATATTTCAAGTTGCCCTAAAATTATGACTGGGTAAAACGGGTTAGTAAAAGAAGGTAATCAAAGTGAAAATCAAATAAATAAACAAGCCAATAAATTGTATTGTTGTCTATTTTGTTATTTTTAATTTCTCCTGAAGATTTGAATGTATTGTCACTACAAAGTTTGGAAGGATATATTTTTCTTCAAAAGTCTGAAAATTGATTATGAAGTTTTCTAATATTAGGAAAACTTTACTTTTTAAATATTCCTCTAAATAAATGCATTTAAACTGTAGTATTTTGGTTATTGCTTTTATTATCCTTTGATTTTTTTTCCTGCCCCAATATTTGCATTGAGTCACAATACTTTATATCAGCTGTCCCTGCCTTGATTACTAATTTAATATTGTAATAGTCCATTAATTCATAAGGAAAGGAACAAGCCTCTGAATTTGCTAGGTTAGATATTTGCCAGAAAATGGATATTATGAGCTTTGACAAAAATATTTTGTTTTTCTTCATGGCGTATATCTCAGAACATAGATATTGTTCTGAGTGGACTGGAGGTGCGTGCAGGTCCTGGGCTTACCAATAGGGATTTTGGTTATAGTATGTTTTGCTTTTATGTAGACAAATATCTTCTGTACAGTCGCACCATAAAATACGAATACGTCTAGTTGTCATGCAATTCAATTTTTACAGAAGGAATGTTTGGATTGGAGCGGCTCTTTTGTTTTTCAAGAAACCCCAGTCCAATTTATTTTTGCCACCGTGTTCAAGTTCACATAACTGGCCACCTACAGACTCAGCCTAGCCATTGGTACACAGGCTTGTCAGGTTAAAGGAAGTCAGCAGAACACAAGGAAACTATTTGCTTTGCTTGTTTTTTCAACCCCCACCTCCCAAGATACTTAAAAAACAAACAAACAAAACATCTTCTTTTGTGATATCAGAAATGTATTCATAATATCTGGTCCAAGTCTGGTTACCATAGGAAAGAGTTCTACTGCAAACGTCTAAAAAAAGCTCCTGGGGCTATTTAAGGCAGAGAGAACCCCGCTTGGGCAAAGAGGATAGCTATCAGTTTGGAATTTCGTGTATAAAGAATGGTTAAACGGCCAGACATGGTGGCTCACGCCTGTAATCCTAGCACTCTGGGAGGCTGAGATGGGAGAATCATTTGAGGTCGGGAGTTCGAGAAGAGCCTGAGCAAGAGCGAGAGCCCGTCTCTACTAAAGACAGAAAGAAATTAGCTGTACAACTAAAAATATGTCGAAAAAAATTAGCTGGGCATGGTGGCGCGTGCCTGTAGTCCCAGCTACTCGGGAGGCTGAGGCAGAAGGATCATTTGAGCCCAGGATTTTGAGGTTGCTGTGAGCTAGGCTGACACCACCTGGAGCAACACAGCAAGACTCTGTCTCAAAAAAAAAAAAAAAAAAAAAAAAAGAAAAAGAAAGAAAAGAAAAGAAGAAGAATGCTTAAACGACGTTGGTCACATCCTTTGTGTACTGGCTTTCTCTTCAGGTGGGTGTGCGTGCGCCCAGGTGGCCAGCCGCGTGTGCTAGTCACCTGCGTTTCCTGAGTCCCAAACACAGGGTTCTGGTAGATTAAAGGGGCGGGCTCGTCAATTAGGAGTTCCTCGAGAAGGTTCCAATCAAAGAGCCCCTGGCGTCCCGGGCTTTCTCTGCGATGCCTGCCGCTGGCCAGAGTCTCGGGCGGCCGGGCCGCGGGGGGACGAGCGCGGCGGCGGGGCTGCACGGCGCGCCCCAGGAGCCGGAGCCGCAGTCCGGGGCGCAGCCTGGCGCCGGGAGCCCCGGGATGCAGGCGGTGAGTGACCCCGCGGGCCCGCCCGAGCTCTGTCCGAGCTGGGCCCCTCGCCCCGGCCGCAGGGCTCGCGAGGGCGCCGCTCCCTCGGGCTCAGGCTTTGCGGCCCGAGGTGGTCGCCCGGGGGCGCAGTCTGCGTGCTCGCCCGGAGACCCGGCGCGGGGCCTACTCCCCGGCCGTCGCCGCACCAGGCCTTCGGGGACCTCTGAGCGCTTCCACCTCCTCAGCTTTGCTCGGAGTTCACTGGCAGCTTTCAGAGGGAAGACAGTGTAGAAGCCCCGTGGTTTCCCCTTAATAAAGGGCTCCGAGGAGGGAGAACCGAGAATTCACGTTCAGAAGGTAATGAGATCTGTTCAAGTAGCGGGGGATGTTTTCCCAGCGGCGTTGAGCCTTCTTCCCCCTTGCGGGCGGGCGGTGCAGGGACGCTAAGCAGTCCCGAGCGCCGGGACTTCAGTCAGCCGCGACGGGAAACAACCCCCACACGGCCTGGACTCGGACCCGCCCGAGCGCTCGCTTTTCGGCGTTCACGTCACTAGTATTCGTTGAATACTCTGCTGGTGAAAAAAATAAGTCTGGTGTTGGGTCTTTGAGTTCACCCTGTTTTTTATAAGTAATGACGATAGTATTGTAAACTACACCGACATTTAAGGATTTTGGTCAAGTTCACATAGAAGGCTGTTAGCCCGAACTAGATTTTAAAAAACATTTTGTGTGTATTATACTTCTTAATTAAATTAATTTGGGGGATGAAGTGAAGAGAGGTTATTTAAGGCGGCAGAGCGTGTTGTACAACCAGTGTGGCGGACCAGGGGCGTCTTCGGTGTAACAATCCACTACGAAACGTCTTGGACACTTCTGTGGTTGTCGGTGTTTGATCCTTGAAATTTCAGTGTGGAAGTCCCAGGGTAACATTTAAAATTTGTATATCACAAATATAGAGCTTAAATTCATGGCTCTGCTTAAGATACTTTAAAAAAAAATAAAGCATATTTGATTTCAAATATAAGAAAAATATATTCTTATGGCAAAAACGTTCAACAGGAAAAATAATTGAAAGAAGAGAAAGCACAGTCTCATTTCATCAAATCAACCTGATTATATTTTGCTGTATTTCCTTCTTGTGTTTTTTTGCTGTTTAGTATTTTTCTTTTTCAATACAAAAGCAACCCATCATTTTTAAAATAATAGATATGAGATTTAAAAAATCATCCTATTTCTAATCCCTAAGGAATAACTACTTAGCTTTTAAAAAATTTCCTTTAGTGTTTTTCTACAATCACAATTGTATTTTCAAAATATGAGTCATCCTTATGTATATAAAATTTGGTATCATTTGGGTTTTTAAATTTATAAAACCTAATTATGTTTTCCATGTTTCTTTAGCATGTTTATGATAAGTGAATATTCAAATTTCTATTTTTCCACTTAACATTGCACAACTACATGCCTGGGGCAAATATTCATTCTGACTAGCTTTTTTGTTTTTCTGAAAATGTCCTAAATAAATACTGACAGATGCTTATAAATTCCTATCCAAAAATCCATCACTAAGAAAAAGTGTTGCTTCCTTGCTTCCAGCTGATAATTTTAAAATATTTTTGAAAGACTAAGTGTCCTTAAATAATTTCTTTTGGAAATGTATGGTTTTTAAAAAATTCAGTTTTTTTACTCAGATTCATCCCTACATACTTATCTGACTTCTTTCTGGTGTTATATCCTGATTTTTTGTTGTTGTTTAATTTAGTGCACAGTATTTAAAATACCTGTGAACCTGCTCCTTCAATTTGAGTGCCTAGATCTGTGTTTCTCAAACCAGCTGTACATTAAAAACATGTGAGATTTGAGCCCACCCAAGGATACAAAAAAAACCAAAAAATAAAAACTCCCACCCCCAAATGAAAAACATCTGGAGTGTGTTTAAAACATTCTACTTTACTGCTTCGGAGAAATTACCTGCTGGAAGAAATTCTGATTTAATTGGTCTGGGGTGGGGCCCTAGTTTGTCAGTTAGGACCAGATGATGCTAATACTCAACTAGGCTAGAAACTCTTGTTCTCTCTAAAATTCATCTGTCATCTGGCTCCATTTTCCCTTCTCACTCAAGCCATGGCTAGAGTCCTGACAGGAGAGTCATGGGGAGGCAGATTTGGACACACACTATTGTAACATCAAGATAAATGCAGAGCACCTAAGCATATTCTCCTCACCATCCCTCTTAATATTGATTACTGCCCTTTGTTGAGTGTTATGTGCCAAACATAATGCTAAGAACATCACAAACATTATCTCAGTCAATCCTCACTCCAGTCCTTTCATATAGGCGTTATAATTAACATTTTTAAAATGAGGAGACTGAGTCTTAGATATTCTAATGATCTTTTTGCCTAAACCATCCCACTTTCTGATTTTCCAGTGGAGGTGGAGGCCCTGGTCACAAAAGCTGTGGCATGCCCTTTTGTGCACTAGAGTGGCCCCAGAAATCTCAGGAAGCACACCTAGGGAATTCCGCAGAGTCCTGAATGCCAAGGCAAGAGAGGGCTGGGAGGAGGTAGAAATTAAAGCAAGCAGAGCATCTCTGCATAGTAATTGAAGAGGAGAGAGGGCTGTGTCTATAGAGAAAAGGGGGAAAGACGGTTAACATGAGGGCTCCTGAGAATATTTTCTGAGGTAAGGGTAGAAAGTATTTCCCACTAATTCAGAATTTGTTGGTAAAATTTAGAAATTCTTTTTAGATCCATAGCAGAGTATTTATTTGATGTCGGCCTATGCTGAGTTAACACCCAGTTTTAACTTAGCTTTAGTTGCTCCTTCTGTCTTTTTACCTCTACTCTCAACAATCTAACAAATACAATGTTTTTCTTTTTTAACATTTTTACTTTTATTATTTTTAATTGACACATAATTGTATATATTTATGGGATACACAGTGATATCTCTATGTATACAGTGTATAATGATCAAATTAGCGTAATTAGTGTATCCATCACCTCTAACAATTTTTTTTTCCGTATTTTGGAGATGACAGGGTTTTGCTATGTTGCCCAGGCTGGCCTCCAATTTCTGGGCTCCAGCGATCCTCCTGCCTCAGCCTTCTGAGTAGCTGGGACTATAGGCATGCCACTACGCTAGACATATCACCTCAAACATTTATCATTTCTTTGTTCTTGAGAACATCCAAAATCCACTCTTCTAGCTATTTGAAAATATACAATAAATTGTTGTTAACTATAGTCACCCTACAGTGGTACGGAACACTAGAACCTATATTCTTCCTATCTAGCTGAAATTTTGTGTGTTCATTAACCAACTCCTGGCTGTCTCCTTCCCTCTCTCAAGCCTCTATTCTACTCTGCACTTTTAGGAGATCAATTTTTTTCGCTTCCACATGAGAGTAAGAGCATGTGTTATGTCTTTCTGTGCCTGTCTTATTTCACTTAACATAATGTCCTCCAGGCTCATTCGTGTCACCCTGAATGACAGGATTTCGTTATTTTTTATGGCTGAATGGTATTCTGTTGTGTGCATATACCACATTTTCTTTATCACTCATCTGTTGATGGACATTTAGATTGATTCCATATTTTAGCTTTTGTGAATAGTGCTGCAGTGAACATGGTAGTGTAAATGTGTCTTTGACACACTGATTTCCTTCCTTTAGGATATATACCTGGTGTAGTGGGATTACTGGATCATATCATAGCTCTATTTTTAATATTTTGAGGAACCTCCATACGTTTTCCATAATGGCTGTACTAATTTACATCGCCACCAACAGTGTGCAAGAGTTCCCTTTTCTCCACGTCCTTGCCAGCATTTATTTCTTGTATTTTTGATAATAGCCATCCTAACTGGGGTGGGATGATAGCTCATTATGGTCTTGATTTGCATTTCCCCGATCAGTAATGTTGAGCATTTTAAAATATACCTATTGGTCATTTCTGTGTCATCTTTTGAGAGATGTCTGTTTAGTTCATGTGCCCATTTTTAATTGGATTATTTGCTCTTTTGCTGTTGAGTTCCGCGTATATTTTAAATATTAGATATTAATCACTTGTTGAATGAATAGTTTGCAATATTTTCTCCCATTCTGCTGGTCCTCCCTCACCCCTCTTTCCCTTCCCCCACCCCTCCCTCTTCTCTTCTTTCTCTCTGTTTTGTTTGTTTGTTTTTAAAGACAGAGTTTCACTGTGTCACCCTGGCTGGAGTACAGTGGTGCAGTCATACCTCACTGCAGCCTGGAACTCCTGGGCCCAGGTGATCCTCCTGCCTCAGCCTTCGAAGGTGCTAGGACTACAGGAATGAGCCACTGGGCCCATCCAGTTGTCTCTTTGCTCTCTTCATTGTTTCCTTTGCTGTGGCAAAGCTTTTTAGTGTGGTATAATTCTGCTTTTATTGCATATGCTTATGAGATCTTCTCTATAAAATCTCTGCCCAGAAGCCTGCTCCAGACCAATATCTTGAAGCATTTCCTTTATTTATATATTTATTTATATATTTATATATTTATTGTATGTTTGTTTTTTGAAGTGGTTTCATAGTTCAGGGTCTTAAATTTAAGTCTTTAGCCTAATTTGAGTTGATTTTTGTACATAGTGAGAGATAGGATAGGGTGCTGGTTTCATTCTTAAGCACGTGGATATCCCAAATCAGACAAATATTTGCAGTAGATTAAATCACCCACCTTCTGAAAGCAAACTTCTCTCCAACAGCACAAGGGAAGAAATGTTCCTCTATACAGTGGAACGCAGTGGTTGGGCTGTGTTTTCTCCCTCCCTGTATTCATGCTCAAAATTCTATGCCCTTAAGTATATTTTTGCCACCATTCCATCTATCCCCCAAAGCCTACTCCTTCTTAGCGCACCACCAACCCCCCACCCCTACCATAAATTGGTTGAGTATATACAGAAGCAGGGGAAGGTGCATTATTTGATCAATACTTGGGAACAGGAAGTACTCAAGTACTTACTGAACCTATTTATGTGCCCTGATCATATACTGTCTAACGGATACCCCAACTGTTCCCACAGCTGTGTCCTTACCAGAAGCCAGACACAATAGCAATGACTTACTAGGAATATGGTATAGGACAAGTTGCTTAACACACATTTATTGAAGAGACCATTCTTTCCCCACTGAATATTCGAGGCACCTTTGTTGAAAATCAGTTGGCTGTAAACATGTGGATTTATTTCTGGGGTCTCTTCTGTTCCATTGGCTTGTGTGTCTTTCTATGCCAGTACCATGCTATTTTGGTTACTATAGCTTTATAGTATATTTTAAAGTCAGGTAGTGTGATGCCTCCAAAACACTTTTTATTTAACTTTATTTTATAAGCTCTCATTCTGAAATGGTTTATTCAAAGTTTTTCTTTCTGTTTTATGGACTTCATTATAGAGTTTAAATTTGTTTGTTTTGTATGATAAACAAAATGATGTTTTCTACTTGTGCTAGTTTGTATTGTATTTGTCATAGACCATGTTTAAAGAACCTTGGATGGCCAGGTGTGGTGGCTCATGCCTGTATTCCTAGCACTCTGGGAGGCTGAGGCAGGCAGATTGCTCGAGGTCAGGAGTTCGAAACCAGCCTAAGCAAGAGTGAGACTCCGTCTCTACTAAAAATAAAAATAAATTAATTGGCCAACTAAAATATATAGAAAAAATGAGCCAGGCATGGCGGTGCATGCCTATAGTCCCAGCTACTCGGGAGGCTGAGGCAGGATGATCACTTGAGCCCAGGAGTTTGAGGTTGCTGTGAGCTAGACTGACACCACAGCACTCTAGCCCAGGCAACAGAGTGAGACTCTGTCTCAAAAAACAAAACAAAACAAAACAAAAAACCTTGGATAGGGTTTTTTTTAAAAGGTATTATCTTACTTAGATCTATAATATGAGCAAATAAAAGTTTCTATTCAGGAAAACAATATAAACCTTTATTTCTTTTGTTTTATCTTTAAAACTTGAAATGCATTTCTTTGAAATAATTTTTTTTTAAAAAAGACATCTTTTTATGGCACACAGGAAAATGAAGGTTCTTTGCAGCCTGTTAAGGAGGATGATGAGATTGGAAAGGACCAGGATGCTTTCTGGGTAAAGATCACATCTATTTTGTATTCTTCGTGTGTGTGTGTGTGTGTGTGTGTGTGTGTGTGTGTGTGTGTGTGTGTGAGAGAGAGAGAGAGAGAGAGAGAGAGAGAGAGAGAGATTGATTGATTGATTGATTGATTGATTGATTTCTGGTTCTGTGTTCCCTGGGCCATTAGCAAAATTGTTCCTCCAGTTGTTTAAACCAGAAGCAGAGAGAGATTTGTTTCTACTCCTTTCCTAATCTTCCACATCAAATTTATCACCGTATCTACTCAATTTTACCTTTGTGAAAGTTGTCAGAATCAAAATGGAGTCACTAATGTTAAGAAAACCCTGACAGAGCCAGGGAAAGCCATGAAAAGAGGATTCTCCTGCTTGTGTGCCTGATAACAAAAAAAAGACACTATAAAAAGCACAACCGTGCACAAAGGCCATTACAAACTCACACAAAAAAGACTTTTGCAAGGACATCTCCCCTTGCAACTCCAGCCTCATACTGGCATCACCCTTATTATTGATCTTTGTAGCCAAAGGATAATTATTTCAAAACAGTTATGTAATCCTAATTTTTTCTTTTTAAAAGCCTTTGTTTTTCTTTTATCTCCTTGAATGTACACATAGTTTACAGTGACATATATATTCCCATTGCAGTGCTCTATTCTCAAATAGAGATTTTCTTCTAGAGAGCCTGTTATTTAGGTTGACACCTTCAACTATCCTACCAACATCCTAGTCTAAACTATCTTGTGTCCAGCACTGATGTAGATGTAGGTCATGGTAATGAACAAAAGAGACATAATTCCTGCCCTCGTGGGGCTTACACACTGGCAGAGAGCCAAAGAAACGGTTACTAAACAAAAAAGTAGGAAGAAAAAGAACAGGGTGTGTGAAGGAGAATGATCGAGGGTGCAGGGAGGCTCTTGGTCTACTTTAGAAAAGGTGGTCCTGGAAGACCTACCTGAAAAGGTGATATTTAAGCTGAAAGCTGAGGGGAACCAGCAGGTGGGAAGTGGTGGGAGAAGCAGTGTAGGCCTAGAACAGCCAGGACTCATGAGCAGGGAAGTCAGAAGAAGCTGACAGATCAGATCATGCAGAGCCCTGCAGACCACAGCAGAAGGTTTGGATTAGTTCTGAGTGCAGGGGACGCCTTGGTGGAGTTTTAAGCAGGCAAAAGAGAATCTGAGTGTGAATACCAGCTAGGTGATCGCACATAAGTTTGTAACCTTTCCCATCCTTGCTGTTGTTATCCTCAGATAAAGAGTCTGACCTCTCAGGGTGGTGCTGAGGGTCAAATGGGAACATCTGCAGAACACTTAACACAAAGAGGCACTTAACACTTGGCACAAAGATACTCATTTTGTGACAAAAAATAAAACATGCTTTTTAAATAGAGGAATATCAAATTCTGTTTCCCCATTTAAATCAGTATTAAGAATTAAGTGGAATTTTGAGCTGTATTCAGTAAAATTCCTTATTAAAATAGTATTGTTTATTGTAATTTAGCCCTTGTGATTGGACTGGATTTTTCAAAGACTAAAAATACAATATATATTTTGATTTTTCTTTCTTTTGTTCACTCAGCTCTCCAAGGTTAAAAAGCCTATTTTTTATAATATAGATATTTAAGAAAATGTCTGTTATTCACGTGTATATACTTAGAAGGATGTCTTGGCTAATGTTTGGGCATTATGGTCAATTCTGATCCATGGCATGTTTATCAACTTCCATTATCTGTAATTATTTTGTTTTTCCTCCTTGTATTATCTTTTGTGTCATACAATGAGTGGTCTTAAACTTGCATCCTTTAGTGTTTTAGAATTTCCAACATTACTAAGGGTCTTCACCTGTTGATATCTGTAATTCAAGTGTAGTTTTCGGGGTTCTCAAACTTGAGCATGGATCAGAATCACCCTGAAGGGCTCCACCCCAGAGTCTCCGTGGTCTCCAGGTCCTCAGGTGATGCCAGTGCTGCTGATGTCTGGCATCCACACCTGAGAACTCTCGCCTCGGGCCAGCAGAGCTTCAGACATTTGTTAAATGACAGTTCACTGTTCAAGATAGAGATCTCTGTTCTATATTTACCCTATATTATTTCACACTGAATTATTGTTAATGATATTATTAGAAATATTACTATTAGATATTATTAGAATTATTATTATTAGATATTATTAGAAATGTTCTTGGGGGAAAAAAGTAATTTGCACACTATCACCTTTCCAGCTGCAATCACTTATCACTGATGCATCCCATGATGAAAGATTTCAGAAAATAAAAGATTATTTTCAACAGAAACAGAGCCACTCTCCTCAGAAATATAATGATCTTCTGTTATACCATATTAACAGATCAATAAATAAGGCAAGTAAGTTGGTTTGTTTTGTGACCAAGATTCCAATGTATAATTATTTATAAGGTTTTTAATTTAATGTGGTCTAATACCTAGGAACTGGATAAAAATGAATTTCAGTATGTTTCACTGTTGCTGAAATGTATTCAGCGATTCTTCATAGATGATGTCAAAGAAGATGAGCCTTTGCTAATTCAGCAGGGACTGGTCCCGAAGATAAGTGTCACATTTTAATTTTATATGGTTTTGGGTAACTTGAAAAACTAGTGTGGATTAAGTTGTCTAGTATTTTCTCTTCCTCTGAAATCCAATTTGAAAAGAAATTGATAGCCATTATTATTGCCTATATGTAATAAAAAATGAAATTCAACACATTTCCAGATGTATATGCTGGGCAGAGCATGTCGGGAGTTTCGGGATTGAGCCAGACACAACTCCTCCTCTTGACAAGCCTATGCAGTAATAGCATATTTTTAATTATTTTAGTGAATTTGGGGAAGATGAGTAGAGAATAGGCTCTGTAACTATTTTAATAGACTTTATTAACCAGATTAGACCTAGAAAAATTATCAAATACTTCCCTTTGCCCTTACCTTTTCTACTTCCTAAACCTTGGATGAATCTGGAAAAATAAATAGCAAAAATATTTTTGCTGATTCAGAGTCACCCCAGCTACAGAATTTCATTCTGTTGTGTAAAGTTAACCAGGAGGTAACATGCTAAGTGCCTTTATAATCCCACCTGGCAGCGCAGCAGCGTTTGCAGCAGCTCTTGCTGCCCTTCCCCGATTTTTCACAGGGAGGTTTTAGCAGCACTGAGATGGTTTGTTTATTGCTGAGGATGAACTGGCTGGTGAGAATGTCTGTGATTTACTCCCTGGGCTCTAGTACCTAAGGTTTATTAAGGCCAGGTGGGGCCAAGAAGATCTGTCTCTGCCCCTGTTTACCCTAAAATGCTTCTAATTATGAAGCTGCCCCTTCAGGGGAGAAAGGGTGAGCTTCAGGCTTTCCCAACCCCTCTCAGGGACTTTAAAAGTGTTTGCGGGGGATTTTAAGGGCTGTGCTTATGCACACTGTATATGTTTCATTTTGCATTTAACCCCGCTTGACTCCCTGATACACTAACTACACTATCATGCAGATAACAGGAAGCAGGGAAGAGGAGATAAAACCCCAAAGGAAACAGAGCAGGAATACCCCAAGGATACCTTGGAAACTTAAGCTGATTTTGAGGAGTATGAGTTGGAATATGCCTCAACCTGCCCTAAATTTTTAAATTTAGGTTTAAGAATGCCCTCTCAAGGTATAAAAGTGTCAGATCACATCTCCACTGCAGTTTTGAAATCAAATAGGATGTTCCATATTCCCCTGGAGTTCTAGTTGGTGATGGAAATTTAATAACCATAATTTAGGTACTGTTATTTCACATAGGTTTCGGCCTGGAGAATAGATTGAAATTATCAAAGAGAATGGGATGCTAGACTCTATACTTCTAAAGACAATAGTGTTTGCAGACTCATTATAAAGTGTGCTTGGACATCATTCTCCATAGAATAAGAATTTCCTGCAGCAAGGAACATGTTTAGTTCTATACTATAAAATCCGGGTGGATTAACACATTGCCATGTGAATTGTATTTAAATCACGCTAATTTTGATCCCGGGGCCTTGTGAAGCAAAGCCCTGCAGTTGGGTGAAATCTTATTCTTATTGTTACAATTAGTATTGACAATTTCATTCTAAAAATGTGGATTGTATTGCATATAACTCATGCATAGTAAACAATAACAAATAAAAAATAACAAATTAGGATCATTTGTTTTACTAAAACATCGTGGCCCCAGGGAAAACAAAATTTCTGGTGTTAAGCAACTTGTCCTGTACCATATTCCTAGTAAGTCATTGCTATTGTGTCTGGCTTCTGGTAAGGACACAGCTGTGGGAACAGTTGGAGACAGTGTATGATCAGGGCACATAAGTAGGTTTAGTCAGTACTTGAGTACTTCCTGTTCCCAAGTATAGATCAAATAATGTGCCTTCCCCCACTTCTGTATATACTCAACCAATTTATGGTAGGGGTGGGGGGTGCGCTGAGAGGGAGATAGGCTTTGGGGGATAGATAGAATGGTGACAAAAATATACTTAAGGGCATAGAATTTTGAGCATGAATACAGGGAGGGAGAAAACACAGCCTGAGTAGTGAGTTCCACTGTATAACATTTCTTCCCTTGTGCTGTTGGAGAGAAGTTTGCTTTCAGAAGGTGGGTGTGATTTAATCTACTGCAAATATTTGTCTGATTGGAGATAAAAGAAACCTTACTTGCAACATAGTGGTTCTCAGCCCTTGCTGTACATTACAGTCACCTGGGGAGCTTTAACACCCCCCCCCCCGCCCCCCGTGGTGCTGATTTACTGGGCCGGGGTGGGTCCTAGGCATCAGGGGTTTTCAGAGCTCCCAGCGTTTTCCACGTACAGCCAAAGTTGCAGACTGATTGGTTTGTGTATGGTCTTCAGCTGGGGTGCCTTGGGTTCTTGGCTGCAAAGTACACAAAGTTTTGAAGGCTCTGCTCCTGTTTGTCACAAAGTCTGTTACTAACTTCATGTTCAACTGATAATTTCTCACTATGAATGCAGGATTTTTTTCTTTCTTTTTTGTAAGAGTGACCAGTCTTGGCAAAAATGCTTCAAAGATGGCTTTTGCTTTTTGAATAAATACTGTATATTCTAGAAGGAGTTACAGAAGGTTATTTGAAACCATACCAATCCTAGGAACTTAATATGAAACTGGATGTATATTCCTATAGGGGAAAAAATGTCCAATTAGCAGGAAGCTTTTGGCAAAAGAGAAACAGCCAGGTCTCAGGCATGTTTACCATAACCACAAATACTTCTGGAACATTTTCCAAATTCTGCACCTTCTTTGATAGTTTGTTTTCAACAGCTGCTTAGATCACAAGATCTCCCCCTGTGTTGGGGGGTTCATTTATCTTTTAAACCTTCCTCACTAACCCTTTTATATAGCTTTATGCCACTGAGCCTGGCTGAGTCTCAATTTTTTGCTCATCTCTGAGAACTTACTTATTACAGCTCTGTAGCCATATGGCTCCATCCTGAAGTGTTCAGACTTCATTGAAATGTTATGGAATAGAAAAAGGTCTTTAAGATAATTTTGCTCTAGTGAGAAAGTTATCTTGGGAAATTTTATTGAAATAGGCAGTCTTCAGTTTTATGTGGTTCCAACTGTGTTTCTTCTCCTGGGTACCTAGTTTCCTGGTTTGAAAGAACAGTAGAATTTCTGATCTTGGAAGACCTAGCATCAGACACATCGCTGCTGGGTGTTGTGGAAGACTTCTTTGACACGGTGTTGGTAAGGATGGGAGTGGATGCCTCACTGAGCAGATGCCATTGGTAATGGGCAGGAATCTTCAAGTTATTTATAAAACATGGTTTTCTAGAAGTTGTAAGTTTTGTTAAAAGACTCCCATATTTTATTGCTAGAATATTACATGACATAGTAACAAACATTAATATCTATAACCAATGTTATAGAAAATGAGAGGTGATTTGTTTTCATACAAATATATTATTCACCTGATGGAGGGTGATATGCTCATTTTAACTAAGTGATTGAAGCTCAGATAGGCTTTCTCTAAAATTCTTTCCTTCTGTATTTAAAGTCAACTCCTGCCTGTTAGAGACTATTAGCTTTAATGCATTCATGTTATAGTTTATAATGCTATTTTAAAGTAATGTGAGCTTTACTTTCTTTCTTGTTATTAGATTATTTCCAGGAGTAGTAGAAAAGGTAAGTACTTTATTGGCTATTACTTTTTCATTAATAGAATGTTCTGGTACAGAGAAAATATTTAAATGATATGTACAAGTAAAACGGGTTTAAACATTCTATTTAGATTTGTTGCCCCCTTGTGGTAAGTCACATCGTGATGTTGTAAAGAATGTCTTGATTTGCCTGAGGTACATTTTCACTTACCTGCTGCTGACACCTTTTGGCTACTTAGCTCTGTTCATGTCATGGAAAGTCACTTTTGTCATTCTAAGCCAGCAAAAGTTTACTATTTCTGATTTAACTTGGAGCTGATTCAGGTACCTTCTCTGTGTTTTAAGTGTGTGAAAAGTCAAATTTTAGAAACTTGGGAGGATAAATAATTGTTTTTCAGTTTACATCAAGTTAATCTGACATTTGAATTATGACCCAGGGATTCAAAGAAGCATTTAAAGTATTTGAACATTTTAGAAACTGGGGCCATCTTAAAATGATATGTCCTTTTCCTGTAGGGTATACCTTTTTATTTTTATTTTGAAAAGCTGTCATTATTCAACACTAAATTCTGCAAAGGACTATCTTGTAATTGAGGAAAGGACGGTATCAGGTAATTGAGGAAATTCAGTACCAGAAGCCTCAGTGGGCAACATGCTTGATTGACTTTAAAGTCACTTTTCTCCTACCTCTTGAGTTACCATGCTCCTCATTCTTCTTCCATAGAGCCACATGTTGTTAGTTTCTCTTACAACTCTTAAAATGAAAACATGGTATGGCACCTGGCATTGCTAATTAACAGGACACACAAATACCTTTAGAGTCCAACTGGGCTCTATTAGAATCTTTCTTTTAAGTTTTCAGCTGGTGGGCAAATTGTTGGCATAGCCCCTGGCTAGATTTCTGATGGTTTCCAGAGCTCACCCAGCAGTATCAAGGTGATTTGTTTGGCCTGAAGGAGGAATCTTTTATATTTCTATTTTTTAGTTTGGGTTCCTACAATTTCATGAGTTATATTGGGAGTTAAAGGTATATAATATGTTATAAATAATTCACATTTAAAAGTTATACATCTGAACTCATCAAAGTTATGTTATGAACTTACCTTGAGTTTTTACAGTGTATACCCCCATTGTTTCATATCTTAACATAATGCACATAATGAAATCATAATTTATCATTTAAGCATAAAATATTACTATGTACCCTGTTTTTTGTTTTTTGTTTTTTTTACTGTGTACTGACATATAAATAGCTGTTGAAGTTTCTGTGATTATTATTCAGTATAGGCCAACACTTTATTTAAAAATTCTGTTAGTGCAAGATCTTATAAATTTTTTATTTTTGTAAAATACACAAATGTAAGAAACACATGGAAATGACAGGAGACTGTCTATAGGAGCTGCCCTTTGCACATTGCTGAGTCTGGACAAAAACATGTAGCTTTGCTCAAGGCATGATCACAGTGAGTCGGCATACTCTGCATGTGCTGCCATTATTTTCCTTAGTGGGTATCTATGTACCGCAAACCTGCTGTGGCCTGGGGTTTCTATAACTTGAAGCAGGCTGTAATTCATCCATTGCCCAGACTCTCTCATTTCCAGTTGTTTACTGTTCCCATGACTCTTTCTGTCTTTGTCTCTTCCTGCTGTGTAAGAGTCATTTCCTTACTGTTTTTAGCATAAATTTGATTCTCATTTGCAATTATGCTTTCAGGGAAAATTCAGATGTTGGATTCCTTCCTACTTAGCTTAGGATTCCTGGTGACAGAAAAGACCATAAATCGCTTACTTCAACAAGAGGTGAGTTGCATATGTTAGGTTGGTGCAAAAGTAATTGCGGTTTTAGCATTCTTGAAATTTGCAGTTTGCTATTGTAATATTAATATATCCTTAAATGTGGTTATGTTATATATCATTTTAATGCTCATTTCTCACTTTGTTTTTTTGCTAATGACATTACTTGCTGTTTATATTTATTTTAGATTGTGCAAATGATGTTAGACAAAAAGCAAATTCCAGCGATTGTCTTATTCTAGTTCAAAATAGGTCGTAAAGCAATGGAGACAACTTGCAACATTAACAATGCATTTGGCCCAGGAATTATTAATGAGCGTACAGTGCAGTGGTGGTTCAAGAAGTTTTGTGAATGAGATGAGAATCTTGAAGATGAGGAGTGCAGTGGCCGGCCGTGGGAAGTTGACAACGACCAATTGAAAAGCAATCATCAAAGCTGATCCTCTTACAACTATGAATACAGGAGAAGTTGCCAAAGAACTCAACGTTGACCATTCTATGGTTGTTTGGCATTAGAAGCAACTTGGAAAGGTGAAAAAGCTCGATAAGTGGGTGCCTCATGAGCTTACCAAAAATAAAAAAAAATCATTTTGAAGTGTCATCTTCTCTTCCTGTACACAACAGTGAACCATTTCTCTATTGGATTGTGATGTGCGACGAAAAGTGGATTGTATACAACAAGCAGCAATGACCAGCTCATTGGTTGGACCCAGAAAAAGCTCCAAAGCACTTTCCAAAGCCAAATTTGCACCAAAAAAAGGCCATGGTCACTGTTTGGTGGTCTGCTGGCGGTCAGATCGGCTTTCGGAATCCCAGTGAAACCATTCCATCTCAGAAGTGTGCTCAGCAAATCGATGAGATGCACCGAAAACTGCAACGCCTGCAGCCAACATTGGTCAACAGAAAGGGCCCAATTCTTCTCCATGACAAAGCCCAACCACAGGTCTCACAGCCAAGGCTTCAAATGTTGAACAAATTGGGCTACGAAGTTTTGCCTCATCCGCCATGTTCACCTTACTTCTTGCCAACTGACTACCACTTGTTCATGCATCTTGACAACTTTTTGCAGGGAAAATGCTTCCACAACCAGCAGGATGCAGAAAATGCTTTCCAAGAGTTTGCGGAATCCTGAAGCATGAATTTTTACACTACAGGAATAAACAAACTTATTTCTCATTGGCAAAAATGTGTTGATTGTAATGGTTCCTATTTTGATTAATAAAGATGTGTTTGAGCCTGGTTATGATGACTTAAAATACACAGTCTGAAACCGCAATTACTTTTGCACCAACCTAACAAAACAGATGACAGTTGCCCTAGAAACTTTAGAGAAGGTTGTGCATAAGTCTTTGTTTTGTTTCTTCTCCATGAATGCCTACTCGGATTCCAAAAAGGCTTTGAGCATTTTGAACTCCATTTTGTGTGGTGTACCTCGGGAAGAGAGAAAAAAATTCCCTTTGTCAGAAGGCATATGTCGTCTTATGTAAGTGACTTTGTGCAAGTTATGTGATGTAGTATGAGTAAAATCTCTCATGACTGTACTACTTCAGTCTTTGTTCTCCTTAGATCTGATTATGTCATTCTTCAGTAAATGCTTTGTACACTTAATATGTATATATCAGGCACTATGCTAGGTAGTGAAGAGGCACTGAGAAAAAAAGTGTTAACTACAAAAAAAAATTAACGAGGTCTGTACTTTGGAAAAAGGCACTAAGTTATAGGAGGAATCATGAATATTTATGAGAGAAAAATAATATGCATGTAATGAGCTTTATCTCTCTCATCCCCTCACAGCTGGGTGTTTTAAGGTGTTTCTGTGACCCCCTTGGCAGAGAGGGGTCCATTCAGTTAGCAGAGGGCTTCTGATTTTCTTTTTAGTTTCACAAAAGGCTGATTTTGCTAGATTCTTCTTTCTTTTTTTAGTGGTATGGAGTATTTTTTTTTTTTTTTGCATCAAATTTGTGAGGCAAAATGCTTTCTCAGGCTACAGATTATTTTTTCCTTATGAATATGAACTGAGTTAGTGACTCATGGAAGAATGTTAAGAGAATGTAGACACTAGGGCCAGCCTGCTTGGCTTCAATCCTGGTTTTGCCACATAATGCTAGTAGTTTATGAGCACAACCTTGACCTCATTGTACCTCGGTTTGCTCGTCTGAAAAATGGAGTCAACAATAATATTTACTTGATAGAGTTATCGTAAGGGTTACATAAAGCAATCCATTTAAAGTGGTTAAGCTGGTAAAGTAGTTACCTGGTAAAGAGTAACCAGATTGCCAGTTACCAGCTATATCAATTGGGCATGGAATTTGTATTGCTTTTCAAGGGATGGGTGTTTTGGTTTTCGGTGACCCAAACTCACAGTTACATAGTTCTTGGGACATGAAATTTGGAGGTAAGGTTGTAACATGTGGCCATGGAAACAACAAACCAGCACCCTGTTTTGAAATTTGAACCTAAACACATGACTGTGCCAACACTAACCAGCATAGAGGACATCATTGTGGCACATCGTTCACGGGGCAGGCAGAATGTAGGGTCTGAAAGGGGTAACTGATGAGCTTGAGCTTATTGCCATCATGTTTGCCCATGGAACTCATCTTTGCAGGATGTAGTTTTTCCGCTGAATTTTTCCTAAAACATTTATCAAATGCATTAGTGAGATCGCCACTCTTAGCAGTATATTTAGATTTGGAGAGCAGCTGACCTAATGTTTTCTCCTAAGATGTCAAAGTAATCCTATGGTCAGACTATTTTCTGTGTGTTCTAGAAAGTCTGGAATGTTCTGGACTTTAAGTCAGTGGTAAAACATGCAAGCATCAAATTAAGCAGAACTGTCAGTGCTACTGTTTTAAGGCTTCTATTTTATAGTAACAAATCAATTCACTTATGAGAAACTGAACTATCATAAAACTTCTTAACACATCTATTCTTTAAAATGAGAGCTGTGTCAGAATCCATAGGAACATGTAAATAAATAAAAAAAAAAAAAATGAGAGCTGTGATCTGGGCACAGTGGCTCATACCTGCAATCCCAGCTACTCCGGAGGCTGAGGCGGGAGAATCGTTTGAGAGCAACTTTGGTGAGACCCCATCTCATAAATGAATAAATGTCTGAGTTATTTTAGACATTAAAAAGATTGACATTATACTTGTTAGCATTTAGCTGAAATTCTACATGAATATACAATATGGGAGTCTGTGTTAGTTACAATAATGTAATAATTTAATCCCATTACATCTCTAAAGTTTTTAAAATCAAATAGCTCATAGGAAAGAATCACGGGAGCGACTATCTCATTTTCTGCAGGTGTCAAACTATGTAAAAGGACGTACACCTCCATGAGCTGGTGAGTGACTCTAAAACTCCAGGGTCATAGCATTTGGTGACTCCTCAGAGATCATCAAATTGAATTCATTTTACAGAAAGGGAAATAGAATCTCAGAGTGTATAATAGTTCTAGCTTATTAAAAAATACATACAAGTCATTAACATATAAACTTGAGAAGGTTTTTCCATAAAAATGTATTATTTGACATTGAGGAAATTCTGATGCTGAATTTGAAATAGTTTTAAAGATATATATCTTGGTTTTCAAATATAATGCTAGTATTAAAAAATTGTACCTCTTGATGTTCATTTCACTTAAATGTAATTTATCTAAATGTTTCAGGAAGGACCTTGCAAGGACAATCTTCACTGTGGGTGGTAAGTATTTAGAGTTTTAAATATTAGAATATTAAATATTAGACACTGGGGGTTTTATGAGCATCTTGGAACTATGGTTTATTTATAAATTATGATCAAATTGAAAAGAGGAATTAGGATTTTATATTTATTTTGAGAGATTTTAGCTCTCAAAATAAATGCTGAAAACCATGAAGAATAATGAGTGAATATTCATTTACTCACCAGCCAGCTTTGTCAAATTTTAGCATTTTGCCACATTTGATTCAACCCTTTTGTTTTCAAAGAAAATCAAAGAAATCAGAGTCACAGATAAAGTCTCCTGTGTCCACCTTGTCCCTTATCCCATTTCCCTGTTCTTGATTCAGATCTGTTTTCATTCCCAACCTTATTTTTCTTCTTTTACTCTATTCATAAGCAATATACTTTATTATTTTGCAGATTTTAAAAGCATTATATAAATGCCATCCTATTGGGCTCCTGCTCCCATGTTAGCCTTAAAATTATTTGAGATTTAAACATGTTGATACATGTAGTTTTAGTTTATCTTCTGTGAAATACCACAATTCATCTTGGGATTTTATTTTTGCAGAATTATCTTTAAGGCTATTTGATGACCTGCTTTTCTAAATATATAAAGTATATTCTTATATTTTATATTTTCTAAAATATAGAATGCATAAATATGCATTTTAAAAATCACGATATGCCAAGCTACTGTTTATTTTTCTCCTAATATTTCTTAAATATTGAGTTTAAATGATTATAACTACTCCAGGATACATCTTGCTGCTTATAAGACACAATGCTAATCTTCTTAGATGGAATTTTTTAGAGCAATGCTAACTCTGAAACTCATTTTTTTGTTTAGCGTTGTGCCTAGAATTATCTGTCTACTATGTTTTTAATCTCTAGATTATGACCAGCAGGTTGCTATTTCTGAAGTATTGTGTAGACTGACGATGAAAAAATCAAGGGATGAACTTGTCCATCAGTGGTTTGACGATGATGTCATTGCTGAGGCTTTCAAGGAAATTAAGGACCGAGAATTTGAGACGGTGAGATCCTTAGTTGTACGAATTTCTATTTGGCCAGTATATGTGAAGCATCCTCTCGGTACTTTCCTGTGCCTAGAACTTAGGGGAGGATTTTTCACTTAAACTTCCTGTTTCCTACTTAAGCAAAACAATTTTTTTTTTTTTTTGAGACAGAGTCTCACTCTGTTGCCTGGGCTAGAGTGCCGTGGCATCAGCCTAGCTCACAGCAACGTCAGAATCCTGGGTTCGAGCGATCCTCCTGCCTCAGCCTCTCAGCCTCCAGAGTAGCTGGAACTACAGGCATACACCACCATGCCTGGCTAATTTTATATATATATATATATATATATACACACACATATATATATATGTGTGTGTGTGTATATTCTTATATTTTATATTTTCTAAAATATAGAATGCATAAATATGTATTTTAAAAAATTATATGCCAAGCTGTTTAGATTTTTCTAATATTTCTTAAATATTGAGAAATATTTCTTAAATATTTAATATATTTTAAATATTTCTTAAATATACTAAAAATATATATATATATATTTTGTTGTTGTTGTTGTTGGCCAATTAATTTCTTTCTGTTTTTAGTAGAGACAGTCTCTCTCTTGCTCAGGCTGGTTTCGAACTCCTGACCTTGAGCAATCCGCCGGCCTCGGACTCCCAGAGTGCTAGGAAGCAAAACAATTTGAAGAAAATACAAACAGAAGTGGGCCAAATATGAGGATAGAGGGAGGACTTTTTTTTATAGGTAACTTGAGACTGGAGACAGAACTATGTGAATTTGTTGGATCCAGTCAAAGAAAATGTCTTGGAGGGGTGAGCATTTTTCAGTGAACCATGAAGGACAGGAAGAATTGGAGAAGAAATGACAGCATTTTAGCCTTACAGGGGACAGCTGCCATGATGGCTGGAGGCTAGAATGGGTGTGGCATGCTCTGTGGCGGAGGAGTATTATGGGGTGGTTGTGTTCGGAGCCAGCCAGCCTCTCCAATTTAGAGAAACTGTAGTTTTCAGTGTCTTCTTTGCAGCCAGGACTCACTGGGATTCTGTCCTCAGGTAGCACAAAAATAGCTTATGGGTTTGTTGTGTATCTGCCTTCATCCTAAAATACCTTAAAACGTATTTATATGTCTTAATATAAAAAGTTCTTAAAATGAGGGTTAGGCTCTTTTAGGAAAAGGTAAAATTCTTAACAACTATGCTCATATTAACAAAGCCCTTCTGGTCAAACTGCCGTGTAATCAGGATTTTATGAAATCTGTAGTCTTTATGTTACTTCAGACTTCGAGCCTATTGCCATATATGGTACGTGGTAGTCGTTTAGCCAGAATTCAGTATGATCCAAATGGAAAGACCATGAGCTTTAGGGCTATCCCAAATTTGGATTTGAATTCCACCTCGGGTTTGAGTCCCACCGCCCTGACTTCTGTGATGTTTGCATTTTGGCAAGGCAGGTGATGTGTGGAGCCTGAGTGTCCTCATCTGTAAAATGGGAATAAGCCCCACCTCAAAATCCTGAGGACTCAGGGAAGGAGACTGAAAGGGCTGGGCTGCTGTGGGCACTCAGATGTTAATTTCTTTTCTCCTCTGTGGCATTCCCTCATTTGTAGGGAAATTTGATGAAAATAGGAGAAAAGTAAGTATCTTGTTTCCAAAATCATTTTCCCCCCAGAGCCATCAGCTTCTCAAGTGGCTTGCTTTTAGATGAAAGGCTGACACTGCTGCTGTCTGTTTAGAGCTGAATTTAGACGTGGTGAGAAAGGACCGTGTGACCACAGCAGCCAGTCCTTGAAAACAAAAGAGGACAAAAAGCTGGATCGGTGTCTCTTTGCCTATAGAATGTGGGAGGCAACACATTTACCTTCCTGATAGGAGAACTGTAAGAACAGTCTTTGTTGTTAGAACATATGCCAGGAGAGAGAACTCGGGAAGGGAGTGGGATAAGGAGCTCACAAAAAGAAAAACTGGCAATGGATAATACACTCAGATAAACCCAAAGTTGATAAATTGTGTGAGTTTGTGGTTGGTTTGTGCCAGGCAGGTGTTAGAGACATGGATGTCCAATGGGTTAGTCACATATTATGATCTAGGAGGTCATGAATAAGATGTATTTCTCTTGTTCAATCTTCTGACCCAGTGAAACATAATTGTGCATTTAACTTTTCAAGACCTAAATATTCCTGAGGTGAAAATCTGATGGCTGGGGGAAAAGGGAGTTCCTTCTAGAAACATATGCCTGGAGCCTCCTCTTTGTGGCACAGAGTATTGTTAACATATAATAATGATTTCTTATGAAGCTTCATGATGTTACTGTATCTTGCCCATTTAGAAGCAGATATGCTGATCAGAGTAGTATTAAATAAGACATCTTGATTTTTTTAATAAAAGGATTTGTTATTTACTTTGAAGGACGGTAGACAGTTTCTCAATCACCTAAATGACAGACTTGGTGACCAAAGAAGGTAAGATGTCTCTCTGAACATTGTTTTATTGATTAGTTGTATCCTGAAAATGTCTAGTATTTTAAAAGAACAGTCTAGGATGCGTTTCATTTTAGGAAAGAATTATCGGATGTGTCATTTACTGGGCACTACTGAGTTCCATTAACCTAGGAAGATTAGATCCTTTCTGTGTAGTGGCTCATTTGAGTATGTTTAAAACTTTATCAGTCTTTAGTATGTTTATTTATGATGTGGTATATCTTTGACATTACATCCTTTAGAAAGTCCATTGTTTTTATGAAGAGCAGTTTCCTACAGACTTGTGGTTACTGGAGATACGTGAATTATGGACAGTTATTAAATAAGTCCTTGATGAGGCAATACTTGCTGAATTCACTCCACTTTTTGGGAATCTTGCCAAGTAATTGGGTTGAAATATAGTACCAGTAAGCCTGGCTTACAGACTTCCAGAGGAGGTTTGAAATCTACCTATAGTGATCTCTGTTTGCAGGTTTGAAACCCCCTGTACAAGGAGCCTTATTGGCATGCCCTAGTTATAAATGCTTGTTGCAGAACGTCTGTAGGTATGTTTAAGGTCCATCCATATTTTATTTTTTAATTGTGAGATGTTTTGCAGGGTCTATTCACTTCCGTGCATTGCTGCTTTTGCTGATGAGAATGAGGTATGTTTGTCTGTCTTGGAGGTGTGCAGTGAAGGCCATAGTTAGGTTTATATAGTTAGGTCAAGCTTCTAACACAAAAGGGCTTTCTAAAAAAAGATGGTCATTTCTTCCCCCAGTGACCCCAACTCTCAAACTGATCGTACCATACTATAATCAGGATGCATTACCAGTAAGTTTGAGGGTTCCCCTGTTTACTACTGGAAGAGGAATTTTAGGCCCTGTACTTACACATGGAATTAACTCCAGAACGCTTGCTCATTTTACCCTGTTCATGGGTAACATTCATGCCTGTACTGGAGGGAAAAGGGTGATTTTCTTGCTGCTTTCCTTCCAGTTGATGCTTTCCCTCTTGTCCTTAACAATGGGGGCCACTCTTCTTTCTGTCCAGGTTATTCTGCCTTATATTTTGTAGCCCAAGGGTGACCAGCTTCTTTTCAACCCACTCTTTGGTTTGTAGAGGAACAAGGTCCTTCATGTAAAAGGACCCCGACCTGTAGCACTTCAGTGTTACAGTAAAACCTTCAGAGGTCTCAGAACCTTGCCTAGGCTGAGGTTTCCTGGACCCTGTCTTCCAGATTTCCTCATTTCCTTCTCTTTTGTGTTGGGTTCAGAGTCTCCTCCTTGGCCTCTGCGAACTGAGCCTCCCACTTATGACTACATTGCAAGTTCCTTCCCTCTAGGACTGATTTTGGTAGACGGATTCCTGTGCCTCAGTTCTGCCTGTTTTCCTCTGGTTGTCTGAGGATTCTGCTCTCTGCTTGGTTCTTCTTTCTAGGACTGCCAGATTTCCACCTGCTTCCATCAGAACCCTTACACCAGCCTTTACACTGGCTTCCCATAACACGTATCGTGGGTTAATCCCTTCATGAAACTCTATAGCTGTTAAAAAGTAGGCATGTATGATAAAAAGGAAAGATGTCCAAGAAATACCACTTACAGGAAAATCAGGTTGTAGAGTAGCAAGTCTAGTGTTTGTTCCATTGTTGGGGAATAAAGACTTTATATACATTTCTTGATATATGTCTAGAAAACACCTGAGAGAGGAAACAGACATTGTTGGTGCCTATGGAAAGGTACCTATGTGGGCAGAGAAGCAGATTTTTACTGTTTCTATAAACACCATACTGTTTGAATCTTATATTTATAATAATTAAAATGATGGTAATTTGAAATCTTCAGGTCTTGATGGTAAGTTAGATGGAAAATCAACACTTATATTTGATCACAATATCTTCTTCTGCGGAAGTTTCCATCCATATGGAGTGTGGATTGTTACTGCTTCAACATAGAACTGTTTTCTCTGAGATTCTCTCCAGAAAAAAAAAATGTATGAATAGAGTCATTCCAACACATTTGAATAGCCATTAAATATGATAAAGATAGTGGGAAATTTTTTTAGTGGCTTAGTTATATAAAATTGAGATCCTTCTGTTTTGCACAAAATGAATCAGGTGATAAAAGGAGACCCTATAATGGTAAGATAGTGTTTTTACAGGAACAGTACAAGTTCTGTTTTTAATAGAATAGTTTTATCTGACCCTTTAACATGATTTTTATACATATAATTCATGCCAAAATTATCTCTTACAGATGAGAAAACCAGCAGATGAAAAATTAGAGAAATTTTGGATTGATTTCAACTTAGGAAGTCAGAGTGTAACTTTTTATATAGAAAATGCTGAGGTAATGATGATTGATTCCTGATTAGACCTAAGCACGTAGAGATTGTTTATAAGGCTGAGTATATGTTATGTGCTCAAGAATTTCACTTATTTTTTTCCCCAAGAGTGTTTTATGGGACCCAGTAAGACTTTCAAAGGAAGCAGTGATGAATTTTAGCATAATAGGTAAGGTGATAATTTTAAACTATCCCATATGTAGAGTACTGTTTTTGTTTATATTTGCAGTATATATTTAGTTAATTCTAGGGCATATTTGATCATGAATTGAGGTAGAAGGAAGGCTGGATAGTACAGTGGAAAGAATACTGTTACGGGTTGGTGACGACTTTGCTTTGTGTCTTTGAGGTTCAGTTACTTGCCTAGTTTTCTCATTGTAAAAATGGTTATAGTTTCTCAAAAAATTAAAAATAGAACTACCATATGACCCAGAAATCTCACTTCTGGGTGTGTGTGTGTGTATGTGTGTGTGTATATATATATATATATATATGAAAGAACTGAAAGGAGGATCTCAAAGAGATATTTGTATACCCTATGTTTATAGCACTATTACTCATAATAGCCAAAGGTTAGAAACAACCCAAACGTCATTGAGAGATGACAGAATTCAGAGTACACATACAATGGAATTATTATTCAGCTTTAAACAGAAAGGAAATTCTGACACATGCTCCAACATGTAGGAACCTTGAAGACATATTAAGTGAAATAAGCTGTCTCAAAAGACAAATAATGAATGATTCTACTTATATGAGGTTTCTAAAGTAGTCAAATTCATAGAGACAGAAAATGCAATGGTGGTTGCCAGGGCTGGGAGGAGGGAGAAATAGGGGGTTGTTGTTTAATGGGTATAAGAGTTTCACTTTTACAAAATGAAAATGTTCTGGAGATCTGTTGTACACCAATGTAAATATATGTAACTATTGAACTGTACACTTAACAATGGTTAAGATGGTAAATTTTGTTGTTTATTTTTTTTGCCACAATTAAAAACATGATTATAGTACCTGCCCTCCCTCTCAACAGAGTTGCAGTAATAATCAGTGAGTTTATATGGGTATGTACTACCTGTATTTAAATACCAGGTCTCTGACCCCCTCTCCCACTTAAAACTCCCTCCCTCCCCTTTTATCTTGGCTTGGTAGAAGCCGTTGAGGGGCATGGAATCAGGAACAATCCTTTTCTGGGTGGGTGTAAGTAAGTTGTTAATCCAATTCAGCATTTCAGTTATAATTATATTTGATCAGTTTTCCTGAACTGGATCTTTAACAAATAGATGGATATTTGTGAAAGTAACTCAGTATCCATACATTTCTAAGTAACTGGGTTTACTAAATAGTTAAAACTTAATATTATGTAATTGTATGGATGTTATACTTCTTTCTTACATATTTATATCAAAATAATAGAAATGGAAAATTGGAACCACACACAAGAGTAAAAATGTCTACCATGGAGACTAATCTATAATGGCCCTCTTGGAGATTCACCTTTGATGCTTAGCTTCTGAAAGCCAGAGTAAAAAGTGAAACATGACTTGTAACATGTTCATCGTAGAAGTCTTGAGGAAACTAATGCTTCCTAACCTTGAACTCTAACTAAATGTTCTCCCATGGGACTATTTAAGGGTAATCCTTTAGCCCTGAGTTCCCCTTGTATATAAGAATTTCTTGTATATAAGCATTAACTTTGGCGTTCTGATAAAAGATAACTTTTGAGAATGTGAAATCATGACAAATGTAAAATGAGTGTGTGTTGAGGATTCAGTTTAATTTGTTAATTAGTAAGGAAATCAGTAGATCTAATAACCAGTTTGAGGGAGAATCCAAAGAACCACATGTACATAATGCTGAAATGAATTTACAAATAAATGCAAAACTAGACAATTGCATACCACAGACACAATAATTTGCATTTCAGTGGATAAGAATTACTTGCATCATTATCAGTTTTCTACAATGTACAGAGTTAAGAAATAGCTCAAGGACAATGCCAGGTGCCGAAAAGCCAGGACATGGTAGGCAGGCACCCAGTAACTCTTTGGTCCATTTCAAAATCTTTCACACTTTTTCCCTGTTTAGTTTTTTTTAGTGCCTGTGAGAATTTGTTCCAATGGTCAAGAATTTCTAGTTTCTTCTGTTGGGGATTATTAGAAAGCAAGAGGAAGTTAGGATAAGGAGATTAGGAAGTACAGCAAGTGGTAGAGGAGGAGAGACCATTATAGTGAGGCTCTGGGAGAATGAAGGAAAGTGGGTGTAGATTTTGGAACTATACCTATTGATGTCTGAGGCAGAGTTGAGAGAACTGAGAAATGGAAAGAGGTGGCAATTATGTTTAGTCACAGAATTGGGAAGACATTGAGTTGGAGGTGCCTGCTATATGTGAAACTGCCCTTTATAAAATTAATAAAGGGCCACAGCTGGGAACTGTGGTAGGGGAAATATGTATATAACCAGCCCTTGTTCTCTGACTTGCTTTCCCATAATTGCTCACTACCCAGGAGTCACATAGTTGATGGGCCATAAAGATTCTTAGCTTTCTTCATTGCTCCCATAGATGACATCACCCTTGTGAAAAATAAGGCTAGTTTTTGGGATATCTTCCAGGCCCTGCGTTCTGGGGGAACAGCTGACCCACCCAGACCACTGGCCCATACTGAGAAACTGAATCAACTGGTCTTACAGCCCCCGGCTCAGCAAAGGAGACAATTTCTGTACCTCTATGGCTCTACCCTGAACCTAGCCAATCAGCAGACCAGTTGCCTAGCCCTTTGACTGCCAAACTATCTTTAAAAACCCTTTCTCCCAAATTCTTGGGGAGACGGATTTGAGAAATTTCTGCCACCTCCTTGCATGGCACCTGTGATATTAAACTCTTTTTCTGCTGTAACCCCTGCTGTCTCAGTGTATTGGCTTCCTCGAGCAGCAGGCAGTGAACCTGGCAAGGCTGTAACGTATGTAGTCAAGGAAAGTGCTTTACAAACATCTCAATAGAAACATAAATATAGCCATAAATATAAATGAAAAGTGATGACAACCCCAAATAGGTGACTGAGGCAAAGATTTCAATCAATGGAGGTGTTTTAAGCCACAGTTTGAGGAATCGCCCAGGAAAAACACAAAAACCACAGGTGCACCTGTGACTTTTTCCCCAGCAGATCTAGGAGCTCAGTATTTAAGGGGAGGATGGGGGGGGGCAGTGAGACCAATGGTTACATTCTTGTGAGGCCCAGGAAATCTATTGTTTACATAAGACAAGGCAAATGTTTGAAGAAAAAAAGGGAGTGAAAGAAGAATCAACTATGTAGATGTCCCTGTGTAAGTGGAAGAATGATTGATCCTGTCTCTGTTCTTCACCTGGGAAGAAAAACTTGTAATCAACATCATTAGTGTGTGGAATCAAACAGACTTTAGTTTTAGGAGCCAGACTTAGCCTGCAGACTCAAAGTTACAATTTGCATATCCTTGTTAATGGGAGGCCAGCCAGAATTTTCCTTATGAGTGATCTGTGGGGGCCTTTGACCTTTCTGTAGGGATCTGGCTAATGCATAATGTCAATAACAGCTGTTCATTTGGAAGGGGGTGATGTGTGACTCAGCCTCCAGGTTTGGCCTTCCCTTTTGCTAAGGAGTTGGGGGTGGTCCTGAGATTTTTATTTTCCTTTACAGTTTCTTAATATATGTAATTATTATTTGTTACTATTATGTATATAATAGGATATATAAAATGTCTATAATAATATTTAGAGTAAATATAAATATTTTATAAGTACTTCCATGAGTTTTCTGATTAGGGTACTCTATGCTAACTATTGCTCTTCCTGTTTTAAGTCTCTCAACTGTAAACTTTGCTACGATAGTGGTTTTCAGGAACCAACTTGCTAAAGTTCATATTCTATACTCATATTAATATATCACACTTCTGTGAGGCCTTATAATTGACAAAATGTCTCGCAGTAGCTGGAGAAAGTAGGTGGTACTGCTTCTGTGTTTGTCTAGTAAATTCTACAAACAAGACTTTTTCATCATAGCCCTTGCAGCTATGGAGTTGGCAATGTAGTATGCTGGAAGTTTGCTGTAGCCCTCAGGGTATTGCTTCTGACTCTTACATGTTTGCACTGATTCTTACAGCCCAAGTACCTAGTTACTTTTTCAGATATTTTTATTAATAAAATTACCTTTGTTGCAAGGTTTAATAGACTTTCCCCTGCTGTGACAAGTAAATATTGAGTTAAGGTCAGCATTTTGGGGAGATCACTGAGCTTTGCTCTAGACTAATGCTGTCTTATAGAAATAAAATATGAGCCACAAACTTAATTTAAAATTTTGTAGTAATCATATTAAATAAAAAGATTAGTTTTAATAATTTATTTAACCCAATAGATCAAAATTATTAACACATAACCAATATGAAAATTATTAATGAGGTATTTTACATTTTCCTTTTTTGTACTGAGCCTTCACAATCTGATGACGTGAAGCCTGTGTTATACTCACAGAGCATCTCAATTGGTACTAGCCACGTTTGACTTCTCTCCCTTACTAGACGGCATGGATCGCACCTGTGTATGCTTCACTCTTTTTTTCCTCTTTCTATTCTCATCAATTTGTGCCCATTAGCTTTGCCTGTCCTTTCATGGACTTTACTGCCTTTGTTCTGCTGCTTCCAATTTACCTTGTCCTTGTACTTGCTGATTCTTTATTACTCTTTAGTAATTTGGTTTAAGCTATTTTCTCTTCTAAACCTAATACTATTGGTCAGGAAAGGGCTGGTGACCTGGTAGGAGCACTCAAGGAGGCTATTGTTCGAGACACAGACTTCTTTAAGATGCTCCCCATTTCTTTTCAAGCAGAGATTATCGAAATGGTGATGGATTATTCCATTTTGCATATTGGGAACAGTGAATTTATTTTGAATTTTAGAAATAAGGATTTCAGAGAGAGAAAAAGAGTGACTATTGTGCTTAGTATGTTTGGAAATAAAATACCTGTTGCAGTTGATAGCTTTGTGTAAACAAAATGTTCTTAGAAAAACCGATTGAATTACAGAGGACAAAATTATCTCCATTTCTTGCTGCTAAGCTACTTCCTATTTTTTGCAAGATCAACCATTTAATCATATCTTGTTAGTATATATAAACATGTGCATTTAATAAAAAGAATTTCAAAGTAATTTCACTTTATATGATTTCAATTTATCACATAAAAATCTGGACAATTGATAGATATCTCAGTGCAGTTATTTAAAGTTATAAAACTTTAAAATAAAACTTTTCAGTATGTTGATGTGCATTGCTATATTTCATTAGAAACTGAGAAGATGAAGATTTTTATCATTTACCTGAAGAAGCCTGTTATTATCAGCAAAAAAGAAGTGATGAAAATAGAAATCCATTTTGATTTGCAATTCAACGTATCACAAGCTTCCATGCAAGCTTTAGGAGAAGACAAACAGATGGCAGGTTTTATTCTTTTTGATTACTTGAAAATGTTTTAATGTGTTTCACATCTCTTAAATTTCCTCGTTGGGTTTAAATGGGAATATTTGATCAAGTGGAAGACCTAGTCTTTTGAATGGCATGTAAAAAGAGTGGAGGGTTCTGGATTCTAATCCCAGTTCTTTCCTTTCATGTGTTACTGTCTTGGCAATGTAGGACACAAAACCTCTTTGTGCCTTGTCATGCTTTATTCTATTTATTGTGAACAGTTGAAAGGTTTTCTGGGATAACATCATCTTCTCACCACATCCTTCCTGGTATTCTGAGGGTACTTACTGTGGGCCTGTTGGGACTTCTCTTTCAGATCCTCTGGAACCTAGAGGAAGCCACTGGGAATAGGGTTTCTTGAGGCTTTTTGCCAATGTTGTGCCTACTAGTCTTACCTTGTAGAAATGGCTTGCCACATCTATAGATTGCTGCAGTTGCCCACTCTCTGACTATAATATTTCTCATTTATTCATAAGAATAAGAAACCTTTCTGTATCACAGCTGGTAGGCAGGGCAATGACATTTGTGACAAGAAACCAAAAAATACTGTGGTAATGGCCACTAGGGAGTTTAGCTAAGACTTCAGAGGACCTCTTCTTCCTGAGGGAGGAAGTCTTGGGCCAGCTTTCTTTCAGTTTGTGTTGTATATGAAGGTTATTTACATGTCATAAAGTGCTCTGCAAATATAGTTTCCCAAAACTCACCTTATTTTAATGAAATATCTTTTAATCAAAAGACCATTTCATGGGTGAGGATGAGAACTAAAGGAGAATCAATCACTTAAAAACCTCCTCCATCACTTTACATATGAATTTCCCTGATGTGATAGGTTTGCCTTTACTTTAGAAAACATCAAAATCTGATGTCTTTCCATGTTTCACAAAATGAATAAAATGTTTTGGGGAGAGACTTGGGGTTTGCATGTGGTGAAGCTGCAGTTCCTGGAACGTGAGGCCCCTGTTAGGAAGGGTTGGGCAGTGGTCAGCCAGAGCTGGTCCTGGAGGGAAGGGGTGTGGAGAGAAGCCAAAAACAGTAAAATGATCCTTCAGGAGAAGACAAACTGAAGACTGACTTCTGGTTTATCAGTGTGCTATGTTCTAAACTGTTTTCCTTAAAAAAATGTTTCTTTTTAAAGATTACTGCTTTTAAAAGTCACGTGACTTTTGGCTTGCATTTCAGATGTTGCCTGACCAGATGAAAACCTCCTCAGAACTTTTTAGTAAGTCTGAGAAAGAAGACGCGGAGATTCCTAATAGCCATGGAAGAGAGACAGGTACATTGGGAAATAACAAAATTCTGACTGTGAATTCCCTGCCTAAGCAGTACTGAAACCTCACTTGGAAGAGGGCGCTGGAAACCTGTGTTTATCTAAGTGTTCATGTAAGAGGAATAAGTGTCTGATTGTGCCTCTGGAGAAGGAAGAGCGGCTGGTAGCCTTGTATCAGTTTCCATGCTTGATAAAGTCTCTCTTGTGGGTCAGCTGGAGGTGACAAAGGGAAACCAGGATGGGGAGGCAGGAGATGGGGGTAGGGAGGGTCTTGCTGGCCCACAAAGCAGCCCTGCGCTAGAGTTCACCCCAACGCTGTTTTCTCAAGTGCCTTCAGATTTCTGATTTGAGGTTTGAGGCAGGACCTCATTGCCAGCACTTACCAAGCGACGGCAAGGTGCCAGAGGTTAGCGTCCTATGGAGAGTGATGGCAAGTGTGTCAGCGTGGGCATGGTTGTTATTATTTTAAATGCTCTGTTCTTAATGTGTGTAGAGCTGTCAGAAGAATCCACCCACCTGGAGCAGATCATGAGTGCTGGAGATGACCGTTGCCTGATAACCATCCCCTTGAATGACCAGTCTACACCGCCTGTGAGTACACGGAGCTGGGCTCAAAGTTCTGATCGGTGTCCACTGAGAGATGCCGACAGGTGGAAGCGCCTCTCCTGGTTTGTAGACCATTTTCTGCTGGCCAACCATCTGTCAATTTTTTGACCATCTCCTCCTTGGGATTGTTTTTGCTTGCCATGTATGTTTATTCTCTCTTTTCATTCAATTCATTTTCCCATGCGTGATTCATTTGGGATTTGGAGACTGAGATGTAGGGAAAGGAGCTTAATATTTGCAGTAAGACCTGGTTTTCACTTGCTCACTGTAGGAACTTGAGCACGTTACTTAACATCGAGGTGCTTGAGGCTTTTCATCCAGCTAGTTCACAGTCATTTGGTGCCAATAAATTCATTTGTCAATGTCTAAGGAGCCTGATATCTTAGTGTTCAATTGGGTATTCCTTTATTATGAGGTGTAAAGTGGTTCCAAAAGACTTCCAAAAAGAAGTTTCAAAGGTACCACAATATGTTTTTATTTTTCTGCAGCAAACATATACAGCTGAGAGTCCATCTGAAAAACCGAAACTGGATGATACACAAGGTCAGATACATTTTACCTATCGTAAATAAGATTTGAGTGGTATGTTTAAATGTTTACTTGAGATACTTACCATTCTTTGTTTTTAATTTTTGTCATTAGAAGTTACTTCAAAACATGAGCATTCTTCAGATTTACAAGAACCATCAGTTAAAATTCAGTCTCGTAAATTAAGTGACAAATCTAGGTAAGTGGTTTTCAAAACTAACAAACTATGTAGCTTATTGTTAACATGAATACTACAAATTGACTATCTAGGTTTTCCTCTTTCCTATGCCTGGCTAACCGCCCCCCCTCCCGCGCCCCCCTCCAACACACACACAAGGAGAGAGAGCATTGTGTGAAGTCTTCTGTAGAATAATTTGAACAATTGGCAAACTCTCCTAGCCTACTGGCCTCTGCCATTATACCTCTAGGGTATTAATTTTCTGCAGCAAAACACTGAATTTGAAATTTAAGGACACAAGGTCAATAACCAAAAATTAATTTTCTTTCTGTATGTTAATCAGAAATTGAAATAAAAATCAGTAGCATTTAAAATAGTATTAAAATATGACATACTTAGGGATTAATTGGACAAATGATTTGTAAGGCCGCCCCACTGAAAACTAAAGAAATTAAGGAAGATCTAAATATGTGGAGACAGACATGTGCTCATGAGATGGAAGACTCAATATTAAGATGCCAGTTCTTCCCAAATTGACCTAAGGATTCAGTACAATCCCTGATTGAAATCCCAGTAAGTTTTTTTTTTTCTTTAAAGAAATTGGCAAGCTTTTTCTAAATTTCATGTGGAAATTTAAAGGACCTACAATAGCCCAGATAAATTTCAAAATGAAACACAAAGTGGAAGGGCTTACATGCTACTTTTAAGATTTATTTATAAAGCTACATTAATCAAGAGTGTAGTATTTGCATAAAGATGAATAAACAAAACAGACTAGGAAATCCAGAAATAAGACCTACATATATATGGACAGCTAGTCTTTGACAAAAATGCAAAGACAGTACTGTGGAGAAAGGATAGGTTTCTCAATAAATGGTGCTAGAACAATTAAATATCCATATATAAGAAAATAAATGACCTTTGATCTTTACTTTCCACTGTATAAAAAAATTAAAAATGGATTATAGACCTAAATGTAAAACCTATTTGAAAGAAAATATAAGAAAAAATATCTTCATGATCTTGGTTTAGGCAAAGATTTATGGAATATAACAGCAAAAGTACAGTAAAAGAATAAATTGATAAATTAGACTTCATTAAAATAAAAAAAAAAAACCTATGCTCTTTGAAAACCACTGTTTAGGGGAAGACTAGAACAAACCACACCCTTGCAGAAAAATCTGTAAAACATATATTTGATAAAGCTGTGGTCTCCTGTTAGGAACCTGGCTGCAGAACTCTGTTTCCTGCCTCCCTTATCAATGGAATAATTATCTTCCATGAAACTGCTCCCTGGTGCAAAAAGGTTGGGGACCACTGAGTTATGCTTTAAATTTAGACATGACACTAGCAACAAAGAAGCAATCAAGGGTGAGCAGCAGCAAGCAATCTTCATCTGTATTTACAGCCTCTCCCCATTGCTTGCATCATCACCCGAGCTCTGCCTCAGTGCCCCTCCACCCTGTCCATGGAAAAATTGTCTTCCATGTAACTGGTCCCTGGTGCCAAAAAGGTTGGGGGCTGCTGTGATAAAGGCCTTGTTTCTGAATTATATTACAAACTCACAAAATTCAATAATAAAAAAACAACCCAATAAAAATAGTGGCAGAAGATTTAAATAGCTACTTTATTGCGGAGGATACACAGATGGCAGATAAGCACATGAAAAGTTGCCCAGCATCATTAGTTATCAGGAAAATGTAAATTAAAATGATAATGGTTGTACTATACATCTATTAGAAAGGCTAAAATTAGGAAGACAGACTGTACCAAGTCAGTACAAATGGTGAAAATGTGGAGCAACTGTAACTCTTGTATACTGCTGGTAGTTTCTTAAAATGTTAAATATATACCAATCATATAATCATTCCAATTTTAGGTATTTACACAGGAGAAGTGACAGCATATGTCCACACAAAGGAATGTACATGAATGTTTATAGTCGCTTTCTTGGTAATCGCTTCAAATTGGAAATAACCCAAATGTCCATCAGTAGATGAATGGATAAGCAAATTTCAGTATATCCACACAATGAAATACTACACAGAAATAAAAATGAATAAACTATTATATATAACATGAATGAACCTCAAAATATTCCCAGTGAAAGAAGCCAGACAGAAAGAGTATATATTGTATGATTCCATTTGTATAAAATTCTGGAGTATGGATAGAATATGGAATTCCTGAAACAATAGAGACAGATCAGTGGCTGCCTGGAAATGGTGCATTAGCTTTTTTTATTTTGTCCATTTTTGTGATAAGAACACTTAACACATTTTTAAGTGCACGGTACAGTATTGTTATCTATAGGCAAATGTTGTACAGCAGATCTCTAGAATTTATGTATCTTGTGTGTATATAACTGACACTTTACACCCATAGAACAGCTCCTCATTTCTGCTTCTCCTCAGCCTCTGGCAACTGTCAGTTTACTCTGTTTCTATGAGTTTGACTATTTTAGATACTTGCATAAGAAGGATCATGCAGTATATGTCCCTTTGTGTGTGGCTTATCTCACTTAACAATTTCCTCTAGGTTCATCCATGTTGTCACATATTGTTGGATTTCCTTCTTTCTTATGGCTGAATAGTATTCCATTGTTTTTGTGTACTGCATTTTATCTATCCATGCATCTGTTGATGGACACTTAGGTTGGTTCTATATCCTGGCTATTGTGAATAGTGTTGCAGTGAACACAGGAGTGAAGATATCTCTTCCACATACTGATTTCATTTTCTTTGGATATATACCCAGGAATGGGATTGCTGGATCATATTGTAGCTCTATTTTTAATTTTTTTGAGGAACCACCAAACTGTTTTCCATAGCAGTTGCATTATTTTACATTCCCATCAACAGTGTATAAGAGTTCCATTTGTGCCACATCCTCACCAACACTTGCTATGTTTTGTGTGTTTTATACTAGCAGACATATATCTGATAATAAATTAATATTAAAAATATATGAGGAACTCCTATAACTCAATAGTGAAAAAATCAAACCAATTAAAAATGGACAAAAGACTTGAATAGACATTTCTCCAAAGAAGGTGTACAAATGGCCGACAGGTGTATGGAAGATGCTGAGCATCACTCATCATTAGCAAGAGCTTTTGTTTAAAGCACCTCAGGGGATTCTAAGCTAGATCCAGGCTTGGGAAACAAAGCTCTTCAGCACTGACCCTGCAGCTGGTTATTTGCTGATCCCACATTGTTGCTTTCTTCTTTGTATGCCTGACAGTCAGTGGGCTCAACAAAGGTTTATTTTTTTTAGATAAATGGATGTTGTCTGCCACACAATCTATGGACATAGATTACATGATAAGAAGTTGCATGCAGAGTGGGATACTTCCCATGCCGTGGGTTCATGATCAGACAGAGGGCACATGAAGGAAAAAAAAGTTAGGAGTGTGAAGTGAGAGGAGGAGGAGGGTACTGGTTTTACCAGTTGCATTAATTTCATGTATTTTGTTTTAGGGCAGACTCTACTTTCAAGGATGACAGAAAGCAAGAAACAAGGATGTCGGTAATATAATAAATTTAAGGCAATACCTCCTGAATTTCGGTTATTTGCATACCATCTGCAAAATGTGCCAATGCTCTACTCTTTATTTTCTATATTTTTCTTAATTAAATTTATCTTAAACTTATTTAAAGAGGAATCATTTCACTTTCAAATGAAAAATCAGCATTATTTGTAACAAATAGTAGATAAGCCCTAAAATAAATACAATTGACAATAACAAGGTTAGCATCTTGAACTATTAATTAACTTGATTTACTTTTTATTTTTTTATTCATTGCATACCATGGGCCTTATTAACTGTAAACTATGAAATGGTAAATCTGCCATATCCAAGATCATCTGGTTAGATGGACAGATAAATGTGCCTAGTCAATAAACTCAGCAGGAGATAACATTTCATATTAAGTCTTACTTGACGGCACACAGAGAATGGAATATTGAAAGGTAGACTCCTTCAGTCAATCCTTTGCTACTGTAGTAAGCGCTCATTTAGCTTTGTAAAGAGGCCCCTGATCTTAGATGAGAGATGATGGCTACGCCTTCTCATTGTGACCCACGGTGGCAGCATTGGTGAGAATGCGCACTGCCCATGGACCCCACACTGAAACTCACAGGCAGAGACATCTACCAAAAATGCAGACTTGGTCATGTCTTTCCACTTTTTAAAACTCCTTTAAAAAAAAGAAAAAAACACCTAACTTTTATTAGGCTTTGAGACTAAAGCTTGTTCTTGATTTATTTTTTAAAAAGATCAGTAAGTAGACGTGTTAAAGACCTACTAACATCTGAGCCTTATCCTCATTAGAGCAGGCTTTTAAAAGAATTGAAAAGAAATGTTTCCCTCTGATTCAGTGTTGTTCAATGACATGGTTTTATGCCTGTGTGTCATATGACACCTGTCCAGTGTGCCACCACTGGTGGCCTCTCACCTTGGGAAGCACAGTGCTCTATGTCTGCGGTCAGTGTATTTAAAAAAAAACCTCTATAATGAATATTCAATGAAAAGTTTTTCTAAAATTGAGATCATGAGCTTCAAACAAGTGAGTAAGGCTTATTCTGGCTTCCTCCTAACAGTGGTTCTCACCTGCTGCTCCTCAGGCCTCACATTGGCATCACCTGGGGAGCTAGAGCAACTACTATAGTCTGGGTCCCTTCGCCAGAGCCTCTGACTTTATCTATTAAGGGCGATGCCCAAGCATTGGGATTTGATTTTAAAGCCCCCTATTGGTGATTCTAATATGCTGTGCAGCTAAACTTAAGAACCACTGCTCTAGATACTTTTGTTTCTGTAAATAACTTTCAACACTTTTTTATATAAAAGCAAAGAAACTGGGAAAGCCTTGCTGCATGGCTTTAATGCATCCAATGCAGGATGCATGAAATGCATTGATACTTTCACTTTACAATACACTGTGTTGGAGACACTGGAACAAATGTGCAGGTTCCTCCAACTTTTTCTTTAAGTTAAAGAAAGTGAAAGATGCAAATAGGACTGGCTCACAAAGTTCCTTTTAGAAATTACCTTCTCTAATCTACCTAAGTGTCTATGGATAGAGTAATGGGTAAAGAAAATGTGGTGTATATATATGCAATGGAGTACTATTTAGTCTTAAAAAGGAAGGGAATCCTGTCACTTGCAACAATATGGATGAACTTGGAGGACATTATATTAGAAGGCAGACACAGAAAGACAAATACTGCATGATCTCACCTCTATGTGGAATCTAAGAACATCAAAGTCAGAAAAGTGGAGGGCAGAACAGTGGTTACCAGAAGGCGGGTGAGGGTGGCGAGTTGAGGAGAGGTTAAAGGACACAAAATTTCAGTTAGGAGGAATAAGGCTTAAAAGATCTATTGTGTATTATGGTGAGTATAGTTAACAATGTATTGTATACTTGAAAATTGATAAGAGAGATTTTAGGTGAACTTACAACCAAAAAAGATGAGGTGATACACCTGTTAATTAGCTTGATTTAGCCATTCCACAAGGTATACATATTTCAAAATGTCATGTTATGCACCATTAATATATACAATTTTTATCAATTAAGAAAAATACTTTTTCTACAAAACATTGAATGGCTATATATTTTAAAAGAAAAGTAATTTCATCTTCAAAACATGAATTCATTTGAAAACTAGATAACCATCACCCACCTTAAATCTCATGAGTCATGCTGTCATAAACAATGTCACTGTAGTGAGTGTTGGGAGTTGATTCTGCATTTCCTTATTCTAGGCAGGAGCTATATCTCCGGCTAATGCATTTCCTGTCTTGAGAAGGCTGTGGTAGATACATACTTAGTATGTTTGGATCCACAAGAACCCTCCCTTGCCTAAGATGAGAATGAATTGTTAGCAGTCTCTGAGAGGCAGGGCAGTTTAGAGACAGGGACCTTAGAGGGCCCAACAGATAGAGCTCAAATAGAGTGTACTTTTTTGTTAAAATCAAAATAAACTCCCTATTAAACTTGAGCATAAACATTTATTTGTCTCAGCATTATAAAAACTAATACAAAAACAGAAAAAGATTTTTAAAATACTCATAAATATCAAGATTGAATAATCCACTGGAAAGATTAAACTTGCCCTAAATCTCAAACCTTTTCTAGTCCAGGCTTAATCTCAAAATACTTTAAGGTTTAAAAACAGAAATGACTGTCCTGTTTGGTTTTAGCTCTTCTAAAGTACAGAGAGAAGCATGTCTTTGCAAAAAATATTTTTATACTTTCTTTTGTCATTTGATTTAGTATTTTGAAATGATAATGTTGGTACAGTATTCAGGTATATCAGCTTTTGAACAGTTCTCTAACATCTCTTCAGTTGCAAATATTTGGTTAAAGAGGATTTTGTCATCCTTTACAACAGCATTTTGGTTGAGAATTTAATAGTGAAATAATCCTTTTCTTCTTTTTCTTTGCCTCCTTACTTCTTTGTCTTTTTATTATGTGACAGCCCAGTTTTCTAGAAGAAGTTACTTCTGTGTCTAGCTTTGTAATAATATATGTTTAATTGTCCATAAGTGGCACTAACATCCCTTTAAAAGGTCTCACTTATCTGTGTTTATAAAAGTTTAATTACAGGAAACATCTCTTCTCTGAAAGTAGTCAAGATTCAAGTACTAGTACCAGTGAACTATCTTGGACTGGTAACCAAAAGAAGAAATCCCTGAAATCATACTCTAGTAGAAAAAAGATAAGAACCAGGAGTAGTGTAAGAAGTAAGTTTGGCATATGCCTTCTTCTGAGTCACTTTTCAAATAAATTAGTAGGTATTTATTTTTTAGTATGTGGTGGGAGAAGGTACCAAAGAAATATGATCATGAGATCTTTCCCTGTTACAATTACATTGGAAAGGCAGAATGAAACTTGAAACAGAAGAATATGGGATTAACCAGCAATTAAATATGAGCTATGGATGAATGGAGTGGGAGTGCAGATAAAAGGAATCTGGCATGAGCTGGAATCATCATGAAAATCTGCAAGAAAGAGGTGGGTGGGACCTTAGCTGACCCTTGGGGAAAAGCATAGGATCTGAAGAAGACACAGGGAATCGTTATTAGGAAAAACTACAAGGACAAAACAAGGATATGAGAGTGATATTCAGGGACAAGGTCTGGAGCGGAGAATTCATTCTGGGTGGTGAGCAATAAGGTTGACTAATTAGAAAAGGAACTTCAGAGTAGACATTTGAACATAAGTGGGAATCGTTTTAGCATTTGCACGTTGGAAGAGGGAGAAATGAATTTCGTTTATGTCTCGTAAGTCAACGTATCCATCATATACTTGTTTTCTTTTCATTTTAGTCTTGCCGTTTTTCCCACTCAGTAGTAGCAGTGACCATGACCACGAGAAAGACCGAGTAAGTAATTTTATCTTGGCTGCCACATGCCCTGTGGGTTAGACTGCATTTATTTCTCACATAACTTTCAGGAATACGAGAATAACCACTGGTTTACTGGTATGTGAATCATTGCTGATAGAAACTACAAGGACTTCTAAACATTCCATGTGAATCTTGGGTAAAGATGTAGGATCTTTTTTCATTGTTCCCAAACGTTGCTAAAGGATGTTTATTATGAATGATGCTAAAAATCTGGGATAATATCCTACAGATGTATGCTCTTTTGAATTTACATTTTAAAGTGCAGTTAGGGCTCCAGTCATAGCTCTGTCTGCTTTCTCCCGTCAGCCTGCAGCATGTTGCCTTCTGTGAATCTCAAGAACTCGCATGTTCTGTAAGGACAGGGGCAGGCTAAACCTATGAGCCAGACTACATGCTTAACTATTCATTGACTAGTTGAACCTGAAACAATGAGTTATCAGTTCGAAATGGGCCAAAAGAACAGTTTCTAGTAAATACAACATTTGTCTTAAATAAGCACCGAAGAAACATCACAGCTTCAAAAATCCATAAACATAAGCTGTGCAACTGTCAAGAAGTCTATGCTGATTTTCAGTGAGAAAATCAGCTGGTCTCATGTAAATATTGGTATTCTAAATACAGTTCTCTCTGTATATGAGAATAATTTAGAGCAGGGATTGGTAAACTTTTTCTGTAAAAGGCCAGATAGTAAATATTTTAGGCTTTGAGAGCCATATGGTCTCAGTGGTAACTGCTCCATTCTGCCTTTGTAGCCAGAAGGCAGCCATAGACAACATGGAAATGAATGGATGTGTTGTGTTCCAATAGAACTTTATTTATAAGAATAGGCAAGGGCTAAACTTTGCTGGCCCCTGATTTAGAGCAGTGTTTCTCAAATGTTAGTGGTCATCAGAATGATCAGAATGGCTTGCTAAAACACAGATCCCTGGGTCCTATTCCTAGTGTTTTTGATCGAGTAGATCATAGTTGGGGTTTTAGAATTTGCATTTCTGCCACATTCCCAGGTGTTGCTGATACTCCAGTCTGGACCACATGTGAGAACCACTGATTTAGAGTTATCAATCAAAATGTGACCTAATGTTCTTCTGATTCAGGGATCTTGTGGTCTTAGCATTTATCTTCACATGGAGTAAATCTAATTTTTAAGCTTCTTAAAAGGATATTGGCAATGTCTTGGGTCCGGACAGAGTAGCTTATGCCTGTAATCCCAGCACTTTGAGAGGCCAAGGTGAGAGGATCACTTAAGCCCAGGAATTTGAGACTAGCCTGGGTTACATAGCAAGACCTTGTCGCTAAAAAAAATAAATAAATAAATAGAATGCCTTGGAATTTTTGGATAACTTGTTTTGAATGGTTATGAATACTAGTATTTTTAAAAGGTTTTGTATTTTAGGCTAAACTTCTAACACCATTATGGAAAGACAGGTCCAGGCAAAATGGCGTCATGTCTCCGCAAATTTCTGAAACAAAATTCCAAGGTAGTTCTGTCTTTTTAACTCCTGAAGATTCTGCCAAAAAAACAGGTACATGATTTTCTGTCGACTTACACAGAAAAAATTATATTTTGGGAAAAGTAGTTTGAGGTAAACAAAACATTTTTCTTTTAGTATCTATTGAAGAAAGTGTGAAGGTAAGATTGTTCTTCCCTTTAATGTCTTTAATTAGCAAAGGTTGGAAGATATTGTGTTTTAATTTTGCTTTGACATTGGAGATTGGCTTGTGGACAAGAATTGCTGGTGTTCTTCCTCTTTTAAAGAATCAAGATAACTCAAATGATGACCTGTAACAGGGCTTGGTAAACTTTTTCTGTAAAGGATCAAATAGTAAATATTTTTTGTTTTTGACCCCTATCGTTTCTATTGCAACTATTCAACCCTGCAGTTGTTGCACAAAACTGACCTCAGACAAGATGTAAACCAACAAGTGTGGCTGTGTTTCCATAAAATTTTATTTATATAAAATCAGGTAGCAGATTATACTTGGCTTGGGGGCCAGAGTTTGCCAACCCTTGACTTTAGAAGCTTTATCTTAACTCTCACTGTATTTTATTTTAACTATCTGCATCTTTTAAGTTTATTAGAAGTAGTGATGTTGTTTTGTTCACCTTTATTATTCTGCAGCTTAGCACATTGCCAGACATACAATGACCTTAGTAAAACTTCACTGAAACTTCTTAGTGGAGCTGCCACTGGAAGAAAAGAAGTAGAGAAAAGAAAAAAAAAAAAAAAAGGAGAGAGGAAAATATAGCATTAAAGAGTAAAAGGAAGGAAGATAGCAAGATGGTGAAAAAAGGAACAAAGGGACTATAAAGTACTCAATAAACAATTAACAGTAGTAGTAAGTAACAATTAGCAGTAGTAAGTCCTTATCAATAATCACTTTAAATATAGGTGGATTCAATTATCCTATCAAAAGACACAGAGTGGCTGAATGGATAGAAAAAATAAGATCCAACAATATGCTGTTTATAAGAGACTCACTTTAGCCTTAAGGACAAACATAAGTTGGAAGTGAAAGGATGGAAAAAGATATTCCATGCAGATGGTAACCAGCAGACAGCACAGTTGTGGCTATGCTTACAGACAAAATAGACTTTCAGTCAAAATCTGTCACAAGAGACAAAGAAGGTTACTATATGATAAAAGATCTAATTCATCAAGAGGATATAGCAATTGTAAATACATATGCACCCAACATTACAGCATCTTAAATATATAATGTAAATATTAACAGAACTGAAAAGAGAAATAGACAGCTATGCAATAATAGTAAAGTTATTTACTATGACACTTACAATAAAGGATAGATTATTCAGACAGAAAATCAATAAGGAAACAGTGGACTTGAATACTACAGACCAAATGAACCTAACAGACATATGCAGGACATCCCATTCAACAGCAGTGGAACACACATTCTTCTCAAGTGTACATTGAACATTCTCCAGGATAGATCATATGTTGGGCCACAAAACACATCCTAACAGATTTAAGAAGCTTTAAATCTCAAATGTCTTTTCTGACCACAAGGGTATGAAACTAGAAATAGTAATAGGAGGAAGACTGGAAAATCCACCAATATGTGGAAATTAAACAACATACTCCTGAATAAACAATGGATCAAAGAAAAAAAACAAAGGGAAATTAAAAAGTATCTTGAGACAAATGAAAATGGAAACACAATATACCAAAACCTATGGGATACAGCAAAGCAGTGTTATTAATAAAAGAGAATTTTGTAGCTATAAGTGCCTACAATAAGAAAAAAAACATCTCAAGCAACCTAACTTCACACCTCATGAAACTAGAAAAGAACAAAGTAAACCCAAAGTCAGCAGAAGGGAAGGAAATAATAAATATTAGAATGTAAATAAATATAGACTAGAAAGACAATAGAAATGATCAATGAAACTAAGAGTTGGTTTTTTAAAAAGATAAAATTGACAAACCTTTAGCTAGACTAACCAAGAGAAAAAGGGAGAGGACTCAAATAAAACTGTAATGAAAAAGGAGATATTATAATTGATACCACAGGAATGCAAAGGATCAGAAGAGGCTACTATGAACTGAACAAATTATACTCCAACAAATTGGATAACCTAGAAGAAATGGATGAATTCCTAGAAACATTCAACCTACCAAGAAGAAATAGAAAATAGAAAACGAGTAAGAAGATTGAATGAATAATCAAACCTCCCAACAAAGAATAGTCTAAGACCAAATGGCCTCACTGGTGAATTTCACCAAGCATTTAAAGAATTAATACCAAGCATTCTCAAACTATTCAAAAAAAATTGAGGAGGATGGAACACTTCCAAACTCATTTTACAAGACCAACATTACCCTCTTAACCAAAGCCAGGTAACAATGCTATAAGAAAAGAAAATTACAGGCCAACATTTCTGCTGAACAATGATGCAAAAAGCCTCAATACTAACCATATTCAACAGCACATTAAAAGGATCATACATCATGTTCAAGTGGGATTTGAACTGTGATGCAAGGATGGTTTAGCATATGCAAATCAATAAATGTGATAAACTACATTAACAGAATGAAGGATAAATTCATAGAATCGTCTCAATAGATGCAGAAAAAGCATTTGACAAAATTTAACCTCATGTTACGATTTTAAAAAATTCAACAAATTAGTTACAGAAGGAAGGCACCTCAACTTAAAAAAGGCCACATATGGCAAGCCCACAGCTAACATCCTGCTCAATGATGAAAAGCTGAAAGCTTTTCCTCTAAGGTCAAGAGTAAGACAAAGGGTACCCACTCTTACCACTTCTGTTCAACATAGTACTGGAAGTCCTAGCCAGAGCAATCAGGCAAGAAAAGGAATAAAAGGCATCCATATTTGAAAAGAAGAAGTTAAATTGTCTCTGTTTACAGATTACATGATCTTATAAATAGAAAACCCTAAACACTTTACCAAAAAACTGTTAGCACTAATAAATGAATTCAGTAAAGTTATAGAATACAAAATCAACAACAAAAAATCAATTGTGTTTCTAAACACTAACAATGTACTATATGAAAAATCAAGAAAATCCCATTTACAATAGCTAAAAAAAAAAAGAATAAATTTAACCAAGAAGGTGAAAGACCTTGTACACTGAAAACATTGATGAAAGAAATTAAAGACATAAAATAGAAAAATAGCCCTTGTACATGGATTGGAAGAATTAGTATTGTTAAAATGTCGTATTACCCAAAGTCATCTTGAGATTTGATGCAATCTCTATTAAAATTCCAGTGGCATTTTCCACAAAAATAGAAAAAAATAATCCCCCAATTCATGTGGAACTAAAAAAAGATCCCTAATAGCCAAAGCAATCTTGAGAAAGAACAAGCCAGAGGCATCACACTTCATGATTTCAAATTATGTTTAACAATTATAGCAATTAAACCAATATGGTTCTGGCATAGAGGCAGACACATAAACCAAGGTCATAGTATAGAGAGTCCAGAAATAGCCCACACATATGATCAATTACTTTTTGGTAAGGTCACCAAGAATACATAAAGTCTCTTCAATAAATATTATTGGGAAAACTGGATATCCACATGCTAAAGAATGAAACCTTTGTCTTACACTGTGTACAAAATTCAACTCAACATGGATTAAAGACTTTAAGATCTGAAACTGTAAAATTACTAGAAGAATGTAGAGGGAAACAACTCCTTGACAGTGCTCTTGGCAATGATTTTTTGATGATCCCAAAAGCACAGGCAACGGAAGCAAAATAAATAAGTGGGACTACATCAAACTAAAAACCTTGTGTACAGCAAATGAAACAAAAGGAAAAGACAACCTACAGAATGGAAGAAAATATTTTCAAGCTCTATATTTGATAAGGGGTTAGTATTTAAAATATATCAAGAACTTATACAACTCAATGGTAAGAAAACAATTCAGTTAAAAATGGGCAAAGGGCTTGAGTAGAATTCTTTCCAAAGAAGACATACAAATGGCCAATGGCTATATTGAAAGGGTGATCAGCATCGTTAATTGTTGGAGAAATGTAAATAAAAACCATAATTTGATATCAAGCTTGTTAGGATGGCTATTATTAAAAAGATAGAACAAGTGTTGCCAAGGGTGTGGAGAAAAGGGAACCCTCGTATACTGTTGGTGGGAATATAAATTGGTATACGCATTGTGGAATACATTAAGGAGTTTCCTCAAAAAGTTAAAAATAGAACTATCATGCAGTCCATCAATCCTACTTCAAGGTAAATATTTGAAGGAAATAACATCTAAAAGAGTTTTGTGCCCCTATTTTCATTGCAGTATTATTTATAAGAGCCAAGATATGAAACCATCCCAGATGTTTATCAATGAATAAATGGATGAAGAATTGTAGTGTACACACATATGCACACAGAAATATTATTTAGCCATAAAAAAAAGGAAAGCCTGCCATTTGTGACAACATGGATGAACCTGGAGAATATTATGCTAAGTGAAATAAACCAGACACAGAAAGATAAATAACATGTGATTTCATATGTGGATTGTAAAAATGTCGAACTGATAAAAGGGAGTAGAATGGTGGTTGCCAAGGATTGGGAGGTGGGGTAGTGTGAGTTGTTAATTAAAGGATACAAACTTTGAGTTATAAGATGAACAAGTTCTGGGGATCTAATGTGCAGCGTGAATAGTGATATGTTAATTAATTTGATTATGATAATCATTACTATATATATTTCAATTTATAAAAAAAAAGAATAAAAGGAAATAAGGAAGGGATATCTGAGGGAGAGAAGGGAAGAATCACAGGATTGAGGCTGAAGAATGCTTGCCCATCTAGTTGGGGCAGATGGGCAGCTACTGAAGGTGCTGATTCAATCGAGGTACCAGGCTATTCGTTTTATCCATAGAGCTACAAACCTAAAAAGCATCTATGCCCAGAAAGATATAGTCACTAGTTTTTTGTTTTATTTAGAACTGTGTTCCTTTTTTTGATAAGATTTAACATCTAGAGTAATAGTGAAATGTTACTGCTTCAAGTTTTTACTTGGTATATTTATTCACTTGAAACTTTTCTCTCTAACACTTAGGGCTTCGAGGTCCTTACCCACCAAGCGAGCTCTCTTCCTTGGAGCACTCAGAAGATGAAGAAAATGTATCTAAGGTACTACTTAATTGTTGTTAATTCATCTGGTTTTCCAGCATTAATATTAAGGGGTAACACAACACCACTTGTTTCTTACTTTGCTATAAAATACCTATATTTGTGGTCTGTTTTGTTTTTAAGATTGTGAACCAAGAGTCATTAATGGAGAGTACTAGCTTCAAACATAAGCTGCAAAATTTGGAAGATAGAGGTAAGAGAATAACAAACTCATTTTTTTTTTTAATAGAATACACTGAAATCTGATTTTGGCAGGCTGGGCTGTTACACTGCAGCAGATAAAATCACTTTATAGAGTGACTATTGTCAGGCCATGGAGTGGCAGAGGTCCAGGTGTCCATGCAGGTTAAGAGGAGAAATGGGGGCTTCACTCCAGGAACCAGAACCTCTTGTGCCAAGGAAAATATTGCCTGACACGGGAATCCCACCAGCTGCCCACACCTCCTCTCCTGTCTCAGAGGAGGGTGCAGGAGAGGTTTTAAATAGTAAAGCACTAAATATCTACAAATCACCATCCAGTTATACAGATGTTCACTTTATAATCCTTCTTTAAATTGGACACATCTGACAAGTTCTTCTGAATGTACATTATTTTTTCAGAATGCACAAATGGAGAAAAAAGGTAGTGGAATCTAACACAATTTATTCCTAGGAATTCTTTGTATATTCTGGACACGAGTCCTTGGTTATATATGTTGTAATATCTTCTGCTTTGTGGTTTGCACTTATCTCTCTGTATAATGTGTTTATAATTGCTTTTTTGAAGAAGGTTTTAATTTTAGTGAATTCTAATTCATCAATCTTTCCTCTATGGTAGGTCATGTGAAATTCTTTTCTACCAGAAAGTCAGATGTTATCATATATTACTTACTATTTTAATACATTTAATGTTATACATTTATTTCTAAGTACTGCTTTAGGTGAACCCTACATTATAGGATATACTATATCTTACAGTATATAACATTTGTTATCATTTAGTTTAAAATATTTTGTAATATATAACATTTGTTATTTAGTTTAAAATATTTTCTATTTTTTTATTTTTTCATTGGTCCTAGTGTACTTAAAAGTATATTTCTTCTCAATAGTGTAGGATTTCTTTAGCTAGAGAACGAATGTCTTTCCATTGATTTGTGTTGTCTGTTGTGTTTTATAGAATTTTAAAGTTTTCTCCATGAAGGGCTTATGTATTGTTGATGTTAATTTCTAGATATTTGTGATTTTGTTATGATTTTGTTACTATTGTTTTTAAATTTGTTATTGCTAAAGCAGAGAAATACTGTTGACTTTTATAACATAATCCTGTGTCTGACAACCTTGCTGGGCTCTTATTAGGTCTAATAATTTATCTGTTGATTCTCTTGGTTCTAAGTTGATGATTCTATTATTTACAAAAAAATAACAGATTATCACTCCCCTTCTGATACTTATCTTTTATTTTCCATTTTTCATAGCATTGGCTAGTATCTTCAGTATATGTTAAACATAGCAATGAAAGTTTGCATCTTTGTCTTGATTTTAACTTTGTAGCAAATGAATCTGAAGTCTCTCCATTAAGTAAAATATATACTTGCTTTATATTTTGGTTCTAATCTTTACCAAGTTAAAGAAGTTCCCATCCATTCAGAATTTGGTCTGAGTTTTTAAAAATCATAAATAGTATTGAACTTTATGAAATGTGTTTCCTGCATTAATTGAGATAATCAAATGAATTTTCTCCTTTAGTTCATTTTTTCCTTCCAAATTTATTGAGGTATAGTTGATAAATAAACTTTGTATATATTTAAGGTAAGTATTGGTGATGTTTTGATGTACATATGCATTGTGAAATGATTATAATCAACCTAATGAACATATCACCTCATATAGTTATCTTTTCTGTTGGTATGGTAATAGTTAAGATCTACCATCTTAGCAGATTTTAAGTACATATAAATTATTATTAACTACAGTTGTCATGCTGTGCATTAGGTCTCCAGAACTTACTCATAAATGAAAGTTTGTACCCTTTGATCAGCATCTCCCATTTTCTCCGCCCACCGATCCCTTGTAAGTGAAATCAGTCAGACACAGAGAGACCAACACTGCATGACGTTACTTATATGTGGAATTTTAAAAAGTCAAACGCATAGAGACAAAGAGTTAGAAGGGTGGTCTTTTTTGTTTATTAATGTGGCAAATTACACTGATAGGTATTATGATGTCGAATCACACTCGTTTTTCTGGGATGAACTTCACTTGATCATGGTGCATTTTAAAAAATATATACTCTTAAATGCTTTTAGCTCCTAATTTATTAGTGAGCTTTACATCTACATTCATGAGGAACAGACTTATGCTTTTCTCCTGCTATTATTGAAATCAGTGTCACACCAACCTGTGGAGGGAGGCTGAGCAGCTCTATCTCTGCTTTTCTGACAAAGTTTATCTACAATAAGGTAACTGTTTCTTAAAAGTTTGATAGAAATCAGTCACCTGTCAAACTACCTGGGAATTTTGAGGATAGGGAGACTTTATTATTATCATCATCATTATTATTTGAGACAGGGCTCACTCTGTCACCTGGGCTAGAGTGAATGGCATTATCATAGTTCACTGCAATTTCAAACTCCTAGGCTCAAGCTATCTTTCTTCCTCAGCCTCCTGAGTAGCTGGGACTACGGGCATGAGCCACCATGCCCAGCTAATTTTTCTATTTTTTGTAGAGACAGGGGTCTAACTCTTGCTCAGGCTAATCTCAAATTTCTGACCTCAAGCAATCCTCCCACCAATCCCAGTGCCTCTCAAAGCACTGGGATTACAGGTGTGAGGCACTGTGCCTAGCATTAGCTTGTGTTTTAATGTTTACCTTGGAACTTTTGATAAGCTTTGTTTCCAGAACTGAAAGCAAGCAGGGTAATTTTATTTAATGATACTGCATTTTGCCCTCATCTGCCGCCTTAGGGAAGGTCCCCAGAATCAGAAAGGAGTCAGGTGCTTAGCTCCTTTGTGCCATTCAGTGCTGTGAATGCCTAGTTCAGTGCCTGGCATATAGAAGCATTCCATGCCAAGGTAATGGAGTAAGAAACTTATAAAACCCAACATTTAATGATGTACTTCTGCATGATTCCATATTTGAATAAGCATTTATATGTAATCACCAATAAATATTTGTCAATTGGTTTGTAGATTTCTAAAATGCATTAATCCATACAAAAGATATTATGCCAGTTCTCATCAGACTGAGTAATTTAATGGTAAAGGTGGTCCTTAATTTTTCATATTCTCAGCACTTTAATAAACATTGGTAGAATAAACAACAGACTTGGCATTAGGAAAGTGCTGTAAATATCACATCGGAAACCTTTTGGTGAAGAAGACGATATTCTGTTTGCCTTTATCATTCTGCGCCACAGGGTGTCGCTTCAGAGCAAGGTTTAGAAAATGCCTTAATTTAGGAGACCTGGCTGTTAGCCACAGGATTGGTTCTTCTCTAGCATTAACAATTGTTTTTACCAGAAATATGAATTTAAAAATGCAGCGTGGACACCAAACTATGTTCCCTAAAACTTGTGCCTTGCAGGCCACACCAAACAAGTTCACAAGTTCCTCAGATTGGCAAAGTCTTCCCTTTTCATGGAAATAAAGAAAGCTATGTTCTTGTGAGAGCAAGGGCACACCCCCTCTGCCAGCCACCAGCAAACATGTGGATGTAGCATTCTTTGGAGATGACTTTTACTATGTTTGTGTTCATTTTTGAGATGGTTCTCTGTGTGTAACTTTAACTCTTTTCTGAGAATGTTGAAAAGTGCTGGTTAAAAGAGGCATGTGGTTACCATGGAAACAGAATCGTTCTAAGGGCATCACTTAGGACTTGCAGCCCTTCATGACATAGCACTGGTTCCTCTGGAGAGGCACCTTGGGTGCTGGTAAAGTACTGTACCAGCGTTGCCACTTCAAAGGAGGGTTCTGTGTGTCAGACTACTTCCATGTCCATGCAGTCATCCGTCTGGATGATCCTAGTTAGTAGTTTCACAAATTCCACATAATTCACTCAAGGGCTGTGACCAGGTTATTTATGCTGTGTTCTTGGATTTCTCTGTCTGGTGGATATAACTAGTATCTGTGCTGGCGGATGGCCTTCTTTACCCTGGGTAGTGCATGGGTGTGATACATCCAAATTCAAGCCTGTACTTTGAGCTTTTGCTACAAATTCGCTATAAAGGAGGAGGAAGAAGAAGAAAATAAAATGTCCCAGAAGGGGCAAAACAGGCAGCAAAGAAGGAAATGTTAATGGTCATTTATCATGGCCTAATTGAGGCTAGCTGGAATCCTTTCTAAGTGGTTTCTTTGACCCTTGACTTGGGGTATAGACACCACAGAAGATTCAGACGTGAATGCTGTTTGCCATGAGGCTGGAAGAGGAGGATGGGACTGTCCCTGGGTTCTTTCCCTGATTTTAAAAATCTTTTGCCCTTGAAACGCTGTGACCCTCTAGAAAATATCCATCCAAACCTTTCAGATAAATGAACACACCCAAATGTAAGTGCAGTGAGAATGAGATACCAATTCCTCTAAAGTACCTCTCAGTTGAGAGTATTTCTTATGCTTTTTATTATTATATGTTTTTATTTCAAGAAGGCTGGATATTGGCTCTTTCTCTTCCAAGTTCTGCAGAGCCACGAATGTGATCTCTAGTGAAGTTTGTAGTTTATGAAAATTCTATTATAAAATACCAATTAAGGTATCCCATTATTTATATGTGGTCATTTATTTGTATTTCTCTTATTACTAGTTTAGTCCTTTTGGCTTTTGGATCATCCTTTTCATTCTCAATTAGTATTTATTATCTCTCTTGTTTTTCTTTTTCCTTTTAATATTTATGATCTTTTCCTTCAATCTGAATTACTTTCCTTTCCTTTCTTTTCCTTCCTTTCTTTCTTTTTTTCTTTTTTTTTGAGACAGAGTCTCGCTTTGTTGCCCAGGCTAGAGTGAATGCTGTGGCATCAGCCTAGCTCACAGCAACCTCAAATCCTGGGCTCAAGCAATCCTGCTGCCTCAGCTTCCCGAGTAGCTGGGACTACAGGCATGCGCCACCATGCTCGGCTAATTTTTTCTATATATATTAGTTGGCCAATTAATTTCTTTCTATTTAGAGTAGAGACGGGGTCTTGCTCTTGCTCAGGCTGGTTTCGAACTCCTGACCTCGAACAATCTGCCCGCCTCGGCCTCCCAGAGTGCTAGGATTACAGGCGTGAGCCACCGCGCCTGGCCGTCTTTTTCCTTTTAATAAAAATAATCTAAGTTGATATTTAAACCTAGGTTATTAATTTTTCTTAAAAACACCATATATATATATATATATATATACCACAAAGCATGAACTATTTTAACATTGACTATTCTCTGGTATAATTTTAAAACATTTTTCCTATTCCTTTTGTCACCTTGAAGTTTGTAACTGGTATTTCCTACTGTGGCGCAAGTTCTAAAAATTAGTATGTTTACAGCTTCCCCCCAAAAGTACTTCTAGCAGATCTTACAAAACTAAATTTATTAATTTCTATTTCTCTATTTATATCGTGGGTATTTGAGTCTCTGAAGTTTGTGTTACTTTTCTACCTCTATCCTCACCACTAAGAGAATTAGAATAAGAGAATTGAAATCAATTCTTATGTATTTTATCGAGCTCTTCTTTGGGCATGTCCAGTATCTTATTTGTAGGAGCTGGGTATTCCTTCATTTATTCAGCAAGTGTTTATTGAGTGTCTACTCTGTGCCAGACACTTTTCTAGGTGTCAGGGATGTTGAAAGGAAGAAAACAGACAAGATACCTGACTCATTGGCATCGACCTCCCAGTGGGGAGCCAGATAATGCACAAGAAAAGTAAAACGTGTAGTATGTTCTATGTGATGAAGCCTAAGAAAGAATTAAGCAGGGAAGGGGGTTTAAAAAGTTGGGAGGCTGTGTGGGAATTTTAGATTGGGAGAAGTCCTTAGTGGGGATATATGGGGAAGTGCCGTAGTCAGAGGGAACCTCAGGCCTTGAGGCAAGAATGGGCCTGGGGTGTCCGGGGATCCACGAGGAGACAGACTGGGGTAGCAGGAGCGGGGGGAAGAAAGGACACTTGCCTCTTTGCCGCCCACTGCCTGTTGGCCCCATCACACAGCTCCTTGAGCATAGTAATATCCAAATATTCATTGAGTGATTTAATGAACTTGGGTTCTAGAACTTTCAGAGGGAAAATCAGTAGTGACTAGGTGGGTATGTGAAGAAAGAAGAGAAGTGAGATGACCTCACAGCTGAGGGTGTAGAAGGGAAGAGAGTGGTTTAGTGGGAGGAAAACAACTGGGTGGGCTTTGAGATGGGGTGCGCAGTCCATTGGGAACTGGTTTGCTGCTAGCCTGAGCTCAGGCGAGAGTGAGGCTGAGAAGCTGACAGTCGAAGGCGTGGAACTGAGGGGATCCTCCAGGGGGGTGGCCTTGGGCAGGGCCACAGTGTGGAGATTGGGGGTGGGGAAGGGAACCTCAGGCCTTGAGGATGGAGAAGTGGTTGACAAAGAAAAGCTGGAGCTGAGCATCACACCAGGGCTCCAGGGACCGCTGTAGACAAGGTTGGGAGGGCCCAGATGGGGAGAGGACATGTCTGTAGTAAAAGTGAACATCAGAGTAGAAAATATTTAGCGTTGTGAAGAATTGGGACGGGATCTACGTTGGAGTCGCGGGAGCAACGCTCCCATACTCCCTGCGACAAGGGGGCCTCGGAGACGAGCGCGCCTCAGTGCGGCGCTGAAGCCCCAGTGTCGCCGGCAGGTGGCGCAGTCCGGCGTGCGATCTCAGGAGCTTCCGGGATCCGCCTGCCTGGAAACTTGCTACCTCGCTACTCTGCCTGGGCCAGGAAATGCTGGGTTTGATGCCCACCATTCCCGCTGCTTTTAGGAACAGCCTGGTTACTGAGTCCCACTGTCCTTGCTGAGCAGAGCGTTCCTAAACGTACCTAAGCCCGTCAAGCGATGCCTGTTGCTCGTTCAGGCGTCAGTAGAGGTGCTGTTTGATACCCGTGCTGTGCTTAGCCTTGCGCCAAGTGGTGAGTAAGTAACACGCAGAGGACACGTTTCAGTTGCTGCTGCTCCTCAAGGTTAGATATTAACTGGCAAAGAGTGAGCAAGATGCATTCGGGTCAAAAGGAACGTGTGTGGTAACATTGGTGTGCTATGTTTGCTTTTAGACGTACCAGAAGGTAGTTTTGCTAAGTCAAAACAATCAAGATTGGAAGAAGGTGATGCTCCAGCGTCCCCTTCCTCGGTGACCGAAGAAGCAGACGTGGCAGGTAACATCATGCATCGTGCACCCAGCCCGCGGTTCAAGTAGGAGTGGGACAGATGGTCAGCACGGAATGTACCCACATGAATTATAAGGGAGTTACGGTTTTAAGATCACAATAGCTGCAGAAGCCTAAAAATTGAGCATTTTGTCCTTTCAGGACCAAGTAAATGGTTGCATAAATTATAGAGAAAAGCACCGTTCCCTCCTAGCATTTTGATTTCTTCCTCTTAACTCTTTCTGGCAATTTTTCAGGCCTGAGCATTCCTAAAGCTATAAGTCTCTGCTTTAGTTGATGGTTATTAACTAAATTTTTATGTTAAAAATATATAATCTATGCCAACTGAGAAGAATGATCTAGAACTGCGATCTTGGGGAACTGTGGCCTGGTACTGGTCCATGGGCTGTTAGGACGTGGGCTACGTATCCCGGCCTGAGCTCCACCTCCAGAAAATTATCTTCCATGAAACTTAGGAACTGGGCCACACAGCAGAAGGTGAGCAGCAAGTGAGGGAGGTTTCATCTGTATTTACAGCTGCTCCCCGTCACTGGCATCACTGCCTGAGCTTGGGCTCCATGTCCCCCCTGCTTCCGTGGAAAGTCTTCCATGAAATACTGGTGCCAAAAAGGTTGGGGACTGCTGATCTAGAATGTCTGTATATGTGGGGCTGGCTTTCTGAATGAATGGTACCACATTTTTTTTTTTGAAACAGAGTCTTACTCTGTTGCCCAGGCTAGAGTGTAGTGGTGTCATCACAGCTCACTGCAACCTCAAACTCCAGGGACTCAAGTGATCCTCCTTCCTCAGCCTCCTGAGTAGCTGAGACTACAGGCACACACCTCAACGTCCAGCTAAGTTTTCTATTTTTTGTACAGACAGGGTCTTGCCATATTGCCCAGGTTGGTCTCAAACTCTTGGCCTCAAGCAGTCCTTCCACCTTGGCCTCCCAAAGTGCTAGGATTACAGGTGTGAGTCACCACACCTGGCTGGCATCACATATTTTATAACAAAGGGCTCCAAAAGCACAAATTGGGAAGCAGTGGTTCCAGACAGCCTGGGTTCAAATCCTGAAGCTGATGGTGTCAGCATGTACAAGTTATATACTCTCTCTGTAAAGTGTGGATCCTAACAGTCCCCATTTCACACGATTTTTGTGAGAATTAAATGGGTTGATGTGTGCAGATCACTTAGAACAGCATCAGACCCCTCCTAAGCCCTCTGAAGACTGGCACCTGGAAGTCATTACACCGGGTCACCCCCACAGAAGTGTCCTAACTGGTATGTCCTCCTTAGAACCTCGTACAACACCTCAGCCTACTTCATAGACATAATGTCAGTTGCTCCGATTTAAAGTGCCAGGAAGGTTTGGATGAAATGAGCACTTGGCAGAGAGAGAGGTTAGGGAAGCTTCGCAAGGCGGTTGCCATGTGGACTCTGGCCTGAGTTGGCCTTATGTGGTCATGGCCAGGGTCAGCCACGGCACAGACATACAGCCTGACGGCCAGCGGGGCATCCACGGCGCATATTTCTGTCCTGTTCTGTCCTCTGGGCAGCGGATGGACTGAGCACGTCTACTTTGAGCACTTTGTTTTATGTAATGTCTTGTTTTTGTTGTTCATAAGGCATCTCCACTCCATCCCGAGAAGTTGTGCCAGAGAACTTGAATGAGTCTGCCGTTCTCACAACCTTTGAAAGCTTCACCAGAGAACTGAGAAGAAAATACGAGGCAATAGTCCTAATAGTACTAAAAATGAAAAGCTAACTTGTTATGAATCTGAAGGACATGATGCTAAGTGATATAAGCCAGACAAATACTGCACAGTCTCACTTATACGTGGAATCTAAAAGAGTTGATCTCATAGACACAGAGAGTAGAAGTGTTGTTGCCATGGACTGGGGTAGAAGAAATTGGGTGGGGATGTTAGTCAAAGGGTACAAACTTTCAGTTACAAGATGAGTAAATTCTGGAGATCTAATGTACCGTGTAGTGACTGTAGTTAATGATAGATAATGCACTGTATACTTGAGATTTGAGATCTTCATTATTCTTACACATACAAAGGTTGTATGAAGTGATGGATATGTTAATTAGCTTGATTGTGGTAATCATTTCACAGAGTGTACATATATCAGAACATCACATGTATACCTTGAACATACACAATTTTTATTTGTCAGTTATACCTCCAGAAAGCTGAAAAAAAGAAAAAACTAGTTCATTATAATAAGCTTAAAGTCACAAGTTCATATCATTCATCAGTAGTGTTGTTATCTGAAGGTGCATCTTTGAGGAGGAGTATTTGTCATAGCTGTGACCACTGGTTTTAGTGCCTTTGTGAATTGTAGTTTGTATTTATATCTGTTCCTTGTCCATTAGCTCCCATAGGACCAAGGGACCTATGTGGAAATCAGATGCATGGTTTGGTTTCATTGGTAGTGTTTTCCGACAGTTGAACTACCAGAAAACAATTACTTGATCATGCTAATAGACAAGGAGGAAAAAGAGGGAACCAAGCGAGGGACAGGAGAGGAGTCGGGGACAAAGATGGAGGTAGACCGTGGGTGGGTGGTCAGCTGAGTTGTGGCAGATCTTGAGACACGTGCATGTACAGATTGTCCTAAAATGTTCTCTACAGGATGAACATTAGAGCCATTTTAGTCTTCCTTTATCTGGCCTGTTATTTATAAATCCCTAACGACTTACTTATTAGCACTTTTGAGAAAAGTATCTTACCTAACCAAATTCACTTAACTAACTTTTGGAAGATCTTCAAAGTCCTGTTTTGCTTTCTGTGATACCAATGCAAGCCAGTGTATTATGGCTATTTGTTCACAGTATTCAATATGTGTATTGGTAGCATGAACATAAATTTTCCCATTTTAGCTTGTTCTGTATTGATAATGCCCGCAAGGTGTGTAGGACAATGCCTTATCACAGTTCTTGAACACAGATGCTAGCTATGAATATTACCATGTGCTGGCAGTGTCTTTTTAACACAAACCATGCACTCAACTTACATATTTATATTTAATCCAAATGTGATCATTTTGTTATTGTTGTTATGGTTTAGGTTAGGTACAGAAAGAGTCCACTTTATTCAAAAGATGCAAAGAAAGCACCGGCTTGCATAATGAAACTTTTAAACCAGATATACCTGTGCAGGTAAGTATTAGATTTCAAAACAAGGTCATGGATGTGTGATCACCCACCGACAGCATTTATCTCGTATATGTCACTTACCCTTCTAGGTTTGTGGTTCTTCATCTGTAGGAAGAGGGGGTGATTTAAATGCAAATAAGCAATGTATGTGGAGCTTAGACATAGAATAGCAACTGTTGAGAATTTTAGAGCTAAAACGTTAGAGGTGGGAAAGGAATGCATTGGGCCTTACCTGACCACGTCTTTCAGGGCCAGTTCAAGGCAAGAGGAAGGGGAGCAAGTGGAAGGTAGGAAGGGATGGTGGCCTCAGCTCCTCTTCCATGGAGTCATCTGTCCTGTGCTCTGCTAAGAGCTAACGTTGGAAGTCCAGCTGTCTTTGTGCTGCTGATGAAAGACTGTGTGGGAGTCTGTGTGGTTAGATTTCTGAGGGTGGGGATGAGTGAACAGGGAAGAGATGGATAGGAAATGCCCACATGTTTTCAAGACAGATAATGTATGGAGAAGAATCTGAAATATTCTTATAATTAAAGGATTAATGAAGAGTATCTTTTGTCACATCCAAGTAGTCCTAACAAAGTTTGTTGGTTTTTACATTTGTCAGACTCAGTAAACTAGAGAAGTTTCAGAATGTTGTTCTTCAAGAGTTGAGCGATCTTGAGAAGGATATTCAGGCCCTGGAACACCTTGAAAAGGATGCTCTGGCAAGCTCTCTTTGTTTGGAACATTCTGTGTGATTTGAGAAGATCTTTTCCAGAGAAAAATAACTGCTAACTACTTAAACAAATCTTTTGTTCAATTTTAGGAGTTTTGGGGGAAACAGACTGCTGATCTGAAATCATTCTGTGATCTGCAAGTACTGAGGTACTTTTGAAAGTGTTCTTTCTAGAAGCATCTTAGTCGAAGCATGAGGTAGTGCTTTAGCTAGAATATGGGCTGTCAGCATTGGTACAACTCATGTAAGTCACTGAGCGGCTGCATCTTTTCAAACTGGGCCACTTCTGAGACCCCTCCCCGAGGACAGTGTGGCCAAGATACCAGTGGAGAATGGTAAATTTTGAAAAGCCTACCTGGATCATCCACATTTCTGTGTTTTTGATCTCAACTGTTTTATTTTTAAGCAGTATTTAAAAGAATTAAAATGATTAGATTTTTGAGCAGAATGTTTAGGTTTTTGAGTAAACAGTTGATTTTTAGGTATACACCAAATTATGTTTTTGACAGACTATATGTTTTATTTATATTTGTATATATTTTCAACATCTATATGCACACATTTTTTTAAACAACAAATGGGTTTACCCTGCTACAGTTCCCTTGATTGTAATTAGTGTACATCCTAACGCTGCTTTTTCTATCCCTCTGGAATATTGCCCTCTCTTCTGGGGGAACGGAGAATGGAGGCTGTTACTTCTCTATTTCTGCCCTCAGGGAAGATTCTAGTGTTCTTGCCCCACTTGAATAATCAGAAGGAATCCCTGTATAAATTTGTAATGGCTCAATCTTTATCTTCCAGTTAAGAATAAGCTGCTTTTACAGAAATCTAAGTCAGATGGTTTTAGGAAGGATATTATTCTGGTCAGTTATCCATCCTACCATTTATTCTAGTTAACACAATAATGACTGTATGGACCATTTTCAAAATCCTTTCACACACTCCTCTCTCTCTCTGGCATTATACGTGATTAAAGATGATGATACCCTTATAAAACATCTTCATTGAATGCCCATGGTTGGTTGTGAATGGTTTTCAAATTTGGACTCAGGAACTCTTTACGTATTTAACATTTATTGAGGGATCCCCAAAGAGCTTTTCTTATGTGGATTATATCTGTGAATATTCTCCATATTAAAAATTGAGACTGATATTTCAAAAATATGTTTACATATTGATAGAAATAACATTTTTATGAAAAATAGGCTTTGCATAATAAACGTGAGAAGAGAAGCACTGCTTTATATTTTTGTGAATCTCTTTAATGTCTGGGTTATAGAAGATAGCTGGATTCTTGTATCTGCTTCTGAGCTTACTCTCTTTGTGAGTCCTTTAGTCTCTGGGAAGTTCCACTGTACATTTGTGAGAGAGTAAGAATGAAAAAAGCACATAATGTCTTAATGCCATTACCATTATTACCAAAATAGTTTTGACTTAACAGATTCACAGAGCCTTTGGTTCCTTAAGGGATTCCCAGACTACACTTTGAGAATGGCTGATATAAAGCCATTAAACATTAGAGAAGAGTATATCCTCTAGTCTTCTGAAACCTGGAGAATTCATTTATTTTTACTAAACCTCAAATTTCAGGCAACTGTCTTTTCGAACATCATAAGATATTAACTATTATTTGTATTTATCTCCCTTTGACAAGAGATCCCTGTATGAATTTAGAATACCTCAAAGAAAACATCTCTATTAGTTGTGATTTTACTCATTCCCACCCCCACACCTGACTAGCATCTGATGAATATTACTACCGTGTGAGCATGTTAGTGTTGATAAGTTAGTACCAATTAGATAGCGAGTACATGTGGTGCTTATATTTCCATTCTTGTGCTACCTCACTTTGAAGGATGGGCTCAAGCTCTATCCAGGATAATACAAGAGGTGCTAGTTCACCATTGTTTTCTGTGGCTGAGGAGAACTCCATGGTATACATATACCACATTTTATTAATCCACTCATGTATTGATGGGCACTTGGGTTGTTTCCACAATTTTGCAATTGTGAATTATACTGTCATAAACATTCAAGTGCAGACATCTTTTTTATAGAATGGTTTTTTTTTCCTTTGGATAGATGCCTAGTAGTGGGATTGCTGGATCAAATGGTATATCTATTTTTAGCTCTTTGAAGTAACTCCAAATTATTTTCCACAGGAGTTGTACTAATTTGCAGTCCCACCAGCAGTAAGCTTGGGTGAGGTAAAGGCATTACTTATAACCAAAATGTTTGTACCCCCATGATATTCTGAAATAAAAAAAGAAAACATCTCTTCTAAATATACCTCCTTCAGGGTGTTGCCTTTGCTCTCTTCCCTCACGAACACCTAAGAAAATTGCCCTTTGCTTTGTCAGTGAGGGATGATGGTGGTTCTCTTAGCTCACCCTGAATACCTCTGAAAGCCTGGCCCTGGGCTGCATGCTTGATATGCGAGGACCTCATGAGAGGTTAATTTGCTCAGTCAAGGTCGAACAGGTATTCAGTGTCTGTCCTTTTGTCTGGTTTTCATAGCAGTGATGAAGGCCTTAGATACTTTGCTAGGGAAATGAGAAGAACATCCCTCCACTAAATTATTTTAACCCCTAGCACAGAGCCACAAGGAATTAGGGATTCAGTGCTCTGAATGGTGGCCATGAAATACCTCTACAAATGTTGTAGGCCAGTGGTATTGACAGAGACAATGCATAAAATAGAATCAAATGAAAATGTGAATCTCTTATGTTGATAGCCTGAATTGTTCCTCTTCCATTATCTAGTAATAAATGATCTGTGAAATAACTCTGTGATAAATGTATGTACATAGATGTATGTTCTTGTTTTAAAATGGCCTAATGTGACTATAATAAGAAGAGATGGACCAATTTCTTCCAGGCTTAATCCAATTCAGCCTTCATAAGGAAAACCGAAGCCTGGTTTGATTATTGCATCCCTCAGGTAGGTATAAAGATTTGCATTGTTCAATGTGAATTGGGGTGGAGGAAAACAAGTTCTAAAAGATACCGTAACGCTTTGCCCATATTATGTTTCTGCAGCTGAACTTCTTCCTCTCTCACGGTCTCCCCCATCCTAGAAATTATCCTTTTGGGTCTGGGAATTTATAAATGAGTTCTTGCCCTGCATCAAGCACTGTGCTTAACAGGAGAAACAGGTTGAGTATCCCATATCTGAAATGCTTGACACTAAAAGTGTTTTAGATTTTGGAATAGTTGCAGAATAAATACCAATTGAGCATTGGTAATCTGAAAATCTGAAATCCAAAATGCTCCAGTGAACATTTCCTTTGAGTCAGCATGCAGAAAGTTTCAGATTGTGGAGCATTTTGGATTTCAGATTTTTGGATTAGCGATGCTCAACCTGTACAATGGTTAACACACAGACATCCTCTTGCCCCCATTAAAAAATAAATTTTTTGAAGGAAGACAGAGAACAGACAAAATAATTGCAGGTTTAGTAAGTGCCTTGAGGGATCCTAACAGGGTGCTTTGGCAGAGAGCCATGGTGTGAAGTGTCACCATAAGATAAGATGGTTATCAAAGGTCTCTCTGAGGAAGTGACCTGTAAAGTTCTCAAGGATAAGAAGGAAGGAGACTTGTGGACAGTTTAAAGCAGTGGGGTTGGTTGGGGAGGAGAAGTTGACATCTTTGAGAAACAGTGAACGTGAGGGGGCAGTTACTTGAAGTTGGGAGCACAGTAGTCTGTCACTGAGGTATGGCCTCATTGACCATGTTGAGGAGTTTGAATTTTACATTAATAATGAGGGAATATGCACGTGGATTTGAGCAAAGGCGTTTTTGGGTAAAGGGAAGACTCAGGGTGGGAGGAATGTGTAGATCAAGCAGAAACTAGAGCTCACGTAACATTTTAACTATCAGGTGTCTATGCACATACATGTTTTGATGAGAACCTGGAGTAACTGGAAAATTTTCCAGGAAAATACAGTTTAACAAAACGGACTCCCAAATAGATGAGAAACCTTAATAGACAAATGTTCATAAAAGAGAGAAAGTTAGAAACAGACATGATTGACATGATTGACATGAAGACATGATTGACAAACAAATTAGAAACAAATTAGAAATGGTGCAAATCCACAAGAACTAAAAAGGTAGTAATAATAAGCTTTAAGTCTGAAATGAACAAAATAGAAAACAAGGAAAAATAACATCAAAAGCACAATTGGAATTTGTAATGAAATGTAGAAATAACAGATTCATAGAGATCTTAAAAATCATAAGCATATATTAAGGATAGCAGGATATCAATAAATTTGAAAGTTAGATGCAATGCATAACTTTCTAGGTGAATATGCATTACCAGAAGTTATTTAAGAAGCATAATCATTAAAGAAATTAAATTGGTAGTGTCAAAAAGCCCATCCTTGGCTGGGTATGCTGGCTCATGCCTGTAATCCTAGCACTCTGGGAGGCCGAGGTGGGAGGATTGCTTGAGATCAAGAGTTCAAGAACAGCCTGAGCAAGAGTGAGATCCCGTGTCTATTAAAAATACTAAGATTAGCCTGGTATTGTGGAACGTGCCTGTAGTCCCAGCTACTGGGGAGGCTGAGGCAAGAGGATGGCTTGAGTTCATGAGTTTGAGGTTCCAGTGAACTGTGATGCCACTGTGTTCTACCCAGGGTGACAGAGTAAGAGTCTGTCTCAGAAAAACAAACAAACAAACAAACAAAAAACCTGTAGTGAATACCTTTGCACACATTGGAGGAAGATACTATTTTCTTTTGAGGAAACAAGAATAACAAATCTCCAAATCAAAATAAGACTAAAAGAGGTTATGAAGAAAAGACTAATCTGTGCTAAAAATATTGGAATAGTTCCCAGTTCTAATGGAGAATTGGATCAAATGTGCATTAATGTTCATGTTAAGTTTGGTCACATGCAGCAGAAGTTGGACTCCAGCAGCTAAGCCAGGCAGAGGTTTTATCTTTCCCCTGTAAGCAGCAGCCCAGAGTGAGGTGGTCCAGGCTGGTGGTGTGGCAGCAGGGACTGGAGTTCTCTGAGCTTTCAGCTCTGCCATCCTTTGTGGGACTTGGGATTGGGTAGTCACAGAATGGCTGCTCTGCCTCTAGGTATCTCTTCCACGCCAGGTAGGAGGAAGGGGTTGAGTGTGCCAGCACTTCCCTCTTTTTAAATTGGAAGCAGTTCTCTTGGAAGCTCAAACTGATAGATTTTTGTCTCTATTTTATTGGCCAGGACTGGGTCACATGGCTCACCCTGGTTGCAAGGGAATGTAGGGAGGTGAGAATTTGACTAAATATGTCACCATACCCCCTAAAAGTGGGGCTCTATTAATACAGAAGCAGGGGAGAATAGGTCTTCGGTAGGTAACTAGTGATGTCTGCCATGCCTGAATTAAGTTGCATGTGCTGCACATGGAAAACATGAAGAAGTAACTTAAATCACAGAGATTCTGTGCTATTCTTAGCGTGCATGTGCCCTGTTCCCTCAGTTGATATCAGCTCCTACCTACCTCTTGTTTATGGCATCTAATTGGGCTGAATGCCAATCTGGTTATTAACAACACATGGTTTTCATACAGTCCGGCACCTAGAGCCAGGCCGGCCACTTCATCTGATGCCCTAACCAAGAAAGAGCTGTCTTTTTTCCAACACCCGAGGAAAAACCACCTGTTGTGTTAAACCGTCAAGAGATGGCATATATATCTTCAAAGTGGCACGTGTTTAAGAGATTTGGGGGGATAATTTTGACTCCAGGCAGTTTCCACCTGGGCCACTGACTTGAGCTCTCAGCAGCCATGGTAAGATGTGACTTCACAGAATTTCTGAATTAGTGACATAGCCAACAAAAAGAAGTGCCATGCCTGTTGGCTCACTGGGTTCTGAGAGACCAAGAGATGGACAGGTCAGCATTGACTAATTACCATTCTCCTTTTCCACCAGTCTGAACGCCTGAAGAGGAAGATAAAGAGCAACTTACCGTTTGCTGCACTCAGTTTGCTCCGCTCCAAACAATCCTGGAAACTACTGAGTTGGAATAGAATATATGTTGGTAGTTCGCATTGGTGTTATTATCCATTTGTTCATAAAAGTTAACCGTTAGTATTAAAATTTGGTCCGACAGTAAAAAGTTCAGGATGTTCAGCAACTTGGAGTGGTCTTGCTTTCTTATGATTTTAAAAGCAAAATTGCTGTTTTGAGACACGTCTTCAAGTTTCATGAAAACAAAAACTTTAGCAGCATCTGTATAAATACAATTTAGTGTGTCTCTTAGAAGGAGAAATTTGATTTGAAAATGATGAAAATAGCTCAGGTGGAAATGGTGTTATGTTTTGAAAATAAAGTTATTGGGAGGTCTCATTTGATCTGGAAACATTTTAGTTTCTCCAGCACTTTAACAAAATTGTCATCCTTAGTAGAGGGGAAATATTCATCATGTGATAATTACTAAATAAATGCTCTAGTGACGCTTGAGTGCATGAAATTGGATATACGGTTGAGTGTTTGAATTTATTTTAGAAAAACAAAACCTACATATATTAAGGCCATCTACAAAGTCACTTTGTTCATGATTGGATAAGTGAAGTTAAAGACTGTCGACTTAACAGTTATTCAGTATATGATCTTAGTTACATTATGTAGTTTAATTTGCCTAAAACAAATGTTTATAACTCCACTTTTGTCATCTGTTTTCTTTACAATTTTTTTAATGAGCTATGTTTTAGTACCTTGTTGTAGGCTTTTTAAGTGTTAGAGCCTTTATTGTTTAAGGTAAAAAAAAATTATGAGGTTAACTAACTTCATTCCACTTAGGTATATCTAATTCAGGGCTCACAATTTCTGGTGAGTTGGAGTTTTAAGGATTTCAGTTCTATTGCATTGACTGTCCTCATTGAAGTAAATCTAAAGAATATATGTGACTTCCAGTAACTAGTGAGCATACATTTGAGCGCTTTCCTTTACAAACCTTTGAGTTGGCTTGTGTGGAGGATGTCAGGATGGCTAAGACGTAATCTTAGCTGTTAGGAACTTAAATCTAGAGAGGACAAGACATCTAGGTGACTGTAAATCAAGGCTTTACATGACAAGTGCTGTCAATGAGCTATAAACTGAGCGTGGGTGGAGTTGTGAGAGGGAAGAGACATTTTTGTTGGGGAGATCAGAGATGGCTTCTTGGAGGAGAGGTGCCATTGAAATAGATCGTGAAGGATGAGGAGGGTTTTTCTAGGATTAGGGAATAGGGACTAACATGAATATAGGAACAGGGGCAGAAAAATGCAGAATTTGTGTGAGGCCATAATATTATGGAGTATTTAGCAGGAATTAAATTGGGCTAGGTCCAAACTAAGATGCCTTCACTAGCTTGATTAGAAGGATTTTATTCTGTAGGTGAGAAGAAGCCACTGAAGACTTTTAGGAATAATAAAATGAACACAGTGGTTTAGGAAGATTAGTGGCAGCATGCAGGCTGAATTCAATATACTGGGGGAGATTATTGCCACAATACAGGCCTTGATGACAGTAGTGGTACCAGGAATGAAAAAGAGGACAGCTATGAGACAATGTGGCGGGTATAAGATTCAAAGAGCTGATTTTGAGGATATGTTGACGTAAGTTTCAAACACCATGAGATGAGATATTGGGGGACATCTCTTTGAAAATACCAGTGAGTCTCCACTGAACATCATGGTACTCAGCGTGTCCTTCTCCAGCACCTACTGTGTGCTGGGTGCTGTGCTTGGTGCTGCGGATTCAAGGTGATGTTGCCCCTGCTCCCCAGAGGTGGCAGTGTGAGGCGGGGGAGACTGATGTGAGTCCGGCGGTCACAGACCAGTGTGAAAGCAGGCCAGGCAGTGCCCTGCCCAGCGGTGTGTGAGCTGCCTGGCCTGGGCATGGCAGGACGCAGGAATTGTGGGGCAATGTGGAGAGGAGGGGCTGACAGTCGGTCCTTGGGGGAGGAAGAGATGGTCTCTTGCTCCAATCTGGAGACTGCCACCCTTCTGGGCCTGTCCCCAGCTCTGGTGGGGAGCAGCCCAATACCCAGCCCTGCAGACTCCTTTGCCCTCTGTGCCTCACTGGTCTTGGCAGGTGTTCCTCTGCACCCGGACCGTCCATCCTCTGAGCATCCGTTTAGTCCACAGGTGGTAGGTGAGTGCAGACCCTGTGAGCCACCCTCTCTCTCTCTGCGCCCCTCCAGCCGCTGGCTGCTTCCCATGACAAGGAATGAGCCAGGCTGATTCTCTCCAAGGTTCAGGCTCTCACGGGCTGCTTTCAGGGGCATTTGTTGGAGGCCATAGATGACTATAGGGTGACTCAGGAGGAAGGCATATTCTGAGTGTTTTTCCCGTGATGACAAAGGCACCAGAGGCATCCCTTGTCCCTGCCCCATAAGCATAGTGAGGGGCTGGCTGCTGCGTCTTCCTCCCCTGGGGGTCCTTAACTTCAGCTCACTTGGGTGCTCCTGCAGCTGTTCAACGCACCCCTTAGCTGCCCCACGCTTTCAGCAGCTGCTGTATCTGTTCCCTGTATCTCCAGGTCTTAGCAAGGATTTCCATGTGACTTGATCTTTTGTGTTTTTTTTTTTCGTTGACTTCCCATTCACTCTAAAGCCCCTGCAATTTGCTAATTGCCTCTCAAGGTCTGAATCCAGTGCCTTTTTGGTTTTTTCTTCAGTTGTTGCCCAGCTCACCTCCTTGTAGCATTTGACTTTGTTTAAATGATCTCTTTTTCCTTGGCGTCTCCTCTTTCTCTGGCTGCTTCCCTAGCCCCTGTTTCTGGTTAGTCATCTGAGAAGTGTCTGGCTTTCTCTTTACTTTCCTGTGTTCCTGTCTCCTCTTGGCACAGCTGGCTTCCTGAGGCCAGCGGGTGCTAACACCTCAGGCGAGTGTGTCCACAAATGACTCGTGTCCTCTGCTTCCCCGCCTGGTCCCAGTTCAGACCCGCCCCTGCAGAGCCTGCGGCATCACCGCCTGCACCTGCAGCTCAGAATTTTGCATTTGACTCTCTCCCTGCCGAAGTTTGGTGGCACCTCCCAGTAATCTCCTATAGGATCTAGCCTACATCTTCTGCATCTTCCCTAATTCTGTGGGGGGAAATGCCACAACTGTGCCTCTGCCCCTGGCATCTCCTAGCTCTTCTCCTTTCCCCAGGAACAATAAGTTGTCTGCTTGTGGTTCTTGGTCCACACCAACATCTAGCCCATTCACCCTGCTGGATACCGTGGCAGCTCCCTCTTAGTGAGGCACTCCAGGCTGTACACTTTCAGCCTCGTCTTCTGCCCTGACTTTACTTCCCCTGTACTTAAGCGTCCTCTTTGCTATTACTAGAATGTGCAATGACGCACCGTCACTTCTCCTTTCCCTGATATTCTTCTGTAGGAAACACTTTTCATCCAGTTCTCTCCCAAGTGAGCCCCTAAATGTGCTTCCAGGCCCAGCTCCAGCTCCTCATGCAAGGTCTTCCTCCCACCTCTACCCACCTGGGGCCACGCTTAGGCAGCGCCTCTCAAGGCCCGCGTGGTGCCATGCTCATCTCTGAGGGTGCATGTGGTTCCTGGTGCGGTGATGGCACATTTACAGGTCTGCAGCCAGAGCCTGTTCCCCATGTCCTTCTCAAGTCTTGCTCACCTGTGTGCCTTAGCAGAAATGGTAGAGGAATTAATTCAAAGTCTCAGGAGGAGACAGAAGTGGGGGAACCTCCAGGTTTCCGCAAGATCTCAGAAACCAAAAGACAGGAGGAGTTTGAGAATGGCGCTGTTAACACTGTCATGTGGCAGCAAAGTCACAAAAGGTAGGCACAGGTCCTTAGGGCCTTGGTTGTTTTATAGAAAGGAATGGGATGGTCAGTTTTGTGTGTCAGTGTGGCTACGCTATGATGCCCAGCTGTTTGGTCAAATGCCAGTGTAGGTGCTTTGTGTTATGGATGTGATCAATAGTTTAATCAATAGTCTTTTTGTTTTAAATTTCAGAATATTATGAGGGTACAAGCATTTTGGTTACATGAATTACTTTTGTACAGTTGGGTCAAAGTTGTGTGTCAGTCACCTAGATAGTGTGCACTGTACACATTAGGTGTGACTTAACCCATTCCCTCCTCCCCTCTCCCACCTGCTTTATTTCCATTGAATTTTACTACCATATGTACACATGAGTATTAATCATCTAGTTCCTATTTAATAGTGGGTACTTGTGGTGTTTGTTTTTCCATTCTTGCAGTACTTCACTTAGGAGGATGGTCTCCAGTTCCATCCAGGTTGTTACAAAAGGTATTAGTTCACTTAAGGCATAAAACTATAAGAATTCTAGAAGAAGAGTTTGGAAAAACTCTCATAGATGTCACCCTAGGCAAAGAATTTATGAAGATGCCGCCAAAGGCAATCACAGCAACAACAAAAATCGCCAAAGGCAATCACAGCAACAACAAAAATAAATAAATGGGATGTGATTAAATTAAAAAGCTTCTGCACAGCCAGGGAAAACAATCAACAAAGCAAATACCCTACAGAATGGGAGAAAATATGTATATGCTATATAGCTGATCAAGGGCTAATAACCAGAATCTACAAATAACTCAAGCAAATCAGCAAGAAAACATCAAACAACCCTATTAAAAAGTGGGCAAAAGACATGAACAGCAGCTTTTCAAAAAAGATAGACTTATGACCAATAATATGAAAAATGTTTAGTGTTTCTAATCATCAGGGGAATGCAAATTAAAGCCACAATGAGATATCACCTAACTCCAGTGAGAACAGCTTGTATCAGAAAGTCCCAAACAACACATGGTGGCGTGGATATGGAGAGAAAGAACAGCAATGTATAAACATTGCTGGTGGGACTGCAAACTAGTTCAACCCCTATGGAAAGTAGTATGGAGATACCTCAGAGAACTAAAAGTAGAACTATTTGATCCAGCAATCCCACTACTGGGTATTTACCCAAAGGATAAAAAGACATTCTATAAAAAAGACACTTGCACTCGAATGTTTATAGCAGCATAATTCACAATTGTAAAGATGTGGAAACAACCCAAGTAACTGTCAGTACACTAGTGGATTAATTAAACATGGTATATATATACCATGGAGTACTACTTAGCACTCAGTAGACTTTGAATGAAGCATAATGTGGGGGGACCTCATCCTATCAATTGAAGGTCTTACGAACAAAGACTGAGGATGCCCCAAGAAGCAGCAACTCTGCCTCAAGACTGCTACATGGAAACCGTGCCTGAGTCACCCACCCTGCAGATTTCAGACTCAAGGCTGCAACATCAGCTCTTAGCTGAGTTTCCAGTTGCTAAAAATAAATCTCTGTCTTCATATCTGTCATCTGTTGGCTTTGTCTGTGGAGAACCCTGACTAATACAGGGTGTCTCTAAGCCAATGTAGCTGAAGCCTCACGGAGCAGTTTTGCATTCATATTCAGTTCCCCATGTAGATGCGATGAGATTGTGAATCCTGACACAATTCTTACAGATGTGGAAATGATCTGTTTTCCTGGCAGGAGGGTCCCTAAAAGCAGAGACCTTATCTGTTTTCTTGACTATTTTATTCCAAACCCTGGGGCTATGCCTGGCACATGGGAGGCATTCAAGAAATACTTACTGATTCCTGAGTCCAAGGTATTTAACTTCTGGATTTCCTTGAAGTTTCCTCATCTGTTTGAATTCTTCACCCATCCAAAGCTCAGGCATTACCTCCTTTAGAGACATTTCCCTGGTAAAGCATTTTAGTATTTTATAACTGTTTCTCTGCCTATTTTATCAGACTGGGAATGCTGAGGGCAGGTATTTCATCTGGATCATTCTGTATCCCCAGCACAATACATAGTGCTGGAAAAGGTAGATTTAATGAATTTTTCAATTGAATACAACTATTTCCAGAGTTTATCAAAGTCCATAGGTCTAAATTAGCTTTAAAAGGATAAAGGCTATAGGTCTACATGGGGACTATCTTAGGTAGAGAGAGCATCTTGCAGAGAAATTTGGAACATCTATAATTTGTTTCTAGGGCCACAGTTGATGAGACTATGTTCACTTCCCTCTAAGTATATGACATTGGCCCAGGCAAAACTGTATAGAATGTCTCCTTTTTCTGTTCAGCGCTCAGGAGTCACAAATTCAGATGCCTTCAGGGGCCGGCTAGATTAATGGCTGAACGTAAAGGATGAATGATGGTAACTGTGGCAAGTACAGGAGCGGGAGCCCATCTGAAGGTATTCAGGTGGTTACAGACTATGGCGCACGAAATGTCAAGGGATGTGCAGAGAGCTTTGCCTCGGTCCGGTCTGCCACACAATGTGGCCACAGTCACTTTCAAAACGGCTCCCAGTGGGTTGCTCAGAGATCCATAACTGCATTTCCCAATTGCTCAGTGAGGGTATGAATTACAGATTTACTTGTCCTCTTAGTGTTCCCTGGGCGCAATTGAAGATGGAAAAATGACCTACAAATCGATAGCTTTTACTCTTTCTTTTTCCCCTCTGTCATGTTTTACTGAAGGTCAAGGAATATTTAGGTGACTGTAGTTAGTCTTGTAAGATTGCTTCCTTGCACGGCCTGGAAAGCACCTCTTCCTTAAAAAGGTGAATGTATTTGATTTGGAAGAAAGCTTGCTGTAATAAAAACACATGCTGAATTTTTCTTTTATATTAATATTAAAAAATGACTTATTTAGGTGAACGTATATCATGTATGAACAGTTTTTTTCATTTGCAACAGCAGTTATTAGGCCTTGCCATGGACACTCAGGACTTACCTTTTACTTTTAAACACTAAGTTTTAATGAGTTGGTTCCATCCACTTTTTAAAACAAAAGTTAAGAGGAGGTGTTTTATTTTTTGGAATATTATGGGGCAAACATGTTGGTTATATATAATGCCTTTGCCTCGCCCAGGGCTATGAGCGTGCCCTTCCCCCATACAGTGCACAAGAGGGGGTGTTTTAAACATTCACCTCCCACCCCAGAGAGTGGAGACGAGGTCCTCTCTCATTACCTGTTCTCCTCTTCCTGCCTTTCCCTAAAATCTATCTTGCCCCACCCATCATTATCCAGAAATTTGAGACCTTGACTTTGTATTTAGACTTTGAGCACATCTTTTATAGTTTTTTTAAAATTTATCTTATCCTTAACATCACATTCACATTCTACTCTGTTATCCTGCCCACGGCTCAACTTCTCTCCCAGACTTCCACATGGCGAGTCTCAGCTCACTTACTGCCCACTCCTGAGCTGAGGTGACCACTGCTCCACCTATCCAGGGCAAAGCGACAGTCCTGGGTTTCAGGGCATTGCACAAGGTCGTTTCTGCCTGATGTCTTCTCCTCGGACAGACCCGGTACCCCTCTCCAGGTTACTCTATGCAGCATCTGTTTGTTGTAACCCTTATGTTTACTGCTTAGCTAGTTGGCCTTACATTTTTCTTGTAAAAAACTCTGAAACAGTTGATATACGAATACCACCTAAAAGGTAATGTTACATTAAAATCCACTGCTTACTGAAGAATTAAACGTCTAAAATTTGTTGCTGAAATACTGTATGAAGAATCCCTGAGTGATAGGTCATTTGAAATACTCTGTAGGCACACATTTTAACTTCTTTGAGCCAAATAATAAAAACTGCAACATGCTTTAGTGTAAAAATCAATTTATTGTACAACAATCATACAGAATGCTTTTTATCTACAAAGAAAAATGGCTTCTCCAGCCTCCCTGTCCACCCAATCATGATAGTATGTCCTTAAGATACAAGTACTTCCAAAGGAAGACAAAGTGGATCCTCATCTTCCAAATAAGGAAGCCCCCAGAAACATTCATAAAACGATATAGAAACACAGGAAAAAAACTAAAATGGACTCTTACATATAAAATGCTATTCTGCCCATGACAGTAATACCACTTTGCCTGAAAATAAAAAAATACTTCTCTGATATTTTGATAGAGGGGGAGAGGACTTCATCCTTTAAGATGCCTAAATAATTCAATATATAATTTTGATGGGTTGTAAATTTCTATATTTAATTTTATTCCCTAAACCTTCCATTTTGTTTAAAAAATTAGGGAAATTAACAGATATACTTTATAGCATTCATTTGAATGTTTTCATTCCCATGAGTAAGAGGAAATTGGAGGAAACATTTTTCCACTTTAATAAATTATAGTAATATTACAATTTTTCATAGTTGTTTTAGAAAAGTCACATTCAAAGTAAATATTTTGGTTTTTTAAAGTTATAACACTTAATGACAGGTTAAAATATTTACCTTATTCAATTTTTGTGGCTAAGATTTTATAGCTCTGTGTATTTTGTATCAGCCCTTGAATGGTTTAAGGCTATAAGAGTTTTATTAAGCCTCACTAGAATTAAAGACCAAATTAGAAATAAGCATCCCGAATGAAACCTCTGAAATTCTGGCATTAGCTTGGAAGTGTAAACTACCCACATTTTCCCTCCACTTTGATCTGACAGGTTTCACCTGCTTTGTACTTACAGCTGCTCGACTTTAGTCGTCAGTCTGCTCAAGGACGCGCCCTCCTTGCTGTGCAGGAATGATGTGCAGTGAGGCTTTAGTGCTTCACTAGCAATTAAGAAAAAGCTGAATACAAGGGCCAGTGATGTCTGTCTTCTAAGTCTCATTTTTACCTGGAATGTACTTTGGTAATAGATTTTTAGCCCATGTTTGAGACCTAAAACTGAACTAGAGTCCAGCTTCTCCAAAGGGCTTTCTCCTTAGTCTCAGTTGTGTTTTGTCATAGAGGAGCAAGAGCAGTCATACGAAGATAGCCCTTGTTTTCAAATGGATTGCCAGGAGAGAACAATACATTGAATACAGTTGTAAGGTGATTCGAGATGGAAGTGGTGATTAAGCACCCTAGAGCAAGTTAGTTTTCGGAAATGGTTTAGAGGAATGAATGGAAGAGTTAAGTGGGCATCAGACAGGAAGATGTCTATTCAACTGAAGTGGATCAACTGGTACAGAGGGAATGATCCAGGGTACAGTGCATCTCCCTGAAAACTATACGTTAGTCACCTTTAAAATATATGCCAGAATCCTGAGAAGGGGTAGTTCACGTGAAAAGTTAGGTCAGTAAAAAAAATTTTTTAACAGGAAAAATCATTTTAAAACAAGAGCTTGGGGAAAAAAAGCAAAAAAGGGATAGAAAGGCACTCTAGACAGTAATGAGTTGGGTCAGTGGTGAAAATGCCTTTCTGGTAAGTGCTTATACATTTGATGTCAGTGTTAGGCTCTACAAACTTATTTAAAAAAAATAAGGTAGGGAAGAAGATAAAGTGGCAAAGTTACAAGTCTTGTTTTATAGGGTATAAATTAATCTTCATCAAATCTTTAGAAAATTCTTTGTTCCCATTCTTGGTACAATTTACTAGTAAAAGCCCAACACTTTGGGAGAAAGGAAATATTCATTAATGCTTTTGAATTTGTCTGCTTTTGTGCTTGATTCTCGGTAGAGATCATACATCTGAGCAGGGATAGGATGTGCTGAGTTTGCCAGCACGTTTTTCTGTGCTGGCATTTTTCATTGTGGCTCATTACTTAGCTCATGGCTCAGTGCTGGAATCTTTCCAAACTATCTTTGTCTTCCTATTTTCAAAAACTTAACCTGCAAAGAGTGATAGCAGGTATTCGGGATAATATTTACAAATAGGATCACAAAAAATATATGACTAATGTCTATTGTGCCCCCCCCTTGCTATTAGTTCTGATTTATAAACTTCCAGTGGCATATGTGTTCGAAAGAAGAGGTCAGGTTGGACTCCGGTCCTTGTTCAGAAAGGAAAGGGGCAGCCAGGTTCAGATACTGCTTTTAGTACAGAGCCTGGCGACTTTCTTAACCTAGGCTGGCTAACTTGGAAGATAGACACAAATACGTTAATTAAGGAAACTGAGGAACATGTTTCTATCCCAAACCCCTGAATTATGAAAATCTGGCAAATGAATTTTCTTCTTAGAATAACTAAGCTCCAAAATATTATCACTAAGTTCAGAATGAGGAGGAGTTGTGGGAATTTGAGAGAGAAGACCCTGGCTTAGCAAGAGAGAAGTTTGATGGATTTTTCTATCTTCCATGTATGATCCCATTTCAATATTTTCTGGGGTTGATTCCTAAAGAAACAAATGGACTGATTATGTACTGGGAATTATTGCTTAATACAGATTAGAAAATACCCTGTATTTAATATAAACAGTTTGTATATGAACATTTTAATATGAACAAAAACTCTTTTTATTTGAAGACTTTAGTGAAAAACAGTGCTCCGTGTTTCCTGGCTTTGTACGTGTATAAGGCGTTACAAGACAGTTTCTGGTGAGGGGTTAGTCTGTGTGGAGGGAGGGAGGGGGGAGAAGTCGCACCAGTTCTGAGGTCTTCAGAGGTCAGCATGACCTCAATGCTGATCAAAGCATTCAGTTAACAGATTAACCTAATAGCAATATATTAATATATTCCAGGTACAAATGATTTATAAACTTAAAAGAAATTAGTTTATGCTAAAACATATATAACTTTCAATTCAGTCTTTGCTTTAAAACAAGCGAATCTGTTAGGCTAGTATATATGCTTTAAGTTACTCTACTTTTATTGTGCTTTCTTGTTGATCACTCCATTGGCTGCAGTGAAGTAGGCTTTGGAAAAACCATTCTTCACTTCCTTTGCTGCAAGTGGCTCTTGCATATCTTTCTTCATAGGCTTTTTTCGGTATGTCTGTTGGATGTGTATATTTTGAAAAGAAAAAGAAAAGGATCCTTTAATAAGACCTTGTCTCAAACATTGCATATAGTTAAAAAAGCACATGATTTTGGTGGGCACTGGACTTTCTAGTAAGAATTCATGTTTGTAATATGACCATTTTTAAGCCTTTAAAGATAAAAATAAGGGTAAAAACCAAGACAAATGCATGAATTTAAATTAATATTAGGTCAGGGTTTGTATATTCTGGGATTAGCATTCAAATTATTCTGCATTAGTTGATTACTTGGAAAGGATGTAACTTTTAAGAAAATGAAAGGGGCAGCCTTGCAAAAACAATAGGAAAATACCTAATCCCACATAGGAAAATACCTAATCCTACAATTTCCCCAGTAACGGTTAAAGATCAATCCTATGAGTTGTCTAACAAGTACCCTACAGGAGTTCTGTTTTGCACAACTTCTGTAAAAGCTGAATGAATGGAAAAGAGATGTAAATCTCTCTCTCAAAAAAAATTTTTTTTGAGAATCTGCTTTCACAGAGTTCTGTTTACAGCAGGAGAACAAGCTCCAGCCTCAACCACATCCCCAGAATGGAGTCACATCTCCTGTGATAATCCGTTCTCCAAGGGAGGGCAGGAAACCAACTTTTGGACTTTAATATCCTTGCAGTTTTTGTTATCTACCTGCTGCCGCTTTTGTTATCCTGACAGCCATCACTATTGTTTCCTTCTCTTTGTCCCCCTTAAAATCTGCAAGCCACTTGGCCTTGCTGCTGGCATCTCTCCCTTCCTTTCGTTGGGATGCCACGTTTCTCTCTCTCTCTCTCTCTCTCTCTCTCTCTCTCTCTCTCTCTCTCTCTCTCTCTCTCATTCTGTCCTTTAAAGGATAAAATAAATTTTACTTTTACATATCTCAATCTCTGAGTGAGAAATCTTTCTCCACTCTTGTCATGAGCATCTACTAAGCCTTTCGACTCTAACAGAAAATATATAACTCAGGTGAAAAAGTATTGTTATTTTAAAACGACCAATACCTGGGGATTCTGGCTTGCTTTGGTTCTTGGCATATCATTTTGACAGAATACCTGATCTCTGATCTCATTTTTATTTTTTAAAAGCAATAGTATTAACAAGGGTAAAGCCTGAAGTTATATACTCAACTTTAGAACTAAAATTCTATCTTAACTAGCATCTAGGGTTAAAGCTTTGAATTCTATTATCTACCCTTGCTGGGCTATATGCTGCTTCTCAGTTTTCAACACCAAACACCAAAAGGACTCCTTTAGCTTTCTTTTAACAAGCAATGTGTGTCTGTGAGCATGCTTTGTTTGGTTCCATCACTGATTATTTCTTCAAAAATTCTCAAAGGAAACGTTTATCTCTTATAAAAGACAAAGCCTAGTCAGTCTAATTTCAGAAACAAGATCTGAAAAGCTGTTAAAACTTAGTTCACACAGTTTTATATTGTATAAAACCACTGAGTTGACTTCTAGCAAATGCAAACTGAAAAATAAGAAAGTACTTCTTGTTTGTCTGAAAAAGAAAATACAATTGAATCCAACTTCAAAAGTACTGTTTTGAAAAGAAAATTTTTTTTAAAGGAAGTTTTCCATTTCCCCAGCCCACAAAGGAGAACAATTTAAAATCTACAACCACCTAAGGCCTGTTCTCTGTTATAGCTTTCATTGCTTCTTATATAACAGAGTCGCTTTGGAATTGCATTTTGAAGTTGTCTTCCACTTAAATTGTTAATTAAAAAAATGACATTTGATAAAGAAAAAGTCAATGTGACCTTTCCACACTGGTTTGCCTTAAAGGAATTTTTTCCAAATAAACAGTCTACAACATCAGGGTAGCTGATGTGGGAACAATAATTTTTTAATATTAAATTCAGTAAGCCCATGTTTTTATCCATTTACATCAGATGTCCTCAAACTACGGCCCACAGGCCACATGCGGGTGTTTTTGCCCGTTTTTTTTTTTTTTTTACTTCAAAATAAGATAGTGCAGTGTGCATAGGAATTTGTTCATAGTTTTTTTTAAACTACAGTCCGGTCTGAGGGACAGTGAACTGGCCCCCTGTTTAAAACGTTTGAGGATCCCTGATTTACATAAATTTCCTAGAATTTACTATATATGTTTAACTTTCAGATGTGAGACTTTGATAGCATAGTGCAAATACATGATGCAAGTTAAGAACTGTATGTTTAATCCAATGATATTTTTGATAAAACTTTATATGCATGCATTAAAAAATGTTTGAAAGACTTTAAGACTATTAACTCCCCTTCAAGGAGGGGGGAGAGGAGTTAGGAATACAGGTTTCACTTTTTACTTTGTGTACCTCTGTTATCTGAATTCATCAGTAAGCATGTGCTACTGTAATAATCAGTTAAATTAAATATATAAAGCAAAAGTGCACAATCTATTATGTATTACTGTTGAATATTTACATTCCACATACCTGAATGTAAAAATTTAAGAATAGGATGACTAACGTCAGCATGTAAGACGACTGGAAGATGAGACAGCCGAAGGGGAAGCCACACGGTTTCACGACGGCACTCATGGTGTGCGTGATGGTGAGCACGAACTGCACCTGCAGGGGCAGACGGGGCAGCGCTGTGAACATGCGAGGCTGAGCCACGTGGACACTACGGGGAAGCTTTACCAGTTTGGAACTAGAGGTCATTACTTTAAGGGAAATAAGCCAGGCACAGAAAGACAAATCTCACATAATCTCATATGTGGGAGCTAAAAGAATTGATCTCATGGATGCAGAAAACAGAAGGATAGATACCAGAGGCTGGGAAGGCAAGGTGGGGGCGGGGCATGAAGAGAGGTTGGCTAATGGGTACAAACATACTGTTAGAAAGAAGGAATAAGTTCTAATGCTCACTGGCAGAGTAGGGCGAGTATAGTTAATGTATTGTGTATTTCAAAATAGCTAGAAGAGGATTGTAATGTTCCTTACACATAGAAATGACAAGTACTTGAAGTGATGGATATCCTAAATACCCCAACTTGATCATTACATAGTCTATGGATGTAATAAAATATCCCATATACTGCATAAATATGTACAAATACTATGGGTTAATTAAAGAAATAAAAAAGAAATCAACTACTATGACTCTCAGAATTTTGCAGGAATAAAACAAAATGCTAAAGCAGACCACTATCCTATCCAGAAATTTTATTTGAAATTAGTAAATATGTAAAACTTCCCATTATTTTTCTCATGGAAAAGTAGCAGTTAAAATTAGACAAAAATGATCTGACTTATACATTAACTTAAAAAATATTCATCTCATTCCAAAGCAAGGCACTTCCAAGATAAGCTAGTTACATATACCAAGAACATTTTAACACAAAATTTAATTCTTAAAAGTCCATTTTAGAGAAAATAGGCAGCTTCATTACACATAGAAAAGCCTCTGACTTCTAAGAAGACTGAGATTTCTGTTTTCCTTTCCCCATTCACAAGCCTCATGGAGAAGAGCTGAAAGAAGGCTTCACATACCAGTTGTGCCTGTGTGAGATATTTCTTCCACCAAAGATACTTGTGCATAGACGGAAACACAGAAAGTCCGTAGTAGGAGTACATAAGAATGTGGATAAAACTGTTCAGTGTTGGTCCAAAGAAACCTATAAAAGTACAGTATAAAAATTACTACTTCTAGAAAGTTGGTTGTTCATCCTTTGTGAGATTCTACTTCTGCATTGCAATTGAAAATGAATAAATACGAAATTCACAATGATAAATTCCCCAATGATCGTGCTATTCCCAGCCTAGACAGGACGAACCTGGGATAGTTTTTCTGTCACAGTGCTCACCCAACAGGTAGTTCCTTATCTACAAAGGTTTTACTGTCATTTCTATCAGCTGGGAGAAAAAAAAATATTAAAGCTAGAGGCAGAATTCCTCTGAAAGAATTGTTTTTGCTTTAAACCTTTCATGAGACACTTTGATTGTAGAAAGAGCCTTTTGTACATGGCTGAACAGGGTGCTAGAGAAACAAAGCAAATATATTACTTTTCGTAACTAAGTAAATAAATTCTACCTGAAATGGGCTTAGGAACCAGGAGATGCTGAGAAAGTGAGACTATGGGGGAGAGAGAAGACGGGTGAGGAGAAACTGCCAGCCTGACCTTGCCAGTAACTGGGCTGTCTCAGGGCTTTTAGGACAAGGGATTATCTCAAGTCCAGTCCCCTGCCACTCACCTCATGAAGAGTCTTCTCTATAACTGCTGCCAGCGTGGGTGAATGGTGTATCAGAAAAGGCTATGTTCTATGCTGGGTCAACTAAGGGCTGAAAAGGATTTAGCTGCAAGAGGTGAGAATCCAGAGAAGGATTATTTGCTGGAATTAAGGAACTGATTGTTGTGAGCATTAACCAATCCATATGTGAAAGTGCTCAGAACAGTGCTGACCACAAAGTGATGCTATACAAGTGTTAGCTTGATCCAGATGGTTGCTCTGTGAACGATCAACCCTATGGTGAGAGAGACTATGGCATTAGAGGACCATTTATTAGCTGTGTCCCCTTGAATACATTACTTTGGCCTGTAAAGTTTTACTTTCTCATCTGGAAAATATGTATAATAATAACCACCTCTTAATGTGATGAGATTAACTGAGATAATACACTATATGAACATGCTGGTTAGTTAATCAATTTAAATTCTCTAGCTTGGTTTTCTAAACCTGGATTAGCAATCTGGAGAGAGAAATGGAAATCAGTAAGAAACAAAAGGTACAATACCAGGCATATGGTAAGTCCTAAACATATATTGGCTGGAATAAGCTGTTATGCATTTGAATTTATATAAACACACAAAGTTTCAGAGTACCAAGTAGCACAGGATTTGGTGATATTTCTTTACCAACTTGAGTTTTCATTTCCATCAATTAATGAACAGTGAATGGTTATTGCTTATAATTTTTATACTAATCTTGAACAGAAATTGGCACACATATTCACAGGACTATATTTTTACACAGTAATGATTTAAGTTTTAGATGCTTATTTGTAATGAAACTTGACAGCCGTAAAAAGTACTTAACCTTGGTAATTCTCCTCTGATATTGATTATAGCCTTCCCTCCTTAATAACAAACCTCAAGACACTATATTCCATCCATCTGGGAGAAGGGTAAAGGGTTTCTGTCTGCCCACTGCACCCCAGCGATTTCCTGCTTCACACTCCAGTTTCCACTTGCACCTTCATAGTCACTGCTATGTTCCAAATATCCTGGGCATTTAATAGCTCTACAAGGTCCTAAATCTTAGGGAAAAATTATTTTAAGTTTTACATGTTCAGATTTTTCATAGAATATTTTAAAATTCTTGGGTACAAAACAGTATCAAATAGAAAGTGCTGTTTTCTCTAGCTCAGTGTGTCTCAAGCTGTAGGTCATGACTGACCCTTCTTGAATGGTGAAGCCAACATAGTGAAGATTGTCATCAGCTTTTTATAAAAGTGAAATAGGATTTTAAATATCACACTACATTATACAGATTCAGGGTAAATACTGTTTCATAAAATATTTGTTTTATAGAAAACACAAATGAGTGTATTGGATTGTGATATAAAACGTATTTCTTATTGTAGTTCATAGTAAAAAAAAAATAGAAATTCATTGTCCTGGTAAATCACATAGACATGTAATCTTAATTTTTCAGAATGTAAAAGCAAGAAACTCTAACAGCTGAAATGCTCTAATGTGTATCACAGTGAAGTGGTTAAACTGTGGAAGGTGCCATATTATAAGAGTCAAATAACACAGTGGGTTGGAGTGAAACTGCTCTAGTTGGGGTGTGTGCTTCTGACCTCATCTGACAGTTGGTGCATGGAAAACAAAGTATTTTTTAAATTTAAGGGTATACTGAGATTTTGCCAGTACCAAAGACCAGAAACTATACACGGCCACTAGCAGACATGTGCTTCCTGTTGGCACAAGGCTCTCGACGGCCTCGCTTTGCTCTCTCCTGATCTGTATTTGAAGCTCAGTACAAGGCCAGCACCGGTGCTCTTGTAAGATTTCATAGAACTGAAAATTAACAAAGTAACTTACTTTGTCCACAAGGTATCCAGTTCAGAACACACCACCAGATGTTAAACATAGAGGCATGATGATACACATGAAGAAAAGTAATCTGACTCGTTTTTTTCCGCAAAACAAAGAAAATCGTGTCGAGGAACTCTACTGATTTGGAGAAGTAGTACCACCATAACACCTTGGCTACCTATAAAAATTTAAGAAAAGGAGTGGGGGGAAAGGGTGAGAAATGCAAATGTTCATTTTCTGCCCACCGCTCGGCTTTCCGCCTGTGCTTGACTCCTGTGTGTCTTTCTCAGCCTACTGAAAAGCTGGCTCACCTGCTGTCTTTGCCTCCAGTTTCTCCTTACTTCAAGCAGTTCCTCCTTATTTCAAGCTTACTCTAGTGAAAGATAAGTTACCTTTCCAAAATACACATGCGAGCACTTTACTCCTCTGCACTGACAGAGCTGCTTGCGGGAGGATGGGATCTCCCAGGCCTTGGCGGCTGCTGTTTCCACCGCCCTCCTCTGAGCACCCTACCGAGGCAGCCCGGTGTGGGACTCGGTCTGCACCGATACTCTTCTCCCTGTGTCCACACTCTCTTCCTGCCTCGGGTCCAGCGTCTCCTCGTCACCCTGTTAATACTCCTCTTAAATGCCACCTTTTCTCTGGAACTTGACCCAGCTCTTTTCTTTCTCAGGCTGAACAACAGCTTCTTATTTGTATTCCCACGTTACTTGCTGCTTCATAATCAAGAGCCGTACAGCATAGTTAGTGTTAGGAATGTATCAGTAGACTGCAAATCACTTGAAGGCAGAGACTCCCATTCACATTTGCTCAGTGCCTAGCATTCAACAGGTCATTATTGTTTGTTACACTAAATTATAATTTTTCTCTGTCCTCTAATGTCTCATCTGCAGGGAAACACTTTTTTTAGTTAAAGGCACTGTGTTTTTAACACTAATATTTAAACATATTTGTGGAGACATTACATAGTTGGAATCTTGGAATTAGAATATCCTGCTTTACTGTCTACTTCCCAGGAAGATAACCATAAGGTGTGGTGGCACCCATTGAATGTTTGATGGAATAGTTGACCTTTAGAAATATTAAACCATAAACAAATAAATACAACCTTTAGAGATCACAGGGTATCTGAAAATGCACTGGTCTGTGATAATGCATTAGAAACAAAATGGGTATAGAAAATTCAATATATCTTACTTTATTTGTATTATAGCTTTGAAGATGTTTTAAAGATGGACATCTTAATATTAAAGATTTTAGTTGAATGGTTTCTCTTATCTCTTGTTAATAACCCATGTTGGTTAACTACAGAAAATTTCAAACATTCACTAATGCAAGAAGAATAAACACAGGGAACCCTGTGTATCCAACACTGAACTTCAAGAATTTTCAGTATGATTCCAATCTACTTCATCAATTCCCTTTCCCACCACTTTGGGGAGGGGCTGTAGAATATTATAAATCCAAGGTATCATTTTATCTAAAATACATCTAGCAGGGAATTTTTTTTTGTTTTAACATAACCCTGAAGTCATTATCTAATAAAATTAACCTTTCTTTAGTATCTTCTAATAGCCCAACTCATGTTCAAATTTCCCTGTCTCAAAATGTGTTTTTATAAGTGGTTTGTTCAAATCAGGATCTAAAACAAGGTCCACCTTGTATTTGTTTGGCATGATTTAAGTCTTTTCCAATTAATAACAGTTCCCTCTCCTTGCTCTTCTCATTTCTTTCATGGTCTTTTATTTCTTGGAAAAATTAGATCATTTATAAAGAATTTCTAGTACTATGGATTTGGATTGTTGCTTCTTTCTAGTGTCATTTAACTTGTTTCTCTACTCCCACATTTCCTGTAACTACCAATTAGATTTAGAGGCTTGATTAGATTCAGGTTTAATGGTTTATGGCAAGAACACTTCAGAGGTGGTTCTGTGAATATCCTATGGCCTCACAGCAGAAGGTGCATAATTTCTGGTTGTTCCAGTGATAGGCAGACTGAACTGTGAGTTCAGGTGTCAACACCTAATCCAATCATCATGAAGTTTCTATTCACCTCTCACCCAACAGTTTTATATTATTTACAGATGACTGTTGTCTAGATCCATCATTTCACCAGGAGTTGCAAAATGGTGATTTTCTTATTCTATCATTACTTACACATTTTTTTCTTTTATAGAGAAGAACTTTCCCTTTTCATCTATTTGGAAATTCACATATGAAAGGCAAAATAGATGTTTAATTCTTTCCCTTTAATTTTATTTTTCCCTAGAATGAGCTGGTATTCTAGCAACCTTCAAAATTAACAATATATTTTTAAGGCATCATTTTAAACTCATGGTTTTTAATATACTTAATACGTTCCAATCCATTCCAGTCAGCATTGTTTTTGATAATCAAACTGTCCTATCTTTAACCAGATGGGGTGATGGCATCCCTTCAAGATGGCTCTTATATTTTTTTGTCATGACTCTGTAGTCTTGGATATCTTCTTTGCTTTGTGTCATAAAATGTTCTAGGTTCATCTTCTGTTATATATAAGGCCAATTCTCTAAGAATCCTAATCCTTTCTGGTAGAAAATTATATTTAGAGAGCACAATCCAGGTGATTATTGCTTGTGGTGCTAGGTGGCCTTTTCTATAGACAGAGATAAAAAATAAGTTTTTTTTTTTTAAAGTTAATTCTGATATTTCCAATGTGAATCTATGATTACTGGGATTTAGTTCAATGTTTTCATTGCTATCTCTTTTTTTCCATATTTTAAATATTAGTTCCTAATGATATTATTATTATATACTTAATTTATCCTACAATGTACCTATAATAGTCAAAAAGCGATACAAGTATTTTTATTAACAATAACAACAAAAAGTTACTGAATACTGTTAAGATATATCCCACTAGGGATGTCTAAAGAAAAACTGTACTTTAAAGTCACTTGAAATAATTCTTCTTTGGGTGCTTATGTCACCACCTTAATAAATATGTATATTCATTTAATTTACTTTGTTTCCAAATTTTGAGGGGAGAGACTACCTTGCTTTCTTTTACATAATTATAAAACAAAATTAAATTTAAAAATACTTAATGATTCCAAAATCAAATATAACACAAGGTACGTTCAGAGAAGTCTAGCTTCCATCCTTATCCCCTCTGCCCTGTTACCTCCCTTCAAAGGAAAACATTTGTATTAGCTTTTGGTTTATCCTCCCATTGTTTCTTTTCGAAAATATAAGCATATATACCTATTCATATCATTTCTTGCACAAAAGGTACTATACTATAAACAGAGTCTGAAAATTGCTCTTTTTCACTTAAATCTATCCTGGAGACAATTCTGTCACAGTATAGAATGCCTCTTCCTCATTTCATTCTGTAGAGGCATCTGTTACCTAGATGTGCCATGGTTTATTCAGTCAGTCCCCCATAGATGGGCATTCGGAAAACATTTTTAGTACCCAGCATTTCTATTAGAACAGGAACTCCTGTGTTATTTAATCCTAGTCCTATCCTCATATCTGGAAGGAGAAAGCCTCCTCTCTTTTTCAATTGATTTGCTTCTAATGGCTCACCCGGACATCAGCTTCCCCTGCACTGGCAAGATCTTGACACTGTAAATTGTATCCTCCTTCCCAACTGGAGAGAATGAGCTGCCAAAGAATCAAGAAAGAAAGAAAGAAAAACAAATCAACACACAAATTTGAATGCAAACTGCATTTCCCATTCATGTCTCTGATTGGTTTCTATTCAAGGTTTGAGTTTGACTCAATCCTATCCTCAAACACATATTATTAAGGGATTTAATTCTTGCTGTTAAACTGAAATCAATGGTTATATATATTAACATATTTTACTTCTATCTACATCAGCCAAAATAATACAATTTACCTATCACTGGTGCCACAAAATGTTGGTGCACAACATTTTATGTAAGGAATTATAGAGAATGTACCAAGTAAAATTTAGAATTTAATGTAAATAAATGTGAAGAAATTATACTAAAAATTTAATAATATTTTGTATTGGTTTATACATATTTATTTTATTTGATCATCTCAATAATTTTGTAAAATATGTATATATTGCCCCTTTACAGATATGGAAAACAGGGCTCAGAAAGTTTCCTAAACAAGCCAGGCGCAGTGGCTCACGCCTGTAATCTTAGCACTCTGGGAGGCTGAGGCGGAAGGATCGCTCAAGGTCAGGAGTTTGAAACCAGCCTGAGCAAAAGTGAGACCCCATCTCTACTAAAAATAGAAAGAAATTAATAGACCAACTAAAACGTATATATATACAAAAAACTAGCCGGGCATGGTAACCCATGCCTGTAGTCCCAGCTACTTGGGAGGCTGAGGCAGTAGGATTGCTTGAGCCCAGGAGACTGAGGTTGCTGTGAGCTAGGCTGACACCATGGCACTCTAGCCCAGGCAACAGAGTGAGACTCTGACTCAAAAAAAAAAAAAAAAAAAAAAAAAAGAAAGAAAGAAAGTTTCCAGAGTGGAGGGCCGTTGGTTGGGGCCTGGGGTATGCTGCTTCATTGAGGGGCTCCACTGCTGCCACCAACTTGTTGTTTTTCCTGGGTGCCACTTCCCCGGCTGGCCCGACGCGACGTACCAGTATCGCGACACCGATTCCTCTCGGGTTTTTGGGCGCTGCTCTGAGCAGTGTCACCCTTTACACCAGAAAGCTGGCGGGCACTAAGGGGAAAAACAAAACAAGAAGAAAGTGGAGGAGGTGCTAGAAGAGGAATATGTGGTGGAAAAAGTTCTCGACCGTCGAGTGGTAAAGGGCAAAGTGGAGTACCTCCTAAAGTGGAAGGGTTTCTCGGATGAGGACAACACGTGGGAGCCAGAAGAGAACCTGGATTGCCCTGACCTCATTGCTGAGTTTCTGCAGTCACAGAAAACAGCACATTAGACAGATAAATCAGAAGGAGGCAAGCGCAAAGCTGATTCTGATTCTGAAGATAAGGGAGAAGAGAGCAAATGAAAGAAGAAAAAAGAAGAGTCAGAAAAGCCACGAGGTTTTGCTCGGGGTTTGGAGCCGGAGCGGATTATTGGAGCTACAGACTCCAGTGGAGAGCTCATGTTTCTGATGAAATGGAAAAATTCTGATGAGGCTGACCTGGTCCCTGCCAAGGAAGCCAATGTCAAGTGCCCACAGGTTGTTATATCCTTCTATGAGGAAAGGCTGACGTGGCATTCCTACCCCTCGGAGGATGATGACAAAAAAGATGACAAGAATTAACTCTCCTGAGTACCAGCCCCTGTCACATCTGACTGTGGGTTTCAAGTGGGGAGGGAAGGAGTTTTACTTGTCTTGACACCATAGAGGTGGCTTGAGAAGATGTCCTTTGAAGAGCCAGTATAGTTTCTGTGCCCTGCAGCAGCCCAAAGTGCTTTAACGCCGTTCAAGCTGTATAGTTTGCACACCAATCCCAGTGGAGAGGAAGGGGGATAAGTGTTTCAAGGCAGCCCATTCTGCTCTTTGTTGAGAAAAGCAAAGGGCCTTCTGTGAAGGACAAAACTTGTAGAATTGGGTGTGTGGGAGAACAAAAAGATACTGTAGATCTTCAAAGAGCATCTCCACAACCCACAGCCTTCTTCCCAATAGTGTTAACTCTGCATTTTTACAGCGTAGCATGTGTGTAGTTTTTGGCTATTACTGGTGTATTATTTGGGGGTGGGAGGGATGGGATGGGAAAGAAGGGAGATAAGTAGGATCATTTTGGTTAAAATTTAGGGCCTGATTGGGGAAATGGTGAAATAATGGAAAGAACAGACAACTAATGATTTGCTTCTATGTCCATAATATTTTACCTTTTCAAAAAATGTCATTGACACCACGAATGAGGACTATGAGAGACTGTTTAAAAGCTGTGAATGCCTGAAACCTATAAGCCAAGGTGTTCCCTGCCTGAGCTTAATACTGTTCCCCACAAAGTACTAAGCCAGCTCATAAGTTACCAAAGCTGCCATTTTGGAGATGGAAACTGATTAAGGGGAAATCTTGTATTGGAGAGTATACATTGGCAGATCATTCTGTCCTAGAGGTGCTAATTCCTGAAATTAAACAAGACGACCCTTTCTTTTCCAGGTATGAAGTTATAAATAGCTTGTTCATCCAAGCCACTGGCTGAGGTGTTGGGGAAGAGGGTGGTACAGGAGATGGAAGAGTGAGCAGGGAAGATGAGGGCCCATGCTCTTAGGGCAGAGAACTCTTGGAGCCTCTCTGTTGTGTTTTTTTTTTTTTTCTTTCTTTCTATGAACTTTGGAGATGGGAGAGTAGGGAAGACGAGGTCCCATGCTCTTAGGGCAGAGAACTCTTGGAGCCTCTCTGGTTTTTTTTGTTGTTGTTGTTGTTTGAACTTTGAACCCTAAAACCATTGGATAGTAGGGTTCAGTCACTGACAGCACAAGTTTCATTGAATCAGTTCAAGAGTTGAATGATTTCAAAAGCCCTGGTCTCAGGAGAAGATTAAACTTTCATACTGGGGTAATGGTTCACTGTAAAACACAACAAACAAAAAACATTTTTTTAAAAATCCTAAGAATTAAATGATACCCAAAATGCTCTGTCTTTGAATCACAAAATCCATCAATTCTTGACATCATCTAGAATTGCAACTAGAGCTACATTGTAAAATCTTTTTAGGCATGTGCTAGATTTCTGTGAAAACTTTGTTTAAATGTAAACTTCATAGCACACTGTCAGTTTTTGTCTTAATAAAACTATAGATTTATAATCCCCGAAAAAAAAAAAAAAAGAAAGAAAGTTTCCTAAACCATTTTCTTCACTGTATTTATGCGAGTTGGTAATCAAACAATTTATGTGATTGTTTATCTTCCCCATCACTCTCAAAAACAAAAATGCTACATAAAATCTATGCCTTTTTTTTTTGCTCATCTTTGTATCTACGGTTCCTTGCCCACTACCTGGCACACAGTAAGTACTCAGTAAATATCTGATGAGGAAATGATTTGCTTAAGATTACATGGAAAGTGGGAGAGCAGTGGTTAGAATTCAGACTTCCTAATTCATTGTTTAGTGTTCATTCCACAACATCATGAGAAAATGAGCTTTCAAAAAATTCTGTTAAAAATCCTATGAAAGAAGTTTTCTCCCTGTAAAAATTTAAAATTCTAGAATATAGGGCATTTGGCATTGATTTACATAAGGTATTATCATAGGCAAAAGACCTACTGTTTTCTGCCGCTGTCTTAGAGGTGTGTAAAGGTATAGATCTGTTAAGATACACATACAGAGCACAGAGGGACTGGATATTAAAGAATTGAACATTAAAAAGAGACTACTCAGTAACATTTAGAATGTTTTAGAACCTTTAAGAGTCTTTTCTTTACTGTCCCAATATACCTCTCTTTGCTTCTAACAAAAACACTTTTCAGTTAACATCACAATAATTAAAGATTCTCAGGATAAATAAATCCAGTGAGAGAAGAAAACCTTGGATTTTCCTGATGGGATCTATCACAGATCAGGTGCCCATAATACCCCCAGGGGCTTTATGCTCCTGCTTCTCAACTGGGAACCAGTAACAGGCTAGAGGGGATCTAGGAATACCTTAAAGTATATGTAAATTTTTGTGTGTTCCTACATTTTTCAAACTAAGAAAGCTGTTAACTCTGTGCACAAGGATTAATTAAGAACTTCTGTGGTCAGACTGTAGTTTTGTAGTAAGGGGCTCAAATCTCTGCTTTGTATGCTACAATACAGTCTACTATAGAGTAAGCCCTGAGTGTGGAGAGGATGGGGCACATTCTCTGTTTCCACGTGACATGTCCTGCTTTAGTCACATTTATCCAGGCTGTCCTCATCCCTCTGGCAGCTGTGCAGAACTACCTGACAATTTAATAACCAAATAGTATTAATATTACTAGAATTAAGCAGCCAAGCTGTAGGAAACTGTGTGTCTTACCCTGGGTTTGGGTGCAGCAGCCATCCAAACGTATGTGTTGAAGAAAAGGAAACAAGACTATCATATTGGGCTAGCCTTAGGGAGGTGTGGACTAAATTACTCTGAAATATACCTAGAATCTGTCAACTTCTCCCCAACTCTACCTTAATCCAGGCTGCTAGCATCTGTTGCCTGTAGTACTACAACCGTCTCCTAACTGGAGTCTTTGCTTCCATTCTTACCTCCAACTCACCCTCATAGTCCATTTTCCATGTAGCAGCCAGTGATCTATTTAAAAAAGATATAATATCACTCCCCTCATTAAAACCCTCCAATAACTTTCCATTACACTTAGAGTACAAGCCAAATGCTTCCTGTGTAATCTGCCATCTCTCCACCTCATCTTGATCCAGTCTTTTCTCTGCCTGCTGTGTCATTCCATTTCAGCTCCAATGCCATCTCCTCAGTGAGGCCTGTTCCACTACCAGCCCATCATTCTCTTTCCTGTGGGGCAAAGGCTGTGTTCTAGAATCTACAATAGAATCGAACACAACGTAGGAACTTGATTCATATTTGTTGAAAGACTTAATAATTACTGCAGTGACTTCCCAGCCAAAGCAAACGTCTGCTGGGGCACAACAAGTTGGCAAGGTTAAATCAATCTGTCACTTAGGTTGTATCTATTAAATATACCCCTAAAGTGTCAAAGAAAGACCTTATGTCTGCTCTGAAAGAGATTACAATCAAAGAGAGAAAACTGGGAGGTGATCAATGGTAGTGATTTTAAACTGGGAGATCCAAAAGTGTGAGAGAGAAAGAATAGATAAGCAATAGATAAAATCACTAGCAGGGAATGTGCTTGCACAAAGATGTTCTGCCTAGAAAAGACAGAAACCATTTACTTGGTTATTCTAAAACTAAACTGTCATTCTTATTCCTGTTGATAGTTACTAATAAACAACGAGCACTTGACAATTTACATAGCATTTTTCCATATTTACCAACTGCTATTGCATATTAGTGTGTGAGCTCATCAAGTGCAGAAGCCATGTCATACCCATCTTGTACCTTGAAGGCTTCCTATTCACAGCACCTAGTAGGAGCTCAACATATTTTTGCTGAAGAGAACTCATCAGTCCTTACAACTCATGCAAGAGTTATATAGGATATTGTATCTCCACTTTACAGATAAGTTGCCTAAGGTTCAGAGAGCTTAAGTAACTCTTCTAAAATTACACAGAAGGTGACAGGGCTAAAACTTAAATGTCTTCTGACTCCACTACGCCCAAGCTCCATCCAAACAGGAGGGTGACCGCTGATGTGGTCAGACGTGCACGCTGGCCCTTATGACGCAGATGCTACTTCGGAGAAATGACCCAAGGAAGACTGTCTTTCTTGTTACTACATAGAGAAAACTAACTCCATAAATTGCTATCTTGCAAGCTCATCTAGTGACCTAAAATTCACCTAGTAAAGAACCAAAATAAAAACAGTCCTTTCAGAATAAGGTAAATTAGTGAGCATCTATGTGATACGATTTTAGAGTTGTCAGTGTGGCTTTCCTGACCCCAAATTCCACCTCCTGCATTCTGTTGCCTAAAATTCCACTAGAGCCTCATTCTAGTCATTTAAGGTAATATTATCAAGCATTATTAGAATGGTACATATTAGAATAATGTACAAATAAAATCTGGGTGAGAGAATCTATATTTTGAGACAAGGATTTATTTTCTTTCAGAATTCAAGTGTACCAGGAAGGCAGCCATATTTGTGCCATTATCAGCCATTTATAATTTGTATGAATGATTTTATTCTAACTTTTCTCTAAAAAAGATTTTGTTATGTTTTTATTCCTTTGGTTGTTTTTTTTTTTTTGCTACAGCAAGTTTATTTAACACTTTTAGATTCTCCCTTATAGTAAAATAACTTTTAGTTGTATAATCATCACTTTTTGTTTCTCTTTTAAAATTACTTGGGTTGTGCTTACAGAGGAATGAGAGTACATGATGTCATGAGGGTCACTAGAGCTTAGCTGGAATGTCAGCTCCTGAGAAACAGCTATGCTACTGCCAGAGTGTTCCAAAGATGTGCAGAGTATTCTTTAAGGTGTGTTTGTGTGTGCATGTGTATAGGTATGTGTGTGTATGTGTGTGTGTGTGTGTGTATATATTTATTACATTTCAAACAAATTGAATTTGATATGTAAGTTAATTTTTTAAATATTCTGTTAATCACTGTCTATTTTGGGGCAAATTATATAACTTTTCTAAGCCTTAGTATTATAATCTGTAAATGGAAAAAATTATAACATGAACTTTAGGACCCATTCAGACCTAAATTGTGACTCTAAATTACAACTAGACTAAGGACTAAAGAAATAGGCCCAAATTGAGATTAGAAAAATTCAAGACAGAAACAAAGACTTCCAAGACTTTCAGAAGGAATGATGTTAAACTCTGGAACAAGTTCTTGAGGTCTTAAAGAACAGTATTTTTTTTTTTTTGAGACAGAATCACACTTTGTTGCCCAGGCTAGAGTGAGTGCCATGGTGTCAGCCTAGCTCACAGCAACCTCAATCTCCTGGGCTTAAGCAATCCTCCTGCCTCAGCCTCTCGAGTAGCTGGGACTACAGGCATGCGCCACCATGCCCGGCTAGTTTTTTGTATATATATACTTTTTAGTTGGTCAATTAATTTCTTTCTATTTTTAGTAGAGATGGGGTCTCTTGCTCAGGCTGGTTTTGAGCTCCTGACCTTGAGCAATCCTCCCACCTCGGCCGCCCAAAGTGCTAGGATTACAGGTGTGAGCTACCATGCCCAGCCTAAAGAATTGATAGCAACTTCGGATAGTTCTGATAAGCTAGATGTGATTGCTTTTAAAAGTTGCTCAGTTACTGGACTCCAGCTTTAGCTACACAAACACTTACCTCTGCCAGCATATAAGCGGAGAGTAGTGTGATCGCGAGATTATACAAGGTGAGAATACCCCTGAGAGAAAGTGCAGGTCTGTTCTTCATGTATTTGTTACCCAGCCATATTGAAAGCAAATATATGACAGTAAGAAAAAAGGTAGGAAGGTAAGAGTCCAACATGAGCCACCCTCTGACTCGAGCATCTGAAAAGAAACACACAGTGAGAATCGTGAAGGTAATACTTCTGTTCAATTATCAATATTGTCTCACATACACTGTATTTGTATAAACCAGACACAACAGGGAACGTGATATATCATTAAGTATTATAGTAAAACAACTCTATAAATATAGCAAAATAACTATAGTAAAGTATAGTTTACTATACTATATATGCCAGATTTAGGTTAGAGTTTAGGGGAAGAAGAAACCAGTGGGGGCTGAATAGTTAAGGAAGGTTTCACGGTGTAAAAACATGGCTTTACCTGAACACTGAGTAACAGGAAAAAGAAATAAAATTTTTATTTAGATGGGAAGTAACAGTTCTTGAATGCTTATTTTAGAACAGTTATTGGGTTCCTTTACTCTAATTCAATTAATATGAAGTAAGTACTATTATGCTATTTTATGGACAAAAAAAAAAAAAAAACAGCTCAGAAAGTTTTAGTAACTTGCAAAAGGCCACACAATACTTGGCAACAGAGTCAGGATGTGAACTGGTCACCTCTGTCTTCTGGCCCATTACACCTTGCTAGTGTCCTCCCATGGAGATATTCTGAGCAGTCAGAGGAAAGAAGGCATACAGATATTGCATCCTCATTCGTAAAACCCACACTGCCCAGGATTTGCCAGGATCACTGTGCAGTAAACCAGGAACGAGTTTAGAGTTCCTCTGGTCCAAAGAGAGCAACAGTTACTGTACAGCATGCGTGGGAATCTGAAGATAGCCTTTGAGCTAATGATTCAGAACTGAGGGCAGAAAATAAAACCAAAGACCACAAACTGGCCATTGGACCAGAAGTATAAACAGCAGGGAAGCAAGAACCTGGATACATCAAGGGCCCCTTACTCTGGAGAGTGAAAATTTAAAAGCCTAAATAAAACTCACATGGTAGATCTATAATATAACTAGTAACCCCTGAAAATAATTATAGACATAAAAAATGATTTTTGTTCTCTATTTTGCTTTTCTTGTTTAACTAAATAATTTGGCCCAGAAATATAAAAATTGCATGATATTTTTAATCTCTATAATAGAGTTGTAAGGGGCTGGTTTTGCCAACAAACAATGCCCTTTTCTTAATTCTTTGGTTCTGACAGTTTCAGGCCCTATTCCTGGCATACTCTGTCTACCTGTTTACCCCCAGTCTCTCATTAAACTACCCATCCTACACACAGTACCATTTCTAGGAGGAGAAGCCTTCTCAAGCTGTAACTGTCCCATCATGTATTCTGTAAACACCTCCTCTTGATAAAGATGAAAAGGTAGGAAAGCTCTTCTCAGCATTCATGTGACTAATGATAACTACCTCTCATACAACTAGCTCACAATCACCTGTCATAAAAGCCTGTGCTGTGTGCCACTTTCTAATCATCTCCCTATCTAAACCCTACTCATCCTTTAATGATCCTGCCTTCTGAAGGGAGACACTTTCTACTGCTCTTTCATAATTACAGCTCCTCATTTGCATAACAAAATAATTATTTTATAATTTATATGTTTTAGGTTATAATGCTGTTACTATAACTAACATTTACTGAGCACTTACTCTGTGCCAGGCACTGTCCTGAAGCCTTTTACGTGTATTAACTTATTTAATGCTCATAGCAAACTTATTATATGGGGGACAATTGCCACCCTACCTCTTGTTATGGTGCTGTGGTTTGAACTGTATCCCCCAAAAAGATATGTTCAAGTCCTAACTTCTGGTACCTGTGAATGTGACATTATTTGGAAATAGGGTCTTTACGGATGTAATCCAGTTAAGGTGAGGTCATACCGGATTGGGGTGGGCCCTAACCCAGTGACTGCTGTCCTTATAAGAAGGGGAGGTTTAGATACAAGGATACAAAGAGGAAAATGCCATGTGAAGATGGAGACAGAGATTGGAGTGATACCATCTACAAGCTAAAGAACACCAAAGACAGCCAGCAACCACCAGAAACTAGGAGCAAGTCAAGGAAGAGATTCTTCCCTGGAACCTCATAGGGAACACAGCCCTCCCGGCACCCTGATTTCAGACTGGCAGCCTCCAGAACGGTGAGAGAATATATTTCTGCTATTTTAAGCCACCTGGTTTGTGGAACTTTGTTATGGCAGCCTTAGGAAATGGACAAACATGGTTTAGTACTTAATTGCTTTCTAATTGCTTCAGATATACTAGTTTTACATCCTGAACTACAGTATATGCTCCAGGAGACAGCAGCTAGCTCTTACATCACTACTCTGTTTCACTTACAGCTACTCAGTGCTGAACTAAGAGGAAACATTCATTAGATGTGTATCAGTTGGCACATGGAGTCAAGCACATACTGCAAAACTAATATAGCACTTGACGTTTTTTATTTTACTTTTGTCATGGTCCTATAAATTGTTTGGTAAAGGTGTTAAGGAAAATCATAATCATTTCAACCAAAAGATGAGAACAAATACTTGCAATAACATTTCTTATCTTTGGGACTTGAGAAATGTTATCTCTGCATCTGTGTCAGGCATTTGTCCAGAACAATATCCTTGATGGTCTAGGCAAAATCAGAAAAGACTTGGGGACATCTAGAAGTTTACTAGGTGACCTGCCAGTCAATTTAAGCTTGTGTCATTTTTAGGAAGGGAAAAGGATTCTTGATGGCTTAGATGCTAGACACCTTGTCACTGTGGAAGTCATCTGATTTGGTTGTCGATTGTCAATTTCACAGTCTCCTTGTCATAAAGGAAACTTCCATCAAAATGACCAATGCCAAGTAAACAACTGTAATCCTTTCCTCAACTGATCCCATATCCACATGATTCCAGGTCACACCGATCTTAACTGATGGCAAAGTTCAGTGTGAACTTGGCTCAGAAAGATCACTGTTTAACTCTCTAGTGGAAGTGTCCAGAAGAAAGCCACAGTCACTGAGAAATCATAGGTCCCTTTGTATCCTGCACAGCTAAGTGAGAGGGTGATGCCCTCTATGCTGAGCTGTTCTCTCCCCACCCACTGGAACTGTGGGGAAGAGGACACATTAACGGAGGTTATGAAGGTAACAACATCCTGCCCTGCCTGCTCCATAGGATCATCAGGATGATAAAATGGGGAGGGGGGGGAAACCTATGTGAAAGTATTTTTTAAGCTGTATAAAATCATTATATTATTATGTTAAAATCATATAGTCATTCACTTAGAATAATTTATGGCCCTATACAGAAACTGGAGAATGGTCTAAAAACTCTCTAAGTGATGGTTTAAAGACTTTGAGAAACAGAAAAATCACCCCATTTTCCTCCTCCCTATCTCCCCCAATAATGCGGTAGTGAACTATGGACTTTCCACAGTTTGTGAATGAGCAACACTCAAATAAAACAAAATATTTTGTCTAGAACTCACGCATTTATTTGCAAAATATACATTGCCTAATATTTTCCCAGAACTGTAATAAGCCCTGAAGTTAAATGGTGAGTAAAATGGTCATGGTTCCTGCCTTAAAGGGAGAAATGGCTATTAGTAACAATAAAGTAAGTGAAGGAAATAAACAAGGATTGAGACCGAGAATAAAGAGGGATCTGCTGCAGTCCCCCCACTACCTGCAAGGGATACGTTCTAAGATCCTCACAGGATGCCCGAAACCACAGATGGTACTAAACCCTGCACATACTATGTTTTTTCCTATACATACATACTATGATAAAGTTTAATTTATGAATTAGGCATATAAGAGAGTAGCAACAATAAAGTAGAACAATTATAACCATACTGTAATAAACTTAGTGAATGTGGTCTCTCTCTAAATATCTTATTGTACTGTACTCACCTTTTTTCAGATTGCAGTTGAGAAAGCAAGTAACTGAAACCACGGAAGTGAAACTGGACAAGAGGAGGCTACTGTCCTTTAGAGGGGGAGAGCCCATCCGAAAAGGTGACATTTAAGCTAATACTTGAAGTTTGAGAAGGAACTGACTAGACTGGATAGAGTAGGAGACACGGGGGGAATTCTAGGCTCACGGAACAGTATATCGAAGAGTTTTACATATTTGAGGAATTAAGAGGTGACTTGAGCAACTGTATCAAAGCCAGTGAGGGAGACTGCCACTAACTGAGCTGGAGAGGTAGCAGGGCTAGATAACACAGGTATGCAAGTCTGTGACAAGAAGTGTAGTTTTAACCTTGAAGGCAGTGGGAAGACACTGATGAATTTTAATCTAGCTTACCACAGGGCACAATTTAGGTATTTAGATTATTATTCCAGCAGATACTTAAAAACTGATTGGAAGAGGACAAAAGTGGAAGAGGAGAGACGAGTTAGGAGGACACTGCAGTAAAGTGACTGGTGACAAAGGAATGATGGAGAGACATCTAAGCTGATCCTGAGGGCCTGGGCAAAGAAACACACAAATCCTTAACAGGGATTCATCAAGGCGTGTAAGAGCAGAAATATCATATGTGACTGTGCCCGGGGGAAGGTAGACGGGTGCTGGAGAGAGGAGAGGAAAGCAGCGCAGTTTAGAAGGAAAGCTACAAACTAGCTTGGCCACCAGAGAAACCCTGGAAGAAAGTACTACAGTTCATTCTGTGCCCACTTCCTGCTCCTGGAACTTCTTTAATCCCAAGACAGGTTGACCATGAGGAGAAATGGGGCCTTCTGGATGTTCTAGGAGAAGTATATTAAAGGTGAGGGAAGTTAAGTTTCTAAATGTTAAGCACCATGCTATTTTCAAGACACCAGAAATAACATAATCCTTTTCTATAACTAAATGGCATTCTTCCTCATGTTCCTTCCACATTAAGTTTTCAAGTAACTCACTTACCTCGAGGTCCAAACATATTGTCCAAAAAAGCATTGATTTCATCATCAAAGGCCTTTAGATGCTCCTGAAAAGAGAAACAAAGAATGATTTAATGAGACTTAATGCAGGACTCAAAAAAAAAAAAAAAAAAACCAGAATGATTTAAGTGGTGATTTTTTTTTTTAAACTCTCAAAACGAGCCACTACCAATGACACGTAGTTGACAGATTCTCCAAGGGTTCCAGCTTCAAGGACTTTTGACTGCACAGGCTTAAGGAAAGTGAACCAGTTAATGCAGCCTCACCTTTCACAAGCCTGTACAGAGTTGGAAGGAAAAGATTCCTTTCATTTCTTTATGCAAGAGGAATCCTAGAAAACAGGCTCGGCGCATTTCAACATCAAAGGGTTATTGACCTTAATTCCGTTTACCTCTAAAATGCTTACAGGCTAAGCTGTGCCATAAGCAACTTTTGCTGTTGCAATTAATAGGACCTGTGCCAGCAACAGGGAAAGCCTATTCCTGCAGAATGTAAATGTCAATTTTAAATGAAAGTTCAGCTGAACTATATTTCATTAAGCTGAATCTAAAGCTTCAAAGAAGACTTGTTTTTCAAGTAAGGAAAAGCACTTTTTTTTTACTCTTACAATAAATAGTATCATTTAGGGTGCACCAAATTAATTTTTGTCACTTTGGCTGGTTTCAGGTTGGGGCTGGAATATTGCTGCTAAGAACCTTAAGGTGAGTGGGAGCTGCCAACCTGACTTCAGTCCACTCATGCTGGTCTTCTATGATACTGCTTCAATACCTGCTAGGTGTTCCCTCCCCGCTACAGAGGTCTAGAGCCACCTCCTCAAGCAAACGGAGGAAAAGACAGAGCACGACCCAGTGTTTCCAGGAAAGGGACTTCTGAGGAGGACTGAGGGCCAGCTGCCAGACTGTACGTGTGGAGCAGCATAGCCTTGGGGATTTTATATAGAACATGCTTTAGAGTCAACAGCTACCCCAAAACTATCTCACTCTCAAAGTACAAATGCCAAAGAGGAGAATTAATTCACTGGCACCTGAAAAGAGGAGCTGCCCATTTGGTGATTGGCACCTATCATCTCAACCTATTTTTTATTTGTGACTTTGATCCTGAGAGAAATTTCAAGGAGACTTAGGTCTTTGGGAACTTTAGGAAGCTTGGGAAGGAGGATGGAGCTTAAGAGACTAACATTTACTAGCACCTACTACTGCTGGCCACTGCACTAGGAACTTTCTTTTCACTATTTCAGAATATCTCTATAAAACGTATGTGAGCTAAATCAAGCTTCAAAGTTTTTAAACAGTATTTGTATCTTTGGTTTCCACACAGGGTGTCTCAGGAGACTTCCAGACTTGAGAAAGGTCAGTTACCTGAGATCTTGGTGTGACAGAATATGATCTGTGTTGCCGCTGGAATAGGGCAGATCTATCCAGAGGCCTCTCAGTTTTGAGCAAAGAACGTCACCCTCACAAATGCACTCACCCTCATAACAAATGCCAATGAAATCTTTCTTCCATCGCTGCATCCACGAACAAATGTTTAAACTTTTTTTGTTTGTTTGCTAAGGTTCAAAATCCGTTTACCAACATTTGTAGAGCAAAGAAAACTCTAGTTGAAGGTCACAAAGCTCATATTTCTATATTGCAGAAATTTAGTCATAGTGGAAGAGTAGTAGAAACAAAAGTAAAAGAAGGAAAGATATGAAGAAAGCAGAGAACAAGAGAGGAATAAAAAGGGGCATTTTGTTTTTTCACTCATTCAAATAATAACCAATTATTTGAGTATTACTATATACTAGCACTATATTAGATGTTCAAAAACAATGTCAAATGAGACATGATCCTTATCTTCACATAGTTTTCAGTCTAGACATAATAATACATAAATAAAAAATTATAGTACAGTCTTAAATAATATGAGAGGTTTATAGAGATCTGCTACAAAACGATAAGAGAAACACTTTAATTTAGATCTCTTAAGAAGATGAGGCTGTGGCTGAATTTTGAAAGACTAGTCTAGGACACTGTCTAAATGGAGAAGGAAAGAAAAGGCACACTAGGAAGAAAGATTAGTGTATAGAAATACACTGAGGCGTGACTCACTTGGGAAGTGTTTATGCCCAGGGTCTCTAGTGACCTATGACAGACAGAACTGCAGCCAATGCTGGGAAAATCAGAAACCTGATAAAAATTACCTCTTTATTTCTGAGTTATTTAATATAGTTAGTAAGGAAGTTGTCTAAAAAGACCATGATGAGGTGAGAAGAAGAAACTAAGATTTACACTGGCTTAGTAAGACATAAGTACAGAGGGTTTTGTAGTCTTAGTCGACCGAGAATGAGCACTTAGCAAGGGATGACAGAACAGCATTTGGCCCAGAAGTCACAGCTGTACACGGGGCTGTGTGTGTGAATGTGAGGCATGCTGGACAATGCCTCCACATTAACACCACAACCTAGCAGCTAGAAACACCAGTGAACTCCCTGTGGCACTTCATCCATTCAAACAACATTTCTGAATAGCATTTGTGAGAGTGGTTGACTCAAAAGCTCATAGACAATTTGAGAAAGGGAGACATATAGAGAAAGGTGAATAGCAAATGAGTAAGACTACGGAGATCCGCAGAACTGCCACAATGATAGAAAATAAAGGACTTAGGATGGGTTTTAAGGATGGTTAGAATTTGGAGAGATAAGAAGAGGGCACAGCGTATCTCTCAGACCTGGGCAAGAATGGTGCTGTCCTGAGCTCCATACTGTAGAAGACACACCCCCAGGCCCAGTCATCCTTTGAGCCAAGGGAACATGCCTACCCATGGCCACAATTTCCCCTCTCCAGACTATGCTCCAAGTTCCCCAAGGCCACAGAATTCCCTGCCAAATCACCCTGAGGCCACTTCCAGAACAACTCCTTGTCCCCATAAGAAAGTCTACACTCCATTGATTTGGAATTCAATGTGTAGCAAACAGCTGAAGAATGGAAAGACTGGATGCCAGCAGGGCCTTATTTGTGTATTCCTGATTACTTACCACAGTTGGCAGGAATATAAAAATGGTACAATCACTTTGCAAAACAGTTTGGCAGTTTGGTAAAAACATAAACATACACCTACTGTAAGATCCAGCATGCCCCTTCTAGGAATTTACCCAAGAGAAAAGAAAGCACATTTCCATGCAAAAATGTGAACGCAAATATTTACAGCAACTTTGTGATCACTAAAAAAATAGAAACCCCCAAATGTCCAACAATAGGTGACACATCTGTATAATAAAAACTACTCAGCGATATAAAGGAATGAACTATTGATGTACACACAACATGGATGGATCTTAAACTTATGCTGCATGAAAGAAGCCACCCAAAAATTACATACTGTATGTTTCCATTTATATGGAAATTCTAGAAAATATAACTGTCTATAGTTATAAAATACAACTATAAGTGACAGAAAACAGATCAGTGGTTGCTTGGGGACTACAAGGGAAGAGACCAGAATATCCTTCAAAAATGAAGGTTAAATCAGGATATATTCATATATGCATAAATGAGAGAATGTATAGCCAACAGAACTGCACTGCCTACTTAGTTAAAAATGTTCTTCAATGCCAAAGGGAAGTGATTCCATATGGAAGGTAGAATTTACAGAAAAGAATCAAGAGCACCAGGAATGGAGAGCCATAACCCAGAGCACCCTAGGGAAAGCTTCCACCCACCGCCTAGCGTCCACTGTGACTGCTAGCACCACCATCACCACCTCTGACACCATGCTCATCCCTTCCACCAGGAAGCAGCACTGCCTGACACCCAGTGACATCCTGGACCTGTTCCGTCTACTGCCAGTAAAAAGACCACTGGGAGGCAGCAATGACCCACCTGAGGCGGATCCACTGGACTGCCTTCTTCCAGAAATCTGAGATAGTTGTCTCAGCTGTGGAATATGCAACTTCCAGGGCTGGTGGACTGGCTCACCACACATTCCTGCCTCAGCTACCATTTTCTGTGGGTTCTTGGCAAACAGGAGAGCCACAAAGGGCATACTTGGTTTTCTGCCACCATGATACTGATTGGAACTCCCACTCATCTCTGGCTCCATGAGTTTGGAGGTCAACATAAACCAGGCATCTCAAATTGAAGGCCATTTCCTGGTCTTTTCTTGAAAGTGTGAAGCTTATGATTACTGAGGCCTGCCTCATCCTGAAGACCTTGACAGCCCAGATTTTCTTCAGCAGAGGCTGTCTTGCAATCAGAATCACTACCACCATGATTAGGGACCACTCTATGAAAGCCTAGGCAGGAAGCAAGGCAAAAAGGAATGCACCCCAAAACTCTGCCTGTGCGTTCTTCCATCTCTAAAGCATAGAACTCCATATTCTATTTTTCCTTTCCCCTTCTTTCTTCCTTTCCTTACTCTTTCACTCCTTCTTCTCCGCCTTCCTCCTTTTATTGGTTTTAGGCATTGTGTGTGTGTGTGTGTGTTTAGTATTTGTCTACCACAGGCATTGTATTATATAAAAATCCAGTGATTCAAGATCTTGGTGTTTGTCCTATTTTGTCAACATAGCAGACATTTATTTAATCAGAATAGCTATGTTCCACCACCAACACACTGCTTTTTAAAATTGGCAAAAGCCATTAACATTATGAAACAGACTGGAAGGAAACAGCATCCAAATCCTTTCTTCTCTTTTTTTGTGTGTATTTCAGAGTCAACTAAATCTGAATGGTTCAATGACAGCAAGTCAGGAAATGGGATCTGACCAGCTTATGAATATATCATATTTCGGACTAACCTGACACAACTCTGACAACTTCCAGAAACGTTAAGGTCAAGGCTGAGTTGGATAAAACTGAAAAACAAGGGAGGTGGCCTCCCAGAGGGGAGGAAGACAGACTAGAGTGCCATCACACAGTGAGTCCAACGTCATTCTCAGGAATCAGGTTGGCCAACAAATGTTGAACCTCTTTTGGTGACTCCTGTGGTATTGTTCCCAGCTGGGTGTCCCGTGTAATTGAAGAAGCTAAATACGTTTACATTTTCGAATGAAACTAGAAGGTTTAAA